TTATTAAATGAGCATCCTGACAAGCAAACAACTAATACTATGAGAGCAAATGCAAGACATAATATTTTTAAAATTTAATTGGCAAAAGAAACGATTTATAAACACAGGGGCTGGAATTGATGATTTGAAAATAAGCACAAAATATCAAACATTTATTTTGATTTTTTAAAAACTAATATTTTGTTTTAAAAATAATTTGGATGAATTTTTATTTATATCAATTTATATTTATTTGCAACTATTGGTAAGTTGATAATTTAGTATTGACATATTTATTTTATATTTCAACTTAGTTTTTATTATCATTAAATTTTTTTATCTGCTTGTGACTAATTAATTTTAAATAGAAATATGGATCTATTTTTTATTTGTGTAAATAGTTATCAAAATTTTATGTTGAAAAAATAAAAAGCCATTTTATATTCTTTCAAAATTTTAAAAGAATATTTATGTTTTTTAAATAGCTTTGCTTAACAACAAATAAATTTTGCTTAAAGTATTAAGATATTTAAAAATTAAGAGAAATGTTAAAATATATTGATCAGTATTTATTCAAATTAAAAAAAATAAATTTATTTACTCATAATTTAATATTATACATATGTTTATGTCACTTTTGTACATTAAAAATATTATTTAAAGCTGTTTTATTTTAAGAGAAGTATGAGTTTATTAGGTATCGACCGTATATACGGTAAAACCCTATTATACGGCCGAACTGTATAAATTTCATGATAAGGTATACCCCAGACTCAAACTAAAAATTTTATTTATGCCCCGTGAGTCCATTGTCTCATTAATTATATTATATATTTTATAGCTTATTATAGTAGATAAATTTTGAAAAGATAACTAAAAATTAAAATTTTTAAGTTTTATTTTGCGTTCTACCTGAGTATTAGTTAAATTGAGATTAAAACTTAAAATAATGAATAAGTATTTTAGTAAAAAATAAATTTCTCTTTTTATATTTTTAAATCAAGTTAGTTATTTTAAGTGAAAATTCTGAAAATATTAATAACATGTGATGGTAAAAAATTAAAATTAAGCATTAATAATTAAAATATAAAAAATTATCTTTTAGATATATTTTCTATTAAGTTAAAGAATTAGTATTTATTTGAAAATTAATATTATTTATTAAAATTTTGATTTTAATTATTTATATTTATATCTATCAATTAATCAAATTACAAAATTTAAAATAAAATAATTTATCTTTAAAATATATTATTATTTATTGTAGTTTTTTGCAGCACTTAAGCTTGTAAAAATTACTCACTCTTGCCAACCATGCTTCTTATAAACCATCTATTTTGCTTATTTTAATTTATTTTATCTTAAAAGTGCATTCTGCTCCAAAGCTTTAGTTGGTTATTTATTAGGATCTTCAAATAAAAGAGATCTATTATACTTTTAATCAAACTCTTCTTTTGTGTAATATCTTCCATTTACTTCTTTGAAATCATTAATTCCAACTAATTTTTCATAATAACTTAGTCTATTTTATTCTTAATTTTATTAATAGCGTTTGAGAGCAACCACTATTAAAGGAGCAAAACCTCCTGCTATAGGTACTAATTTTACTAACTAAGATTTAAATTAGATTCGAAAATAGAATATTTTATATAAAAAAGATCCTATTATTGCTCCAACAATACAATTCTTTAGAATATCATAAAAAGTTTATTTGTTTTATTTTTCAGGTTCAAGAGGTATTGATTAAGAACATATTAATTATAAATTTATTTTATTTAAACAATCTTCATGATAACTGTCTTTTTCTCTATAAAATAAATTTTTTTTTATTTACAAAAATTTATTAACATTTTTTAAGTATTTTATAACTATTTTATATTTAATTTAAAATTTTATCTAGCTTGGATTGATAATTAAATATATTGGTTATTAATTAATTTACTTTTCAGATTATTGCTCTTTCATACTTTACCCATTAAGAGGCATATTATCCATTTTATGTAAATAATTATTCAATTTTAATTTTTTTTGAAAGTTTATTATATTATTTCATTATAAAAAAGTGAATTATGATTAATAATTCAAAATTGATCTTTACTTTAAATTTAAACTAATTTTTAAAAACACTTTTAATAAATATATTTTTTCAAAATGCTTTTATTCAATAAGTTGTTTGAAAAATTATTGATCATTTAGTAAATAATAAAAGTGAACTATGATTAATTTATTTAAAATCAATCTTTACTTTAAATCTAAACTAATTTTTTAAAATATATTTTTTAAAAGCACTTTTAATAAAGTAGATTTGTTGATAATTCTTTTATTCTTCAATAATAATTTTTTTTTGAAAAGTTGTTTTTAAATTATTCATTAAAAAATAAAAATCAATTATTATAATTTTATTTAAATTCAATCTTTATTTTATTTTATACCAATTTTTAAAAACACTTTTAATAAATATATTTTTTCAAAATACAGTAATTAATCTAAATTAAGCCGAGCAAGAATTTGAAAATCATAAAATTTCTTGGGTGTACTAAAACCTCTTGAAATGATCGGCTTGAAATAGAAATTCAGCTTAAAAATTAGAGTAATTACGGTACTTTTAATAAATATATTTTTTCAAAACACTTTTATGAAATAGATCTATTAATAATTGCTTTATTTGTCTATTATTAAGTTTTTTGAAGGTTATTAGAATATTTAGTAACAATAAAAGTGTATTATTATTAATTTATTCAAATTGATTTTTACTTTAAATTTAAACTTATTTTTAAAAACACTTTTATTAATTATTATTTTATAGTTTTTTGAAGGTTATTAGAATATTCAATTATTAATAAAAATTAATTATTATTAATTAATATAAATTGATCTCTACTTTAAATTTAAACTAATTTTTAAAAACTTTTTTAATAAATATATTTTTTTAAAAACACTTTATTAAATAGATTTTAAAATAATTGCTTTATTTATCTATAAATAAGTTTTTTGAAGGTTATTAGAATATTCAGTTATAAGCAAAAGTTCGTTTTTATTAATTAATTCAAATTGATTTTTCTTTAATTTAAATTAATTTTTAAAAAATCTTTTATTAATTATTATTTTATAATTTTTTGAAGGTTATTAGAATATTCAATTATAAATAAAAGTTAATTATTATTAATTAATTTAAATTGATCTCTACTTTAAATTTAAACTAATTTTTAAAAACAGTTTTAATAAATATATTTTTTCAAAACACTTTTATTAAATATATTTATTGGTATTTATTTTATTTTACTTAACTATAAATAGGCTTTCACATCAAGAAATAATAAAGATAACAATCCTATTTATATATCCAGTTTTATATCCTTCTCAAAAGAATATCTATCAAAGTAAAATATCAATTTATACAGTATTTCCTATATAAGTAATCCATTCAATACTTAAGGTATTACCATTTTTTATATTTAACTTTAAAAATGGAATATTATTTAATAAAAAATACTCTTAATAATAAATTTAAATTTAATTATTAAATTTTTTATTGACAAACTATTTCAAATAAATTCTTTTATTGATAAACTATTTCAATTAATTTCTTTTATTGATAAATCTTTTAAAAATAAAAGTATCTATTTTAAATCATTTAAAATATCAATAAACTATATAATTTATCACTTTAGGACAATCAAAATAATAATAATAATTTTATAAAAAAATAAAAAAATAAAAATAAATTAAATTAAAGATGTAAAACATAAATATCCTCTTAACTAATTTGGATGATCTTTTACTAAGTGAAACATAATAAACAGACTAAATTTTTTAAATTCTCTCTTAATTAGATTATTAATTGCTTCATATTTAAAATGAAGATTATTAAAAATATGGATATTATTAATACTTAATAGCTGAAAAATGTCTCAATTCGCTCACAAATATTAGTGAAAATTATAAATCTAGATACAAAGAGCAATTAAATACTTTTAAAAAACAATATGATCAATACTAAAATAACTTTGTGCAATAAGCTAGAAGGGATTTATCATCTGAACAAAATTAATTAATTGAATACAAAATATAATTATAAGAAGTATAAAAAAATTAAGGATGTAACGGAATTTTCAACATTTTAGGTACTACATTAAATTTGTACAAAATAGAAAATACCATTAAATCAGTTGGTAATGCTAGCAAAGCTATTATAGCAAAGTCAAATGTAATTACAACTTTAGGTCTTACAGCTATAGAAACTTGTAAAATTTATTATGATTATCTAAAATTGAGATCAAAATGCTTAAACGAAGGATAGATAAGATAAGCTAAAACATCACTTAAATAGCAACTAAAAGCTTTAGGTGCAAGATCAGTTTGCTCTAGTATTATATCAACAGGAGCTACTGCACTAGGATTAACTATTGCAGCATTAATATCACCTGCAGCAGGAGCTATTGCTCTTGGAGGAGTTTTAGGTGCTATAGTAGGAGGAATCTGTAGCTATTTTGTACAAAAATAGTATATAGATCCATATTTTTTAGAAGAATAGAATTATATAATAGAATGTGAAAGATTATTAGGATTAGAGGATTTCAGATAAGCTAACTAAGGAATAGATTATACTAAAGAAGAATTTGACTTTAAATATAAAAGAAGCTTATTAAATGAGCATCCTGACAAGCAAACAACTGATACCATGAGAGCAAATGCAAGACATAATATTTTTAAAATATAATTGGCAAAAGAAATGATTTATAAACATAGGGGTTGGTAATGATGATTTAAAAATAAGCATAAAATATCAAACATTTATTTTGATTTTTTAAAAACTAAGATTTTGTTTTAAAAATAATTTCGATGAATTTTATTTATGTCAATTTACATTTATTTGCAACTATTGGTAAGTTGATAATTTCTTATTGACATATTTATATTATATTTCAACTTAATTTATTATCATTACATATTTTTATCTGCTTATTTCAAGAAAAAATGTATTTGTAAATAAAATTTACTTATCATTTTTTTTTCATAAGCACTTTCTTTATGTGTTTTAATACGATTAATTAATTTTAAATAGAAATTTGAATCTATTTTTATTTGTGTAAATAGTTATCAAAATTTTATGTTGAAAAAATAAAAAGCCATTTTATTTAAAAAAAATATTTATGTTTTTTAAATAGCTTTGCTTAACAACAAAATAAATTTTGCTTAAAGAAAAGCCAAACTCCTAATTAAAATCTAGTGGTTTGAGTATTACTGAGTTTAAAATTAAATAAAAATATATTTTGAAATTATTAGTTTTTAGCCATTTTTTTTTAATTCATTTTTATTTATGGTAAATTTTGGTGAATTATGACAAAAATAATAAATATGTCATCAATCACATTTTTATTAAAAGTTAGTATACTGAGAGGAATGGAGGCAAGGAGCTTAAAATATAAAATCAAGGAATTAAAATTATTAATTTACTTTGTTATTTTCTATTAATATTAGATTTCTTTTTGTTTTTATAATAATGGTAAAGCAAATTATATTAGGTGATCTATTTAAAGAAAATTCAATGATGAGTGATAAATTGTATTTATTTTTTTTGTTTAAAAATAATGTAAAAGTAAATTACATTAGGTTGTTTATTGTAAAAAAAAGAGAGTGGTGTATGATAAATTGTAATTTATTAAATAATTTCGTCTTTAAGGAATTAAACAGAATATTTATTTATAATAAATGATGCAATAGTCTATGAATCAAAAAAAAATCATCGTATTATCTTATTCATTATTACTTTCAGCTATTATCAAATTCTTTCAGATTGAAACAGAAAAATTGAAAAAAAGCTAATTAATCATCCACCTTTAATTACATATTACACTTCATAAGATTTATATAGTTATTTGGAAATATCAAAAAGCTAAGGAAAGTTTAATTAAAATCTAGAGACTAACTTATTATAGTCTATATAAAGAATAAATAAAAAAAACAAAAAAGCTTCAAAAAGATTAAGAGAGGTTCATCAGTAAACAAAAAGCTTTATATCTTTAAAAATAAATCACTCTACCTTTCAGTATTATTTTAAATAGAAAATTTTCTTACAATTTTATTTTTCAAAGCTGATACAGTTTTTGAGCTATGAGATACTTCATTTTTCTTTTCCTTTCTCTTTTTTAGATTTTTGAAAGCATTTCTTTAGCTCTAGCACAAGATAGCTCAAGTATAGAGCCAATATTCATAAAGAATATTAATACAGAATATGGATAGACTACTTTCTATTAATTCAAATTCTTCTATGGCAAAAGCATAGTTGATGGAAATGCCAACATTATGGTTTCTTTCCCTTAATAAATAGAATTAAGCTATTTCCCTCAATATGTTGAGTGCTTTTTCAAAGTAAGTACTACTGAGCATCAAAGCGTGCCTTGCGAAAATAATAGTGAGCGTCAAGTTTACATCAATGTAAAAAATATAGTTTAAGGAGAATAAAGCATAGCTATAGGTCCTATATAAAATCCAAGCAATATATCTGGTACTGCATTTTTTAAGGTCTGCATCCTATACAATGATTATCAGACAGATTGCAACGATTCCTTCGGAAAAGTATATTTTGGTAAAAAACCAGGTAATATTTAACATTTTATTTCTTCTTCTTTACTTAGTATAGAATATTACCACATCTTCAAATGGTGATCAATATTTATTTTCCCATTTTACTTCACAATACAAACTAATTTATATAAGTTCTACTTTTGATAGGACTTAAATAAATTAAAAAATTTCAATAAAGAACTCAAGAAAAAAGCAAATTTAATTAAATATACTTAGGTTGTTCTAAAATTTAGTATAATTCCTTTAATCAATTTCAAAAAAGTAAAAATCCTTTTTATCAATTTGTTAGAATCTTTAATCAAATAATTATTGGATTATAAAATAAGAATCATTAAATTAATTTCATGGTTAATACATATGATATCATCAATATAAATTTTTTGTCATTTTTTTAAGGAAACAATTGTTAAATAAGTAGATAAATGTACAACCCTTTGAGTTCATTAAAATATTATAAATAAATATTTGCTAAAATTTTGAAAAAAAAGTAAAATACGGGTTTAATTTCTTACTATTCATTGAAAAGAAAATCTAACTTTAAATCTGTGTTTAATTATTTATCTAAATTAAGTAAGTTAAAAAAAATACTTTTTAACCATACATTTCTAACTTTTATTTTAATCGATAATTTATTCCTTTTCAAATTTGAGTAAATTAAAGTTTGGATCTAGATTGTTATAATTTATGCTTACATCACTTAAAGTATATTAAATATATAAAAAAAGCTCTTATGCCTCTTGCAGATGTCTAGTATAAAAGTTCACTTTAAGTTAATGAAGGGAGTTCTTGGATTTTTGATTTTAAATTATTAGGAATCTATGAAAATAATTTATTTAGCATCAGAATAACATTTCCTGATGGATTTAAGACTAAATCTGCAATATGTGATATCGAAGGTAGCTAAACAAAACCAAAGACAATTATCCTCTATAATTAAAGAATGATTGAATGCTAAAATATTGCGAAGTAGCTTAAAGGAAACCAATAAATTAGAATAGTTAATATGATAAATCCTAGTAGTATTGTAGATTTAAAGAATTTCTAAATTGAACTTATGTAGCAATCGAACAGCTTAATCTTTGAAAGAATAATCTTTAATCCTAAATTGAATATTTAGTTACAAGTTGGAAATATGAAAGCTAATTTAATTTAAGAAAACAATTTCAAATATTCAAATAGCACTCTTACTTTCTAAATTAATCCTACAAATAAGTTAGGAGAAGGTGGCTCTCTTTAAATATTATTTGGTTAATAGTGGAAATTATGGGCTCTAAATTGTACAGTAATTAAAGGATTTATAAGATATTCTGGATAAATTCCAAATTGTTTCTTAAATTCAAAAGATAATAGTTATTATATTTAAAATTTCAAAGAGATAGATTTCACACAGTAAATTGTTATAAAAGTAATTGCTTAATCTCCAATAACAGAAGGAAATTTCCCTATTAATGTGCAAACATTGAATTCAAGATAAAAAATTGTTGACTCTTCTATTGTTTCTGCACTCACAAATTCAACCTGTAAACTTTTATCAAATTTTATTAATTTATTTTATCTTACTGTTATTAATAAAATTTCAGTCCTTTTAACTTTTTAATAAAAATAAAATCAATTTAAAATTAGGAAGAATAAAATTTTTAAATTTTAGTGAAATAAAAATATATAAACATCAAAATATTAATTTTAAAAAACTAAAATTGATAAATAAAATATCTTTTACATCATCTTATCTTAATTTTTACAAAGTTTAGTTTTTATTTGAGCATTAAGGAAATAAATAACCCTTATTTACAAAGAATTTTTTTATATGATAATTAATACCTTTCTGTTATCAAAAATTCTGTTAGTAAAGATTTTTTGTTTTGTGGTTGAGAATATCTATTTTTTAAGATTAAAAAGAAACAATTACTTAAGCTAATTATAATTAAATATTATGTGGTTTTTAATTAATTAGATTAATCCTCATTAATTCTGATAAAACAATAAGCAACTCCCAAGCAAATTTAGACATAAAGATTCTTTAATTATTAAGATTATAACTTATTCCTTTTCTATTAAAACATTACCAATATTAATTTGTTTACTGTAATCTATTTTAATTAAAACAGTTGGGAGTCTCAAAAGATTTACTGCCAGTGCTGTAAGAGATTCAATTAAATTATAGGCTGGGAAAGCAGGTCCTTTAGAATCAACATTCTTCTTAAAACATAATCTTCCAGCTACCAATTATAAATCTATTGGAAAGGTTGTCATTGATATTTTTCCAAAAATACCTAAACCCTCGACAAATTATGGTATAATTAAATGCTATTTCTATGGAAATATTTTAGCTTCTAGCTGCCTTTTTGATGATATGACATACGCAGATCGTACAAAAATAACTATTTATACTCCTGAAAATTTCGATTATTAAGAGAGTGAAATTCCTATTACTGTAACTACAGAAGGATCCAAACCAGGTTATAATGATGGAATTTTACTAGATCCTCTTGTAAAAAGATATTTATTTCACTACCATTTCTATGATAATGATTTACCGTCTTCTGAACCCACAGAAGTGTATTATCAAGAATGGGTTCCAGATTCTTTTGAAATACCTGATACAGATTTCAAATATAATATTCTGATAAGAGAAAAAAATGAATATACTCATATGCGGTAATATTTATTTTACTTTTAATATAAAGTGAAAATTTATTTTTCCTTTTTGTTTCCAAAAAGCAAATAGAAAATATTTTATCATTAAATTTTACTTTTATTATTTAGTTTTGAAATGAAATAACAAATAACTCTCCCTTATAGTGATAGAAATTACTTATTTAGAGTTACATTTATAAAAGATCCTATTAATGTATGGTAAATAGGATAATCTTATGAAAATGACTATGAAATTATTGAAGACTTTCCTTGTTGTTTGTATGGATCCAGTGCAGTGGCAAATCCTTTCTCAAAATGTGATTTATATTAATAGAGTTTTAGAGATCCTTTTGTTCAAGCTTATGGATTTGAAACTCTTAAAGTTATAAAAGGTAATTGGATAATTTTAGAAATTCCTCAAATCAAAATAGCAAATGTGCCTGCTGGCTCAAAAGGAACCCTAAGATTTTCCTTAATGGAAGAAACACCTGGCATGATAAATCCTGAAATTGAACTATACTACAAATAAATATCAGTGGAAATATTAGAATAATCTTTTATAAATTATTCATTTAATCCTAACATAGCCACCACTTTAATGCCACCTATTGTTAATTAATAAACAAATCTTAGATTCTAATGGAGCGCAGCTGTATATGACCCTTAATATTTAATTTATGAAATAGATTAAGTGGGTTATTATGATATAGGAAGAGGGGTAATTCAACCAACTAATTGTGATGGTAATTAGTGTATCAAATTTTAAAAGCCAGTTCATTGGATTGTAATTTATCCTAATACTCCTCTTAATTAATAAATAATTACAAATATTTAAGGAGTATTTTAAAATCCAAATTATGCAGATAAATTCATTTTTAAGGTCAGAGCTATGAAAAATGGTGTAGTGGTAAATAAACATACTTTTAATGTAAAAGTTGACTCAGCAGATATTTAAAGCAAAATATTCGATATTTGCAATCCAAGTCATGTTATAAATTCTATAAATGGCTTGATAAGAAAAAATGAAGAGCATGAATTCTATATAAAATTCACTACAAGAACTGCGATGCCTAGAAATTCTCTTATACGCTTTAGTTTTAAAAATATTAAAACTTAAACACAAACTGACCGCCACATTAATTTTTGTAATATCATAAGTGGTTTAGTACCTTATGACAAGACACCTATCTAGTGCAAAACAGTAAGTACAAGCATAATTGAAATTTCTCATTTTGAATAGGTTTTACAAAATGTGCCTATAGAAATTCATTTTAGACTTCTTAATGATGGCTCTGCAACAATAAACCCAACTGTTGACATTGAAACTTTTTATGGACCTAAAAATGATAAGTTAATTGATAGTACCTATTCAATTCCATCTAATACACCAAATATTTCTACAAATAATGTGGATTCACAAGTAAAATTTAAAGTACTAGATGAAGCTATAAGATCAGAAAAAAGAGAAAAAGGTTATATTGGACCAGTAATCATTGACTTCATGCCAAATATAATTACAAATCTTAAAATTATTAAGGTAAAATTATACCATTTTACCAATTTAACTTTGATAAATTAAAAAATAAAAATAAATAATATTTAGTTTTCAAAAATTTAAAAAAATCATAATATAAGATTTAATTATAAATTTTAAAGGGGTTAAAAATTTTTTATAATTTAAAAAGTTTTAAAGATTAATGATTAAAAATATTATTTTAAAATAGGTAAAATTCGATATCAGCTTTGTAACTCCAAGAAATTATGGAACAGATTCTCTTATTTGCTTAGTTAATGAAGTTAGGTTTAACTGTGTTTATTAAATTAACCCACTTTATGTTACAATAGATATTACCTCTAATAATTTAAAACCTACTTCTGCCTATAGATTATCAATATCTACTGAATATGTTTCTCCTTTAGATGGCTTAGTTCATCCAAAAACTGAAGGTTTTTATCCTATTCATGTTGAAATCTAGGACACTAATGGCTTTATAAACTAAGCAACTAGATGGATGTTTATAAAGGCAGCTAAACTATAATTCATATACATAGAAAGTGTTATAAGAAATTAAAAGAGAGCTAACATGTTCTATGTTAACTTTAAAACTGCTCTACCAGTTCAAAAACACAGTTCTGGAGGTAGGATTCATATAGAATTTCCAACCTTAGACCCAATGGGTAATGCTTTATTTGATTTAGATTTGGGAGGTTACTAATAAAGCGGAGATGAAGTAGGCTGTAGATTTATTAAGTAAGGAGTAACGACTGGAGATATAGGAGATATTAACAATAATAGATGTCGTCTTATTAAAAGCCAAAAAAGAGGTAATCCTGCAGTTGTAGAAATTATCAATTTTCCTTCACTACCTGCTGGAACTGAAATTTAAATGTGGATTGCTAAAGTATTCAATCCACCTAACTTCAATTATCCTAGTTAATCTACTCTCTAAGTTATGGATGCAAATATATCTATTAATATTTTTGAATAAAACCCATAGACAGGTAAATTATAATTTTCAATTATAGATTTAAATTTTAAAAAAGATAATTTATTAAATAAATTTCTATCTTAAATATAATTGATAATAAATAGGAGAGTTGAAATACATTCATTATGATACTTATAATGTATTTATGGATATAAGAGATGATCCAACTCTTCATGATGCTACCCACCCTTTTAGCTCTTAAGCAATAAATCAAGTTTGGGAAACTGGATCTTAAGTTAATAGTAAACTAAAATCTATGGTAAACTAGGTATGGTATGATATTACTCCTTTCGCGCCAGGAGATTTCTATATAGTTGAATTACCAAATAATTTCCCAGATACTCTTAAACCTGATTGGAAAATGGCTACTTGCCTAACATTTTATGATTGGTGTTTAACTTTCCCTTAAATAAATTGGGTAGTTTTGCATATAAGTGCCAGTTTAGCTGCTAATACTATGTATGCTAATAATGACGTTTTAAGTAATATAAATAAAATTTATTTTTAAACTAAAAAAATAAATTATATTATAAATAGTTTAAGTTTTACCTTAAAGTGTACCTTAGATAACTACCACATATTAATCCTATGTTTGGTAAGGAAGATTCTTTAGAGGATATGTTACTCACTAAATTACCCCTAAGTAATGGCTCTAGTTAATTGGAACTATTAAAAATTATGGATTGACTTAAATAGATTCGCCATAAAAGCTAATCAAAGGTAGAACAAGAGTTGAAGTCAACTTTAATTTTACAAATTCTAATTTTATTCCATATTATGGTGCAATTTAAATTAGATTCCCACCAAGAATACTATCTATATAATCTCACTGCAGAAGCTCAATAACTGTTGGATCTGGATTGCAATCAAAAGCTGGTCCATTTGGTAATGTTGGATGTTTAGTTCAAGATTAGAATACATGGGTTATATATGGATTTGGTGATATAAATCCTTTGACTAACATTAAAATTTAAGGAATTATTGATTTACCTAATGATGGAAATGCAGGATATATTGGAAATTTAGATGTTATAACTTATGGTAGTCATGAATATGATAATATTTTTAATAAAGGTAGAATTATTGATAAGAGTCTTGCACTCTCAAAAAGTGGATTTACTATTGATAACTTTTAAACAAAACAAATCGAAGATATTGATCTTTTACATATAGAAACTAAAACTCTAAGGAATGCTTATAGGGTAATCTTCAAAACTTTAATAATTATTTACTGATAAAATTTATTAATATTTTAGACTCCTTTAACTTTTAAATTTAAAATTGGCGATAATGTATTTGCAAATAGAGGTAGAATTAGACTAATGTTTTACTAATACTCTTAACTATCCTTCAATGATTATATTGGGAATTCTTTTTAGTATTATCCTACAAGTTAGTATGTATGTAATATTCAAGTCGTTGATACTTAAGAAAATCATGGATGTAAAATGGAATCAATTACTTTAAAAAATCAGGGATATAATTAAATATACTACCTCTTTTAGATGATCCCTAATAGTGATTTACTGTCAAATATAGATTATCTTTTTACTTTAACTACAATTGATGGAGATGGTTAGGATGAAGGGCTAACCTTTCCAAATTCAGGTTTACCTTATAAAGTATAAAATATTTGTTATTTTAAATTAAAAATGAATTTATTTTTATTTATCTGAAAAGATTGATGTATCTATGTCAGTTTAAGAACCAAAAGGCGATAACGATTACACACTTCATTAGCATTTATATTACTAAGTTTATGGATAACCATTTGCATATTTAAAATTTACAAGCTACATTACTTTAAAAAATGAAATGAACTTATTTATAATAGAATTTTAACCAGGATAAACTATAAGAAATGATGATACCTTAGTTATTGAAATCCCAACTGCTTCTATAGATTTGCAGTATAATTTGTTTGCAGACGATGGAGGTTTACAGCTAAATAATCAAGATATAATCTTAAATGATATAATTGATATGTCTCCTTCATATCCAAACCCTACTATGGAGTGCAGAATGTCAAGAGGACTTTAGATCAAAGGACTTCCTATTAAATTCCTCTGCAGTAACTTTTAATCTTCAGGTGTTTTAAAAGATATAGGAGCTAATGATAGAATGAAAGTTGCTTTTAACATTTAAAATCCTGATGTTACTGCAAATCATTATTCAATCCCAGCATAAGTATATGTTCAAAGAAATTATAAAAATGCCAATGAGAAAATACTTTATGATTTTGTTGAGAATGCTTTTTATATCCATTTTTGGAGTAAATTTTTGTTAATAAAATTATTTTTTAAAATTTAAATAAAAATAAAAAAATAAATAGACCCTTAAATAATTTCTCAAGTAAATGGTGATTTTAATGTTGGTCCTTTTACATCAACTGTTTGTAATTCCCTTACGGATTTTAAATTTAGAGTGAGAAACAGCTAGAATTTGGTAGGTAAAAATGAGGATGCTTATATTTTAAGATTTAATTTTGAATTAAGAGATGATGATTATCTTCACAAAAAAAATTGTGCTTACATTATTACAGGAAGTCCTTCTCATAATTGTGCAACATTACCAAATCTTAGAACTTTTATTGCATGGCCTCATGCTACTTATGATTTAGTAGCTCCTATTTAAATATAAACAACAGGAAATAAATGGCTAACTAGTTTCTATAGTGAAGAAAATTAAAATAAGAGGCAAATAGTAGGTTATGCTTGTTATGTTAGAGAACTTTGGAGTGAAAAAGTAATATACTAAGATTTATACCCAGATCTACAACCTAATAGAGTAGAAACTCTTTATTTTGATCTCAGATTTAAACATGTTGATTACCATTTTGCAAATGAAAGAATGGATTTTATTATGTAGGTAAAGAGTTTTTCGGATTTAATTTAAAAAGCTTTTAATTTTAAACACAAAAATTAGAATAAATAACTAATTTAATTTTATAAAGGTTACTTCACCTTATTGGTATTATACAGATAGAGTAGTCATAACATTCCCTGCTAATATTGGGTGGGCACTTGTAGGTGATATGTGTTTAGAAAGCCCTGGTTCTGATATACAAGTAACAAAATGTTGGTTTGTTTTTAACTCTGGTCAAATTTAAGCATGGATTGACATAGCTCATAAAGTAACGAAATTAACTTAATCTTTTAGAATTACTTATATAACATTATTATAGGATAGTTATGTTAACGGTGATTAAAATGCCAGATAAACTCTACTCATAGAATCTCATATGGAGACATTCCAGGTTCCATCAAACTAAGGAATAAATCCTAGTTTCAGCTCATTTAGTGTGAAGTTCTATTAATGGTCAAGACATCCCTCAATGTAACCAAGTCCTTGGCGTAGTAATCCTCCTGTTACCTTAGATCCTTCAACAGAAAAATATGTGTGCTTTACAAACAGTGGAACAATGAGAGCTGGAGAAAGCTTTGCAGTAGCACCAAGCTAAACTTGGGATGTCAATTGGTAAAGTGAATCAACCATAGAATTTGATTATGAATATCACAGGTAAAGAAGAATTTTATTTTAATTTCAGAGTTAATTATAATTATAAATAAATATATAAAATAATTAAAAAATAACTTTAAAAATGTTAATATCTAAAACCTAATAATTTACTCTAAATTTTAAATAATTAAATCTTAAAATTTTAAATTATTTATTTTTATTGCCATTAAATAGTATCATTTTTATTTAAAATTGTTATTTATTATAAATTTTAATATAACTAAATTTTAAGGTATTTAGATGAATTTGTTCCTTGCTTTAAGACCTAGAGGGCTCCTATTAAAATGGATATTTATTCACCAACAGCTTTCAGCAGTTTAAAAGGAACATAAAACTATCACATTTTTGATTTTTATTATGGAAAAGATGTTATAATCCCAACTCCAATAGAAATAAAAGATTATGTTTAAGATAAATTAATATGTTGGGTAAATAATGATAGAGTTAAGTGTGAAAATGATTCAATAAATAATAAAATTAGACTTTATTTCTAAACTTAAATAGCAGCTAACGGTTTAATGTTTATTTTTATTACATCTCATGATACTAATGATATAACCAATGAAGGTTTTAGTTATTAAGGTGATTAGTACTAATATAAGTGGCTATATGAAATTTCATAATTTGGAGGATAAACATATTATGGATACACTGACCCCTTCCCTATTATGTATAATACTAATGGAGGAATTAAATGTCCTCACAGAGGAATAGAAGATGGTGATTTAGCAGATAGCTCTACTTAAATAGCATATCATCTAACTGGGTATTGGTTTTGGTTTAGATTTGCAAGACCAGATATTTTAGGTATAACATTTAATTTTAAGCCAAGGGATTATGATAATAGAGACCTTTATAACCCAAATTTTTTTATGGGATTAGAAAATGGTGCTTAATATCCTTGCTCTAGAGGAATATCTGGAGGTAAAAGGAATGATGTTAGGTGTATTTATGAAAAGGGTGATAATACAGGATTTGGTATAGCTCATCGTGTGCATATTTTTGATTTTAATTACCAAGTTGGTAATAACGAAATTTTTGGATTGTTATTTAATGGCCTTTCAAATGTGTTTAAGATAACAGTCGAAGCTTGGGGGGGTAAAGCAACTTTTAACTAACCTTACGGAAATTATTTTATGGGTTCATTAATTTTTGATGCGTAAATTTAATTATTATAATAATTAAAAATATAATTTATTCATTTAAAAATAACTAGATGGTGGGGTCCTTGGAATGGTTTATGCAGTGTACCAAATAGTTGTACTGGGTGCGATAATACATAAAATCACTGTGACTATTAAGGAACTGTATTTATGGTACCAGAAAAACCTGCTTTTATGGATAAAAATATTCTTCACTTTTATAATACTTGTTAGCCTGGCACATAAAGTACAGTTATTGTCGAAGTAGTCTTATAAAGTAAATATTTAAACAATTTTATTTAAATTTATTAAATATTTAAATAAAAAACTTTTATTTTTGAACAGAAAAAAGCTCTTTTGATTCAAGTTATGTTGAAGTGTGTTAAGTTGATCCTTAAATTCATGTTAAAGATATGTTTATTTTTGAAAAATATGAATGGTCTGCTAATCCTAGTTAAAATGAATATGTTAAAAAAGCTTACTTGTATTATGATTTTAGTGATGGAAAAGTGAATGAGTAATTTTTCTATTTTAAATTCTAATTTTTAATTTTAACTATTTTCAGTATTCTAAGTAATAATCTTTTTTAAATTAGCCTTAACATAGGGTATTTTAAATGCAAGCACTATAATCAGAATATTATAACATACTATTAATGTGGTGACTTAAAGGTAAGCGATTATAGGCTATATATTAGATTTGAGACATAAACTAATAGAATGTGTGAACATAGATATGGTGCTTCAGAATGTAATACTTCATCCACAGCCACTAATGAATATGCAGCAGAAAAATACACAATAAATATTAATGATTTTAATAATGATTATGACTTCAAAATTTGGAAGTTTCATGAAGATACTTGGACTACTCTTGCAGTCAGACTATTTGACGTACATAATAATGCCTTTACAACTCCCTATTATGATTCTGTGTTAACTTTTAGTTATGATTAATTCTTGAATATTCCTAATTTTGGAATACCTTCAGAATGCTATATAGTAGAGGGATTGAGAATGTCAGATAGAAGAAAATTAGGAGAAGAACCATTATGTTAAGTTTTACCTAATCCAAATAATTCTTCACCTTTAGCATTTATATTTAAAATAACTAATTGGGACACTATCGTTCCTAACGAATATGTAAGAATTTTATTTAGACATCATATTATGCAATATATATGGAATGTATATAATATCCCTGACTATTCTCCTTTTGTGATGAATTTATATGCAAATAATGAAGCATATGGAGATGGTAAAAATGGGCATATGAACTCAAGAAAATGGGTGAATCCGTATAACTTTTACTTTTGCTGGAATATAAATCATAATTTTGTTGTACTTGACTTTAACCATTAAGGAGCTGACACTTTTCTTCTTGCTTAAGCCTAAGCAAGTTCAAATGTAAAATATTTAAAAAATTATTTTGGATTAAAAAATTAAATGTCAACTCTACAAAAATTTAATGTTTTTTTTAATTATATTTTAACTTAAAATTTTCTAAAAAAATGTTGCTTATTTTCTATTAAATTACATATAATAGATAGGATTCCATTTTAATAATTACGATTGTACATATAATTAATGTATTGAGTTAGTTATGTTTGGTTTATAAGATTATGCTATGGGTAGGACAATTACTATTTAATGGTATATCAATGATTAGTTAAACAGCTGTACTGATTGGGCAGATTTTAGGTGGAAAGGGATACACAGATGGACTTTATGCTTTGATTAAAATAGAAATTGCTTATAAAATGGTAAAATTCTTTGAATTATAAATTTATTTTTAATTAATTTTACTTTAAAAATAATAGGTTGGTATACAAATTAAGTTCTTAAATTCAGAATAACATTTTAAGGAGTTTAAATTCCTTTGGATAGAAATTATTGGTGGGTTCATATGAGATTTTATGAGAATATACTTTTTGAGAGGTATATAGGAGGATGTGCCCATAGAGGCTGGGAATTCATGTGCTAAAATGACGAATGGGTTAATAATTTTGAAATAGGTGCATCTCTATCTGTAAATTTATTATCGCTATCTTATAATTCTATTACAGAAGTTGACTTTATCATTACTTCTATATATGAGTCTATTGGTTTAGATGTTAATGTTAATAGAATACTAATTATGGAATTTAGTGGCTCAGATTGGTTAGATAATCCAATTTATGGTACATAGTATGATCTATAAGAAATTAATTGTGCATGTGGAGTGAATACATTAGTTTTAAGTCCATAAGTATGTGTAAAAAGAAATAGAAGAATTGTAGCAGGTAGACTTTATGATCCAGTTGTTCTTTTTTATTTTTCAGCTCCTACAGGTATTATAAACAAAACTTATTAAATTATCTATTGCTAATATCTCTATTGTTTTTCCTCAAATAATTATTTTTCATTATATTGTATTATTTTTTATAAATAGGGTCAACTGTAAGGTGCTCTGTCCCAGAAATTATGATTGAAGCATAAGCTACTGCACCTAGAGCGAGAAAGTTAAAATTCAAAATTATTCGCCCATCTCTTTACGAATGGTATGGGAAAAATGGTGAATAATTTAATTCAAGAGTAAAATCTGAATATTCATTTACTCCAATTCCAAATAGCTCTACCTCTGATTTAAGTATGCACTATAATCCTCCTGTATTTTACTAAGATAGAACAACTACAGAATTATTTGTAGGGTACTATGACTTACAAATTTCTAACATAAAAAATCTTAACACTCCATATGTTTACATAAGACATTCTGAAATTGGTCCACTTATGACAACTGAGCTTTGTGAAGATAAAGGTCTTTGGGATCCTAACTATACTAAAGTTTACAATTAACACACCAAAGTATTAATATGTAGAAGAGTAGCATCTGCAGTAACAACTGCTGTTATTGGAGCTGGCAAGTAAAAAATTTTTGTTTTTTATAAATAAAATAATGATAAATTTATAAATTTTTAGGAATTTATATTTTGAATAGTGGAAATCTCAAACAGCTTCTGATTATTTATACTATGTTTTTGTTTATCAATCTGCAGAATTGAGATAACAATAATAGTCAGCACCTATAACTAATAGCTTGTTTTAACCGATAAAAACTTCTTCTTTTATTGTTGATCATTTCTTCTATTCATATAACAAAAGTTTAGACTAATCAATAATAGCAATCTAAGTCGGTTTAAGGGGATTTTTATGGAGAGAAACAAGGGATGGAGGAAGAGTAGAAATATTTTTACTAAGATCTCAAGTCACTGGTATTACACCAGGTAAATTTAAAATTTTACTCTTATTAAAATTTAAACAATTAACTTTAATTAGCATGTACTGCAAGAATTGAAAAAGAATTTTAACACGTATTGTGGTGCTATGTAGACAATAGAAGTAACGATTACTGGATAATAGTTGTGCATAATTTATTCACTTAAATACAAACAAATAATTATTTGAATATTTATTTTTCAATGAAAAACCCTTCAGGAGCTACAAATAGATCAGTTCAATATATAGTAAAATTTTATTATAACTATAAATCTGATGGTGACTACAAAGTGCAAATACAAGATTTATTTTCTCAATCTAACTTTGACTTTTCAGAGTATGATAAAGGTTACACAAGAATTACCAATGCCATGTCTCGTTTTTATGGCTTTAGACCAAAAATTTTTGTTGATAGGAGGTTTGAATTAAGATTCTATGCTAAAATTATGTCACCTAAAGTATGGCTAGAAAGAATAGAGTAAAAATATTTTATTTTATTGATTGTTATTTTACATATAAATTTTAATAAAATAAACTTAAGCTTTTATACAAATGAGTTGTGTGTAGAGTCAGGATTTGACTGTAATTATTTATTAGATGTTAGGGTAAGAGAATATGATACAACTCTTCTATAAAGATATCAGTAATAAATTCATTTATTCATTATTTATTATATTTTCAATTTTAATTACTAACAACTATAGAGAAATAGAAGTTAGAGGTAGATCTTGGTTAGGTGTTGGATATTTGATTAATTAACCAAATTATAGAGTTTATAATCAAGGTTCAAAATTAGAATTTATAATTTCAACTAGAAGAACAAATTCACATATTGGTTTATGGAAATAAACTAATCCAAATAGAGTTGGTCATATGTTTGTCTACGACAATGCTTAAGATTCGTAAATCACTTATATTTATAAATATTTAAATTAAAAAATAATAATCTCTAAAAATTAATTATAAAAAAGAAAAACAATACAAAGTAATGAACATTAATCAAATACAAAATATAATGACTTCTCAACTAATAAATAAACTGATGAACTCAAACTTTAATATTTCTATTTTACCAATTAAATACATAATTAGCTTACTTCATTTGTAATTGGAATGTTTGTTAAAAGTGGTAGTACTATGGATTACCCTAGAATATATTTTGAATTGAAATTCCCTATTTTGAAAGTAGCTAATATTCCTGGAGCTACCCATGGCAACACCATCCCTTGCCAGATTTCACTAGTTTTAGAATCTTAAAATCCAAATAGGGTCAATTCAGCTAGATGCAGAGTTTTTGATATTAACAGTAAAAATTAGATTTATTATCAACAAATAATTAAATAATAATTAATATTTTAAATAGCAAAATCATATTAAGGTCTTATGGTAAGAATCGAAGAAATAAATAAGTTTAGCCCTTAAACTGTTTTAACTTTTGCTTTTGATGATTGGCTTTTACCTGACTCTACTAATGGCTATACTCCTATTGATATTGAATTTAACCTATATAAATCAATTTCACAAAGTGCTGGATCTCTTGATTATTTTAGATATTTTCTTCTTTTAAAAGAAATGATTTTGGTAGATGGAATGAATCCTTCAATATGGGATAATACTGCGATATGTAAATATTTTATTTATATTTTAGAATTAATTAAAATAGGTTTTAAATTATTAATTAGCTTCAATTTAATTAAAACCCCCTAATAATTATGTTTATGGCAAAAAAAATGTTGAATACAACGATAATTTAATTAATCCTTGGCCTAAGCCAACTATAGGATATGTTGATACATGGGGATAATACAATACTGCTGGATAAAAGGTTTTTAATTATTTTGCTTTTAAATAAAATTTTAAGATTTTCCCTTTTTACATTTAATTTTATGTGAAATTTAACTATTTAAAAAAAGATGAGATTAATATTCGCAAATGGTTTTATTGGAGGGGATAATACTCCAGATTCTTTGAATTACTATGATGGTTTTGGGCAGCTTCAATTACTTTGGTTTAATAGAAAAACTAGATCTGCATACATATCTGCTCCAAAAAGAGATAATAACAATTCCATAAATTTTTCTATTAAAAATGCTGTTAATCCTTATCCCTATCAAAAAGATACTTGGAATTCGAATGGAAAAATAGATTATTAATTATATATGGGATAATACTGGAATTTTAATGGAGATGGGTTTAGATAAACTAATATAGGTTTAATGGAATTATCATCTAATGCATAATGGTCTTAATTCATAAAAGATCTTCCTACTATAAATATAGATCTAAGCTAATCACACTTAGTAATTTTTTTAATTATTAAATTTAGTTTCAATTTTTTTTTTTAGATTGATGTTATTCCAACATATAACTACGCAGCTAATTAGAGTATAACTATGAGATTTAGAATTACACATTAAATAAGTAAATCTGAAAGAGTAAAAAGATAATTAACTAATGTTGTATTTGATTTTACATAAGGAGTTAAGGCTATTCATAAATGCTACATATAAAGCGAGGGTCAAAAATAAAATTTGTATATTTATAGATATGCAGATTGTTAAATAGGATTTGCTAACAATAGATATAATGTCTAATTAATAGGAGTAGCTAATTGGGAAGATACTTCTCCTTATTAAATGTTTTTACAAATGTAGATTGATAAAGATACTATAGCCTACACAATATCAACCTACACATAAAACGGCTAGGTTGAATATTTCAAATAAGTTACTGTTCCATCTACTTAATTTAGTAAAGTTCATTATACTTTTAACTATTTTAGATTTACTGAAGGAAAATATATTTCTGGATATCATGAGATAGCATAAAGAAATATTTATACTAATAGCGCTATTAATACTACATGGAGGTTGAGATTTAGATTTATTTTAGATATTACACTTAATTATAAGTAAACTACTATTTTTGTTGACCCTATGACTAATGCTGATTATTTACAAATTAAGCTACCTCCATTATTAACCAATGGATATATTCAAAGCGATTCAACTCAATGGCTAATGTGCTATTTTGTTCCTGAAATATCAGCTTATGATAAATTAGGTTAATTATTTTTCAAATATTACTCCTTTATTTCATTCCTATTTAATTTAATAAAAAAATTTAAATTAAATATTACTTTATTATTTATAATAGCATTACCTTTATACTCTAAATGTAAAATTGATACAACTGGAAATCCATATTTTTATATATTGACAGCCCCTAGAGATATTTTAATAAATGGCAAAGCTTATGTAGTTCATATTACAGAAAAGAGAATTTAAGGTGCTTCATTTATTCTTCCTCCAGCACCATAAAGATCTGAATTTATTTGGTATTGTTATAGTCCTTTAGGAACAACAACACCATCTTACGATACCTTTATTACAAGAATAACAAACAGGTTCTTGAAGGCTAAAATCAATCATTTAACTACAACCTCAGAAGATTATGATGTTGCTGAAATTACTTTCACCCCTTCTGTCCCTCTTAGTCAAATGTAAGAATCATATTTCTTGGTTGAAATAGATAGTATTTATTTCTAAAAGACAGGCTTCAATTATGAAGATTTTGATATAATAAATTCATATAAAAGAGATGGATTAACTGAATTTATAAATGGATATGATCATTCTTATTTAATTGAACCTCCATTCTCAAATGGATTTTCTTTAATTAATTTTGGTTAGCATAGCAATTTCTTTGCAAATATTATGATAAATCATGTTAATGGGTAAGATTTAAATGCTGGTTAATAATATGTTTTCAAAATTCCTATGATTAGAAACCCTAGAGATTAGCATACTTCTATTTCTTATAAAATTTCAACAGTCTTTATAAGTAATAAGGATATGAGAAAACAAATTTTAGATGAGTTTTGGTTCGTCAATCATGCATATGTTGACACTACTCACAATGACATGACAAGTGCTAACTTTAAAATGAATTCTATAAATGATTATGTGCAATAAAACACTATGGATTTAAGTGTTTAGTTTAATTATGATATAGGTCCACCTTAAAGAATTCTATTAAAATGGGATAATAATAATGATATTGCAATTGATAGGACATAATTAATGACAATTTAAATCTCTGGATGTAAAGTTGAAGTTTTTGATAAAATTTATTTAATTATGGTCACTCCTTTAAGTTATTAACAATCGGCCTGGTCTGTAATGAGTTTAGGAACTAATTTTAAATCTAATACTTATTCAGTTTAATATGGGTTTTGGTTTACATACATAACGAATAAATCATTAACTTAATATTATCATAATCCTTAGCAAAAATGGCTCAAACCTTTAGAAGATCTTACTCCTAAAACATTTGTCTATAAAATAGGATTTTAAACAATAAATAGTGTCTGCCTTTACAGATTAATCATTTCTACACCAAATTAAGTACCAATTGGAGGATATATTGAAATTAATCTATCGAACGAACTTGATGGATATGAACCCTATTGTTATACATATACTACTTTTAATTTAGTTGATTCAACAAACCTTAAGTAAGTAAAATACGGGCCCCTTGAATGCCAAATGAAAAATTCTAAACAATATTTAATAAAAGGATTTAATAGCTTTACTGTTTCTACAAGCATAAATGTAGACTTGTATCTTAAAAATGTGAATAGTGGAGCTGTAGTTAACCTTTCAAATGTTAGCATGTATGGAACATAAAATTCTTAAAACATAATAGCAGTTTCTAAACCTGTACCCTAAGTAACAATTCTATCTAGTAATCCAGGAATGAGCTATTTTGAAATTTTAGACAGAGTGAATTATCCTATTTATGCAAAAGAGTGGTAGAAATTAGATTTTATTTTTACTTTGAGGTCAAACAATTTACTGATTAATTAAAACTACAAATTGAAATTCAATCTTCCTTCTGGTTGGATAAGTGCAATCGGATCAAGGCTATAGTTAAAAGGTAGATATAAAAGAAACGATCCATCTATCTTGCCATATGACACTTATCCTTCACCTCCTTATAAATACAAAGATTGGACTACTTCCAAGTTTAGCTTAGAGGGAGATAAGCTTGTATTTGAAATTAATGTTGATGATCCTTTATTAAGTCATTATTCAATTAACTAATAAATTGAATATATCTTTTCAATTGACTCTGAAAGAGCTGATATAGCTTATCAAGAAGGTCTTTTAAATGCAGACCGAGGATTATATAATTTTTATTTGGATGCATACCAAAGTAGCACACTGCTAGAGAGAACATATAACGAATACTACGTAAAGCCCAGAGAAGATGTATCTGACACATTTAGAGCATAAGTTTTAAATACAGGTGCAGGGTAAAAGACAGTTATCAGATTTAGTTTTACTATGAATTATGATAAAGCTGTTAAGGGTGACGAAATTTGGATTGAGTTTTAGACATTTGATAGGTTAAATAAAGTATTCAAAAATGATCTTGGGTTAGGTTTTAGTGATATTTCAGCTTAAATTGGTTGCTCAGAGAGGTTTGGATTTAATAAAATATCAAAGCAAAGAATTCTTTGTTATGTTTTTAAAGGAAATTAGAATATATTAGCACCAATGAGAGGAACTCCTGTTCTTATTAAAATTCCAATCTTAAAAGATATTCCTAGCACAGAATTAGTTGATTTTTGGATAGCTTATGTAGAAAATCCAACTATTGTTGGATAAGTTGCTGGTATTAAATTGAGTGTTAGAAGAGATTGTAGAGATGATAGTCCACACTTTAATTGCATTCTTTATCATGCTGAACATTAATATTATATAACATAACCAATACCTCTTAGCTATTATTAAATAAATGGAGCTTTCTCAGCAAATTCAAATATTGTAACTCTCACTGCTAGTCACACATTCACTATTAAACCATCGATAGATATATAAAATAATTAATATATTTTAATTTAATATCCTTCTAATCATAAAAATAAAAATACATGCTAATCATAAGTTGGAGAATGTATAGAATTTCCAGAATACAATTGGGTAATTGTTTAAACATTTAAGAATAATTTTTTTAAAATTTAATTTATATCAATATTATTTATAAATTTAATTAAAATTAAGTGAGTTGCCATATATCAACAATATTAATTATTTTATCTATATTTTTTATGTAAAAAATAGGTTTTATTTAAACCAAGTGCTTTAATAAAAGCTGGATTAGATACTTCTATACAGTTGGATAATATGATAAATGGATGGCACAGAAGAAACCCATCCCCAAATAACTATTTCCTTCTTTAAGCATTTGACAATAATGGAAATATAGTTTAACCTTACAAGATTACACATAACTACTACGACTACTATATGATAGGTAATTTTTGTTTTATACTTTGTCATCCGTTACTGAATTATTACTTTTAAAAAATTAGATACTAATGGATAGGTTATCAATACTTAAACATATGATCCAAAATATCGTATAAATACAGTTTTCCTCAAAGAAAATTTTATGAACTTAGCATAATTAGATGTAATAAATATGGATATTGAATAAGAAATAAACTATTTTAGATTAGATAAGCCAAAAGAAATTTCTAAATTTGATACAAACTATTGCAACGCTACTTTAACTTTAATGCCTGAGACATTAAGACAACCATATCCTCTTAGATATGATTGTGAAGTTCATGACCAATATATACTCCTTGTTAGGACAAAGTATTTCTTACCATGGGATTATACTTTTAATAAATTCAACTTAAGAATTTACTTTAAATTCATTATTGATGATAAAATACCTCCTAATGGAGGCGTCTCTCCTGGACCAGCAAGTCCTTTCATACTATATGGATGTGTGGTTCGTTGTGACGATCCCTCAGATTCTAAAAACATTTTATCATGGTCTCATGTTACTTAATCGAATATTCCTTGGGATATATCTTTTTACTAATAACCTAATCTAAATACTGCTGGATTTTACACAGAATCATTTTATCAGAGGTAAGCTCATATAGATGAATAAGTAAGCTTATAAATGCTAATTTAACCAAACACTAAATCTTTAACTTGTGACATCAATCAGTTAGTGTTTACTGTACCTGACGAGTTTATATATCCATAAACCCTAGCTTTAGATAAATGTTCAATTTAAGGTATCAATTATATTAAAATACTTAAGAAATATTTAAATATAATTTTTATATATTAATTATCTGTAATAAAAATTAATATCATATTAAATTTTTAATTTACATATGAAAAGGTGCTAAACCAGTTTTAGTGGATTCCTGTTCTGTATCAAGGAGATAAGGTTAAACATAAGTAAGATTAATTTTAAAAGAAAAACTTGGAGACTTAGCTAAAATAGTAACTATTAGCGATAAAGATGGAAATTAACTATTTATAGCTCCTCCATATCCTGGTACATTCTATCCAATAAAGTTGGATATGTACTGTGATTCAAAGCTTGTTGAGACTTAATTCACTAACTTCACTAATGTAAGAGGTGAAAATTTAGATGTTAACTATTTGAAGGTAATCAATTCTTTAGATGAATTAACTCCATAACTTTATGAGTTTTAATTTAAAACGGGAAAACACATTATTCCACTTGGTTACCAAAGAACAGTTTAGGGTTAGCTTTCTTAAGATGTTTATTCAACTATAAATTTTGTATTCGAGTGGATAGGTGATGGTTATACTATCCACCCAGGTTATGCAAGTGATTTAGGAATGAGTATTGAAGACAACTCAGAAGTTGGGTGTACTATAAAAAGTGGATTAATATTATCTTAAGGAAATAGACTTAAGTGCATTTTAAGCTATGGAAAAGGACCTGAAAAGATGCCTTAAATTTCAATATCTAATTACGAATAAATACCTCAGAACACTAAGATATCAATATTAATTACTAACATCCAATCTATAGCTTCTAGTTTATTAACTACGGTTAAAATTGGTAATTTTCTTAGAAATAATAATTTTAAAAAATATTTTATTTTTTTTTTTTTTAATTTTTAAAATACATATTCTGAATATAATTATTAAAAAAGGTGTAATGATAAATAATCCTAAATTCAATTCTGATGCATATTTTTACAACCTAGTTGCATATATTCCTGATAAGACAAGTGCTTTAAATTCACCAATAACAAATACAAACGATAATGTTGTTGTTACAGGAAACAGCTAAATACACTCTTCATCTAACTATCAATTCACATTTACTTTAGGAAAAAGAATTCTCAAAGTCACAGATTACTTTGGTATATAGTTCCCTGATAATTTTATTAACACATTGATGTATGATCCTTCAACAATAAATTGTGCATCTACATGTAGCTCTATTTATGTTTTCCCTGCTTCAAGTATGGTATATCTATAGCCTAAATCAAATTTAGCAGCTAATAGTTAAGTTGTTTTCTAAATTAATGGAATTCCCAACCCAAATTACGCAGTAAGAGGATAAATTACTATTAAATAATTTACATTTATTGACCGAAAAATAGATAGCTAATATAATGCTTAATTTTCTGCTAATTTTGCTCCATCATCGCTATTTTAAAATGCTAATGTTGAAGTTTCTTCTTAAACTGGTGGTGAAACTAATGTTCAGTATACCTTCTAATTCTAACTAGGACACACAGTACCAGCTAATGGAGCTATTTCGATTGATTTCCCATTAGATCTTTATGATAATCCTAAATTATCCTCAGAACCTCTCAAATGCAAATTATTAGGTGATGTTTTTGATGAATTCAATTAGTCAGTTTGTAAATTTGCTGGTCCAAACAGACTTAGCGTTGCATTGGTTAATACTTAATTACTTCCAAATTCTATATACAAAATAATAGTAGATGGCATAACTAATCCTAATAAGAGCTACGATTAAGCTAGCAAGTAATAAAACTTTGTATTTTCATCTCATTTCAATAACAATGCAATATTAAATCAAATCATAGCATAAAAAACTGCTAGTCCTCCTATATTCTATGTTACAGCTTTGAAGAAATGTATCGTTTAAGTTAGCCCATTCATCAAAAATACAAAATTAAGATCATTTTACTCATTTAAATTTTCTTGTAATGTATTGATTAAGAATAAAAGTATAGTGGAAATAAATTTACCAATAGAATATAGCATGAATAATAAGTAAGATACCTATGATTGTTCAAGCTTTGAATAATCCACTCTTTATACAAAATAATGTACTCTTTAGGAGATTAAAGGATAATTGATTCTGTCTGCTTAACTGAGAGAAATAACAAATTCTTAATAATTTACTATAAATTTAGATTTATTTAATCCTAGTATTGCAAATAATAATTATATTTTCTCAGCTAAATTCAGGTGGTAAAATCAATATTTTGCAGACACATAAAACACAGGAACAAATTTTGCTAGTATTTTTGAAAATCCAAAAATAATATTTACTAAAAACCAAGACAATCATTCTTAAATTAAATTATAGAACGTGCCAATAAATGCAGCTGAGCCTGCATATTATATTTTTAAGGTAAAATAAACATATTTTATATGAATTAATTATTCAAAATTATTTTATTAAATTTAAAAAGACCCCAAGCATTAGAAATAAGGCATAAATTGAACAGACTTCTATAACATTCCCTAATCATTTTACAAAAAATTTAGGAGATAATCTGAAATGCTTTATATATAATTCAAATAACGAAGCATATAGGTTTTCAATACATGATATTCTAAAATTAAAAGCAAAATAAACAAGTGACTATCTAAATTTTATTTAATTTCCTTGCTCTACAAATTATGATTATACTATAAGTAATTCATATATCATAAAATATATTTTAATAATACTTATTTTGTTTTATAATATAATTAGCATTTTCAAATGTTGGAAGTTTTTACAACTAAAGTTCTTTTGAATGGAATTATTTAATAGTTTAAAATGTTTTCAATCCTGGAAAATTTTATTTAGACACTTATAAGTAAATATTTTTTTACATAAATAACAAAATTAAAAATATAAATTATTTTAGAATTATACACACAAATAATGAAGTAGCATCCTGGGTTTTCGAAGATAACTTATACTATGAAATTAGTGACACTGCTAAGTAGCTTGATATTAAGAAAATAGAAGCAAAGATAAATAGCACAACAGTTCTATCTCCTTACGTTTTTGAAACTTACACTCTTTAGTAGCTAAAAAAGAGTACACTTACAGCAATAATGATAGATTTACCAGATTAGTATGATATTTCTCTTTAACCTTAAGATATTTCATGTTACGGCTCAATAAGCTAAGCAATTAAAACTAGTTGTAAGATATACAATAATACAATACTGTCTTGGTCAGAGATAACTAAAGTTGAAAATGTTTTCCATTTCCTATATGTAGAATCGCTTATAAATCCTTCAATTACAGATCCCTGCAAAAATAAATAGATTAAAAACTCAAATTTCAAAATATCAATAGTTGATTTGTCAACAAATGAAATTTTAGCAATTTCAGTAAATTAAATATTATTTTTTTATTATAAAGTAATTAATCAATAATTAAAATAAATTTAGAAACCTACTTAGTAAGCATGCATATAATACTCATAAGACCTTCTCTTTATTAAAATTGATGGGCCTACTAAATTGATTAAAGGTCTTTCATATTAGTTTAAGGTAAATTAATTGTTAAATATCTATCCTAATTTTCTATTGAATTTATATTTTTGAATTTATTTTAATTAAAATTAATTTAAATTAACAATTATAAAAATAGATGGAAATAGAAAGACCAGCGAATATATTAAAGCTAATTCCTAAATATAACAATTTATATTTTGATTTGATACCTAACGTTTTTGTGTTTAAAGATTTTGACCAGCCATCAGAAATAGACTTCAAAATTTTAGTTAAATAAAATGCATAAATAGGTACACAATCTATCATTTTCGATAAAATAGAAACAAGGGAAGATTCATCATATAAATCAGGAGATTAATATCAATTACCTCCAATATTAAAATTTGACATTGTTGAAAATTAAGATACAGACTAAACACCAAAATATGTTTTCATTGAAGATTTCAAAGGTAATTCAGTTGGAGGTATAGTCACAGCATTTATAAATATCCCAGAGCCTCCAGCTTAGAATATGTATCTTAACATAGATATCACAAACTCTAAAGTAAAAAAATTTTAATAGTTATTTCAAAATTATTATTGAAAAAAAATTTATTATTTTGAGGGTTCATATTAATTAATTTAAATATAAAATAATTAGAATATAAAAGTATAACCATCTAAGATTTTGATAACTCACTAAGAAAAAAATTATAATTTCACAATTTAATACCTATCAGAAAAAGTGACTGAACCTATTCCATTCTTCTTTTCTCTTTAGTCAAATTAAAAAGTAGTCCATCAACTAAGACCTCCAGTTAAACATTTAGTTATTACTCATAGTGATTAGCATTCAAAAAACAAAATTGCAAAATTAGAATTTATGGATAATATTCCGCATGAAAGCTACTACAAAAATCATTTAGGAAAAATTATTGACACTAATTTAATATAAACAAATGAGCTTAAACCTGAAATATTGTCTATTAAAATTGTATCTCTAAAATAAAATAGAGCAGTTTTATATGTTATTACTAGTTAACCTGGATCAGTTAAATATTTTATTACCTACAAAAATTCTAAACCTCCTCGTTCAACTTAAGAAGTCTACTCATTTAGCTATTCAGAAGGGGTAATTATCAAAAAGGGTGAAGCTCATACTAAATAATATTTCCCTGAGGCCAAGGATTTTACAGCAGAAATAAAGATTGATGAATTGAATTATTCTACATCTTATGAGCTGTATGCAGTTTGTAATAATGGAATGGGAATCTCAACAATAAAAAGTGCTAATTTTACTACTTCTTATTTAAAAGCGGGATCTATTTTCCATGTAACTCTATCTAAAAATACAAATTCTTAAGAATTAATTAAATAACTCTCATAAGCTCTTAGAATTAAGCAAAGTGATATGGCCTTATTAACTTCAAAACAGATAATAGATAATTAAGGAGAAAGGATAAAGAATGATTTATTCACTTTTGAAATAGCTATTGCTCCACAATCTAATGGCTATGACATGAATGAATACCTCTAAAATATGATTTAAAGTAATCCAGAAACTTTCATGAAATTAATGAAAAATTATGTGTAAGGATTTGAAACATATAGAGTTGAACCTTTTTCAAGAAAATATATGAATGGAATGACTAAAATCACTGATCTAAAGCCAAAAGTAGAAAGTGTCAGTTTTTATTCAGCAAACATTACTGTAAGATCATGGGAAGATTCAATGATTTATGCAGTAGTACTGGAAGATAAAAATAACTAAAATATTACTTTGCTTTCTTAGCAAATAATTTTAGGATTTGATTAACATAATAATGCAGTAAAAGAATTTTGGTCAGCTAAGTCTTATTCAAACTCAACCAACTACAATTAAGCAAACCTGCATTTCGATAATTTAAATGATGGTACAAATTATACAGTTTATATGACTGCAACTAATGTAATGCCTTACAATAATCAATTAAAATACTTACCTTTATAGGACAGCAATGTGATAACATTTAAATTTAGCACTCCTTTCAATTACAGTAACTAAATATATTTAAATTACTTATTTTTTTAAGATGAATAATATTAATTAAATTTATTTAAATTAGATGTTGATAGTTGTCTTATGATCGAAGATTTAAAAGACATTAACGCACATCTTTCATAGATTATAGAGAAAAGATATGAAACAGAAACATAATTTGGATATTGTAAAAAGGTGAAAAATCATACAAACTCCACAAAATAATTGATTGGAAAATTCAATAATTGATATAAAATAATATATTTTAAAACTTAAAGTAATTTTTATAGAAATATTGTATTTAATATATATTTGTAAAATATTTATTTTAAAATTGAATTTTTAAAATCTTAAATCTCAAAGGTTAAGGTTGATAATTTTTACCAATAGACTAACTTTAAAATAAATTTTGTTACTATTAAAATTTATTACAAATACCAAAAAATTTATATTATTATTTTAAAAAAAACTGTACAAATCTTTCTATCATAATAAAATTCAATAATTATTTTGCTTAAGATAAAGTTTTAAAAAAATTATTCAAGATATGAGTAAAATAAATTACTTTTGTATTGATATTTAATTTTCGAGATATTATGGTTTATATTTTTAATATGAATTAAAGAAATGCTTTACTGAAAAAATTATTATATCAATATCTCCTAACTATAATTTACTAAATTAAGTACTATATAATATTTTAAGTAACTTTTAGTGAGCTATTCAAGGGTAGAGTAGGGGGAAAATAGGAATATAAATTAATCATTATCTTGATAAATAAATAATCAAAAGATTAAGTTTACTCTTTATTTTGTTCTAATTAATTTTTTTATAATTACTTAACTATAACAGACTTAATTAAATATTTATTTGGTATGTATTACATAAACTATTGTAAAAGAGTTTTTAGATTTTATCAGATAACATTATATTATTTAATTTTATTTTAAATTTATTAACTAATAAAATTTATACATAAATAGTAAGATTTCTTGGTTAAAAACATTATGCAACTTTTAAAAAAGTGCATAAAACAAATAATTTAATTAACAAAAACTATAGAAAATACTTAAATTAAAGAGAAGGGATAACAAAGACAGATAAAATATAATAATAAGACTATCGCTACCACCTTTTATTTTTATTTATATTTCTAATATAAGAAAGAATAAAATAAGTATACTTCACTATCAAGGCTAATACTGTTAATTTACGATGAAATATTTTATATTAGTTTTATTTGTACTAATTTAAATAATTAAAAAAGTCTCTTGTACTTTAGCATAGTAGAACTTTTTTATAGAGCCTATATTCATAAAAAATATTAACACTGAATATGGATAGACTACCTTTTATGAGCTCAAATTTATCTATAACTAAAGTATTCTTGACGGCAATTCTAATATCATGGTTTCGTTCCCATAATAAATAGAATTAAATTATTTTCCTTAAGATATTGAATGCTTTTACAAAATAGGAACTACAGAACATTTAAGCACACCTTGCGAATATAACAGTAAATGCGAAGTTTATATTAAAGTAAGAAATATAGTTAAAGGAGAATCAAGCGTAGCAATAGGTCCTATCTAAAATCCAAATAACATATCTGGCACATCGTTTTTCAGGTTATGTATCTTATACAATGACTATGCAACAGAATGTAATGATTAGTTTGGAAAAGTTTATTTTGGAAGAAAACCAGGTAAAGATATATACAAATTTTAAACATAGCTAAATAGTATTAATACACATATTCAAATGTATAAAAATTGAAATTATAAAATGATTTTATCTTTTTTATTTAAATTGAATATATTATTTCTTAAAAATCTTAACTTCAAAAGATAGAAAATCATATTAATAGTGCAAAAGGTTTAAAAATAGTTTTAAGTACAAAATATTATAAATACTTAAAATTTGTAAATCAAATCTTAGAGCTTTTATTTTTGAGTTGCATTAAACATAATTATAATTAATAAGACTGAATTTATTTAAAAATCATTAATTTGAAAAATATTAGTAAATTAAAATTGGATTAATTAGAACCTTTTCTCTTCATTTAATTTTTAAAATTATATTCTATCTATCTATTTTTAGTAATCTGAGATTAAATATTACTTAATTAAAATTTTGAAATGAATCCTTACTTTAATTAATAATTTTCTTTTCTTAATAAAGCTATAATGCCATACGCAGATGTTTAATATAAAAGCTCTCTTTAAGTGAATGAAGGAAGTTCTTGGCGATTTGATTTTAAATTACAAGGAATTTATGAAATTAATTTATTTAGTATCAGAGTAACATTTCCTGAAGGGTTTATAACTAAATCTGCTTTTTGTGATATTGAAGGTAGCTAAGAAAGGATTAAAACAGTAATCCTGTACAACTAAAGAATGATTGAGTGTTGGAATATTGCAAAATAGCTTTAAGGTAATTAGTAAGTAAGAATCATAAATATGATAAATCCTTAGGGTAAAGTGGATTTAAAGAATTTCTAAATTGAGCTAATATAACAATCAAATAGTTTAGTTTTTGAAAAAAAACTCTTTGATCCTTAATTAAATATTTAGCTGTAAGTAGTAAATATGAAAGCGAAGGTAAATCAAGAAAATAATTTCAAGTATTCTAATAGTACTCTCACTTTCTAGATTAATCTAGAAAACAAACTAGGAGAAGGAGGTATTCTTTCAATATCTTTTGGAGTTTAATGGAGTTTATGGGCTCTTAATTGTACTGTTATCTAAGGTTTCTAAAATTATATTGGAGATATTACAAGGTGCTTTTTGAATTCTAAATATAACAGTTACTATATTCAAAATTTTAAAGAAATTGATTTTACACAATAAATAGTAGTGAAGATTCTTGTTTAATCTCCTTTAAGTGAAGGTACTTATCCAATTAAAATATAGGCATTAAACTCTAAGTAGCAAACAGTTGAATAATCCACAGTAACAGCAATCACAAATTCCACTTGTAAATATTTTATTAATTTCAGATTAATTTTTACTTTTTCTTTTAAGTAATAGAAAATTTATTTAAAGTTAAAAATATACTTAAATCAAATTTTGCATTCAAATATAATACAATTTTCATGAATAAATACTTATACAACAAACTAGTAGTAATATAATTTTATGAAATAAAATTTTTAAAAATTATCATAAAACTGGGAATTTAAAAAAGTACTCTTAAAGCCTTTTAAAAACCTTATTTTTTAAAACATTTAAAAAGTTATAAAAATAAATGATCAAAAAATACATAAGTTAATAATAGGAATTACAAATACTGTTCTATTTTTATAAAAGATTTCTTTCTTAATTACTTTTTGTCTCTATTTATTAACTTTTAATTTTTAAGAAAATCGCAATATAAAAACTAATAGTTCGATATAATTTTATGGTTTTTAAGATAGTACTAAAATTGGCCATATATTAATCTTAATAACAACCAAATTATTTATTTGATCAATTTTTACCTATCTTTTATAAATTCCCCACTCTTCAAAATGTTCTAATTAATTAATATTACTATTAAATGTAAGATTATTAAGTATTTAATTTAATTAATATATTCTTACTTTTTTAATGATACATGATTGATAGAATATTTACTTAACTTAATATTTACAGTTGGAAGTCTAAAAAGATTTACAGCTAACGCTGTAAGAAAGTCATTTAAATTATAAGCTGATAAAGCAGGCCCATTAGAATCAACATTCTTCTTAAAGAAAAATCTTCCAGCAACAAATTATAAATCTACTGGAAAGGTTGTCATTGATATTTTTCCAAAAATACTAAAACCCTCTACAAATTATGGAATAGTTAAATGTTACTTCTTTGGTAATATTTTAGCTTCTAATTGTGATTTTGATGATCACACTTACGCTGACCGCACAAAAATAACTATTTACACTCCAGAGAACTTTGATTATTAAGAGAGTGAAACTCCAATTACAGTGACAACAGAAGGATCAAAGCCAGGCTATAGCGATGGTATTTTGTTAGATCATCTAGTAAAAAGATATTTATTTCATTATCACTTCTATGATAATGATTTGCCAATCTCTGAACCAACAGAAATATATTATTAAGAGTGGGTTCCTGATGCATTTGAAATACCTGATTTAGATTTCAATTACAACATACTTATCAGAGAAAAAAATGAATATACACATATGCGGTAAATTATTTTTTTAAAAACATAATTTAGAACTTATTTTTTCATATTTTAAAATTAAAATAATTTTGATATAAATAATTAAATCTTATTTATTTTAATAGATTTGAAATGAAATAGCAAATAACATTTTTATAAGGAGATAGAAATTATTTACTAAGAGTTACATTTGTAAAAGATCCTATTAATGTATGGTAAATAGGATAACCTTATTAAAATAACTATGGAATTATTGAAGACTTTCCTTGCTTTTTATATGGAAGTAGCATGGTTGCAAATCCTTATTCAAAATGTGATTTATATTAATAGAGTTCTAGAGATCCTTTTGTTTAAGCATATGGCTTTGAAACACTGTAAGTTAAATAAGGTAGTTGGGTAATTTTAGAAATTCCTCAAATTAAAATAGGAAATGTACCTGCTGGTTCAAAAGGAACAATAAGATTTTCATTAATGGAGGAAACACCTGGAATGATTAATCCAGTAGTTGAATTATATTATAAATAAATATCGGTGTAAATATTAGAACAGTCATATGTTGACTATTCATTTAATCCTAACATAGCTGTTACACAAACGCCTCCTTTAGTTAATCAGCAAACAGATCTTAGATTTTCATGGAGTGCAGCTGTTTATAACCCGTAATATTTAATATATGAAATAGATTAAGTGGGTTATTATGATATAGGTAGAGGAATAATTAATCCTGCTAACTGTGATGGTAACTAGTGCATTAAATTTAAAAAACCAATCCATTGGATTGTCATTTATCCTAATACTCCTCTTAGCTAGCAAATAATAACAAATATTTAAGGAGTATTTTAAAATCCAAATTATGCTGACTAATTTATTTTTAAGGTTAGAGCTATGAAAAATGGTGCAATCGTTAATAAGCATACTTTTAATGTAAAAATAGGCCCTGGAGAAATTAAGAATAAAATATTTGATATTTGTAATCCAGGCCATGTCATGAATTCTATTAATGATTTAATAAGAAAAAATGAGGAGAATGAATTCTTTATCAAATTTGAGGTAATAACTTAGATGCCTAGGAATTCTCTAATACGTTTAACCTTTAGAAATATAAAAACCTAAGTATAAAATAATCGCCATATTAATTTTTGTAAAATCATAAGTGGATTAATTCCATATGATGAAAATCCTATTTCCTGCATAACAGAGAGCGCAACAGTAATTGAAATCACTCATTTTGAATTAGTCTAAAAAAATACACTTATTGAAATTCACTTCAGGCTTCTTACTGATAGCTCTGCAGTCATAAACCCTATTGTAGATATTGAAACATTTTATGAACCTTAAAATGAAAAACTAATTGATTACAGCTACACAATTCAATCTAATACACCAAACATATAAACAAATTATGTTGATTCACAAGTAAAATTCAAAATTTTAGATGAAGCAGTAAGATCAGAGAAAAGAGAAAAAGGTTATATTGGACCTGTGATAATTGATTTTACTCCAAATTTAATAAATATTCTTAAAATTATTAAGGTAATCAAAATTTTTTTTTCATTTGGATAAGTTATAAATTTTATCAAAAAATAAGGTAAAATTCGACATAAATTTTAAGACTCCAAGAAATTATGGAAAAGACTCGCTCATTTGTTTATTAAATGAAGTCAGATTTAATTGTATTTACACCATAAATCCTCTATATATAACAATAGATATTTCATCAAATACTTTAAAAGCTTCTCCATCTTATAGATTATCTATATCTACAGAGTATATATCTCCTTAAGATGGTTTAGTTCATCCACAAACGGAAGGTTTTTATCCTATCCATTTAGAGCTCTAAGATGTAAATGGTTTAATAAATTAAGCAACTAAATGGTTATTTATAAAGGCACCTAAACTATAATTTTTATACATAGAAAGTGTTATCAGAAATTAAAAGAGAGCAAATATGTTCTATGTTAACTTTAAAACTACGTTAAATGTTTAAAAGCATAGCTTAGGAGGTAGAATTCATATAGAATTTCCTACTTTAGATCCTATGGGTAACCCTTAATTCGATTTAGATTTAGGGGGTTATAATTAAAGTGGGGATGATGTTGGTTGCAGGTTTATAAAGTTAGGAGTTAAAATTGGAGATATTGGAGATTTTAACGACAATAGATGTCGCCTTATTAAAAGTCAAAGAAGAGGCAATCCTGCAGTAGTAGAAATAATAAATTTTCCTTCACTTCCAGCTGGAACTGAGATTCAGATGTGGATAGCTAAAGTTTTCAATCCACCTAACTTTAATTATCCAAACTAACCTACGCTTTAAGTTATGGATGCAAATATATCTGTAAATATTTTTGAATAAAACCCTTAAACAGGTAAAATATTGTTCATTTTGTTTTTAAAACTTAAAAAAAAATAAGTTATATTAAAAATATAATAATATTAATAAAATGTTATATTTAGGGGATTTAAAATATATACATTATGACACTTATAATGTATTTATGGATATAAGAGATGATCCATCTCTTCATGATGCTTATCATCCTTTTAGCTCTTAAGCTAATAATTAAGTTTGGGAAACTGGATCTTAAGTAAATAGTAAATTAAAATCTATGGTCAACTAAGTTTGGTATGATATTACTCCATTCGCTCCAGGAGATCTTTATATTGTAGAATTACCAAATAATTTCCCAGATACTCTAAAACCTGATTGGAAGATGGCTACTTGCCTAACATTTTATGACTGGTGTTTAACTTTTCCATAAATAAATTGGGTAGTTATGTCTATAAGTACAGACTTAGCTGTAAATAATATGTATGCAAGCAATGATGTATTGAGTAATTAAAATTAATCTTATTTTTACTTTAAAATTAACAAAAATAATTAAATTATTTAGTACAAATTTTGCCTCAAAGTGTACCATAGATAGCTACAACATATAAATCTTATGTATGGTAGGGTAGATTATTCAGAGGATATGTTACCCATTAAATTACTCCTCAATAATGGCTATAGCTAATTGGAACTATTAAAAACTATGGATTAACTTAAATAGATTCCCCATAAATGCTAGTCAAAGGAAGAAAAAGAGTTGAAGTCAACTTTAATTTTACTAATTCTAATTTTATTCCCAACTAAGGTGCAATTTAAATTATATTCCCATCAAGAATACCTTCTATTTATTCTCATTGCAGAAGTTCTATTACTGTTGGATCAGGTCTATATTCAAAATCTGGTCCTTATGGTAATGTCGGTTGTCTTGTTCAAGAGAAAAATTCATGGGTAATCTATGGATTTGGTGATATAAATCCTCTAACCAACATTAAAATTCAAGGAATTATTGATCTGCCAAACGATGGTAATGCAGGATATATAGGAGATTTAGATGTTATAACTTATGGAAGTCATGAATATGATAATATTTTTAACAAAGGTAGGATAATAGATAAGAGTCTAGCACTTCCAAATAGTGGATTTACTATTGATAACTTTTAAACGAAGCAAATTGAAGATATAGATCTATTACATATTGAGACTAAAATTTTAAGAAATGCCTATAGGGTAAAATCTATTAATATTTTATAAATAATTATTTTAAAAATAAAAATATTTAATTTAGACACCTTTGACTTTTAAATTTAAAATTGATAACAATATATTTGCGAATAAAGGAAGAATTAGAATGATGTTTTATCAATACTCTTAATTGTCATTTAATGATAATATTGGATATTCTTTTTAATATTACTCTACAAGTTAGTATGTTTGCAGTATTTAAGTTGTAACTACTTAAGAGAACTATGGCTGTAAGGTGGAGTCAATTACATTAAAAGACCAAGGGTTTAATTAAATATACTATCTTTTTTAGATGATTCCTAATAGCGATTTATTGTCAAACATAGACTATCTTTTTACTTTAACTACAATAGATGGAAATGGATAAGATGAAGGCCTAACTTTTCCAAATTCTGGTTTACCTTACAAAGTAAATCATATTTATTGTTTTAAATAAAAAATAAATAAATTTTAATAAATTTGAAAAGATTGATGTATCTATGTCAGTTTAAGAGCCACAAAGTGACAACGATTACACTCTTCACTAACATTTATATTACCAGGTTTATGGATAATCATTTGCATATTTAAAGTTTACTAGCTATATAACTTTGAAGAATGAGATGAATTTATTTATTTTAGAATTTTAACCAGGATAAACTATTAGAAATGATGATACCTTAATAATAGAAATCCCAACAACCTCTATTGATATGTAATAAAATTTATTTGCAGATGATGGAGGTTTGAATTTGTAAAATTAAGATATTATTTTAAATGATATAATTGATATGTCTCTAACATATCCAGACCCAACTATGGAATGTAGAATTTCAAGAGGACTCTAAATTAAAGGTTATCCATTAAAATTTTTGTGTAGTAACTTTAAATCTTCAGGTAAGTTAAGAGATATTAATCCAAATGATATAATGAAAGTTGCATTTAATATTTAAAACCCTGATGTTTCTTCCAATCATTATTCGATCCCTGTATAAATATATATTCAAAGAAATTATTAAAATGCTTATGAGAAAATTCTCTATGATTTAGTGGAAAATGCCTTTTATATTCACTTTTGGAGTAAATTTTTAAAGAATTATTTTAATGAGTTTATTTAATAAATTAAATAAAATAGATCCTTCCACAATTACTGGAGTTAATGGTGATTTTAATGTTGGTCCTTTAACAAAAACAGTTTGCAATATTCTAACTGATTTTAAATTTAGAGTAAGGAATAGCCAGAATCTTGTAAGCAAAAATGAGGACGCTTATATTTTAAGATTCAATTTTGAACTAAGAGATGATGATTATCTTCATAAAAAAAATTGTGCTTATGTGATTACAGGAAGTCTTCCTATTGAATGCGCAGTCTTGCCAAATCTTAGAGCTTTTATAGCCTGGCCTCATCCAACTAACGATTTAGTAGCTTCTCTATAAATATAAACGACAGATAATAAATGGTTAACAAGTTTCTATAGAGAATAAAACGATATTAAAAGATAAATTATTGGGTATGCTTGCTATATTAGAGAACTTTGGAGTGAAAAAGTTATATACTAAGATTTATACCCTGACTTACAACCAAATAGACTAGATACTGTTTATTTCGATCTCAAATTTAAAGATAACGATTATAATTATGCAAATGAGAAATTGGATTTTATTATGGAAGTAATTAATTTATATTATTGAAATTATATTAACTATAATTTTTAGTAAACTTTTATAAACTTAAAAATAGATAATTAATGAATTTTTTTAAAAAAAAGGTAACTTCCCCTTATTGGTTTTATACAGATAGAGTAATCATATCTTTTCCTGCTAATATTGGATGGGTATTGGTAGGCGAAATGTGCTTAGAAAGTCCTGGCTCTGAAATCTAAATCACCTAATGTTGGTTTGTAAGTAACTCAGGCTAAATCCAAGCATGGATTGATATAGCTCACAGAGTAACATAAAAATTATCTATTATTTTTATTTTAAACATTTATCTAAATTTAAGGATAATTATGTCAATGGAGACTAAAATTCAAGATAAAAACTTTTCATAGAATCTCATATGGAAACATTTTATATTCCATCAAATTCAGTATTAAATCCTAGTTTTAATTCATTTATTGTGTCATTCTATCAATGGTCTAGACATCCTTCAATGTAGCCAAGTCCTTGGCGTAGTAATCCTCCTATCACTCTTGATCCATCAACAGAATAGTATACATGCTTCACAAGCAGTGCAACTATGAGATCAGGAGAAAGTTTTGCAGAATCTCCAAATTAGACTTGGAACATTTCATGGTAAAGTGAATAAAATATAGAATTTGACTATGAATACCACAGGTAAAAAACATTATTTAAATATTCATAAGCAACATTTTCGATAAAACTTTTTTTCAATAAAAATTGATCTATTAATTGAGGTAACTTAATTTATTGATTTTATCAAAAAAAAAAAAAAATCTCAAATTAAAAACATTTTATTAAGATAAAATGAAGCTACTTATAAAAAATTTATAAATATATACCTTAATATGAATCTAAACAAACTTAAACTCATAAAGATTGTAATGTTGGTTTATTTTTTAGTTAATATTCTAAATTTTTTTATATCATTTTAGAAAGTAAATTTAAATCATAAAAAATCACAATATGGGTGGAATTTTTAAATAAAGCAAAGTAAATAATGTAATAATAAATATTTAACTTGCATTCAGATTTTTATCATCATTAATTAAAATATAAGTATTTTCTAAGAAAAAATTAATTAATTAATAATATTAAGTTATCAGTTCATTCTTATTATTTAAAAAAATACACTGATAATTAAGGATTTATTAATTTAATTTAACACTCCAACTCACAACTTCCTTTTTTTTGAAGGGGATAGTTTATTTTGAAGATACTTTATAAATTTTATATTTCTAAATTATTAGGTATTTAGATGAGTTTGTTCCTTGTTTTAAGACACAAAGAGCTCCTATAAAAATGGATATTTATTTGCCTACAACTTTAAATAATTTAAAAGGATCATAAAACTTTCATATATTTGATTTTTATTATGGAAATGATGTTATAATTCCAACTCCAATAGAGATAAAAGATTATGTTTAAGATAAATTAATATGTTGGGTAAATAATGATCGAGTCAAATGCCAGAACGACGATTTAAACAAGAAAATTAGGCTCTATTTCTAAACTTAAATTGATGCAAATAATATAATGTTTATCTTCATTACAGCTCATGATACCAATGATATAACTAAAGAAGGATTTAGCTATGTAGGTAATTAATACCAATACAAGTGGTTGTATGAAATTTCATAATATAGAGGTTAAACTTATTATGGATATACAGAACCTTTTCCTATTATGTATAACACTGACGGAGGTATTAAATGTCCCCATAGAGGAATTGAAGATGGTAATATATAAGATAGTTCTACTCAAATACCTAATCATATTACTGCACATTGGTTTTGGTTTAGATTTGCAAGGCCTGATATTTTAGGAATTACTTTTAATTTCAAACCTAGGGATTATGAAAACAGAGATGTTTATTCTTAAAATTTTTTTATGGGGCTTGAAAGTGGTGCTTAGTATCCTTGTTCAAGAGGATTATCTGGAGGGTAGAAAAATAACATTAGATGTATTTACGAAAAAGGTGATAAAACAGGATTTGGTATATCTCATCGTATTCATATATTTGATTTTAACTATTAAGTTGGTGTAAATGAAGTTTTTGGTTTACTCTTTGATTAATCCGATATTTAACTGAAATTAACTGTTGAAGCATGGGGTGGGTAAGCTACTTTTAATCAACCATACGGAAATTATTTTATGGGTTCTTTGCTTTTTGATGCGTAATATTACTAAATTTTCCTTATAAAATAATAAAATATAATAAAAATAAATAATAAGATGGTTTTCAACAATTGACACCCTATGTAAGGTACCTAATTCTTGCACTGATTGTGACAACACATAAAATGACTGTAACTATTAAGGTATAGATTACATGGTTCCAGAGAAACCTGCTTTTATGGATTAAAATATTTTGCATTTTTTTAATGCATGTTAAGTTGGTACCTAAAGCACTGTAATTGTAGAAATAACACTTTAAAGTAAATTTTTTTAAAATTGGATTGATAAAAGACATAATTTATTTAATATCTTTTTATATTTATATAGGCAAAAGTTAATTTGATTCAACGTATGTTGAAGTATGCTAAGTTGATCCATAATATCATGTAAAAGATATGTTCATTTATGAGAAATACGAATGGAATTCTAATCCTGCTTAGAATGAGTATACTAAAAAAGCTTATTTGTATTATGACTTTAGTGATGGAAAAGTGAATAAGTAATTGATATAATTATTTTTTTAATTTACTTATATTTTGATATAAAAGCATAAAATAAAAAAATTCTTTAGATAAAATAACATTATCAAACTCAGAAAAAAATTCTTTTTTTTATTTTATTCCTTTAAAAAACTAGAATTGGAATTGGATATATAAAATGCAAGCACTACAATAATTCGATAAAAACTTATTATTAATGTGGTGATTTACTTAATAGCCGTTTAAGACTTTAAACTAGGTTTGAAACTTATACAAATAAGATATGTGAGAATAGGGTTGGATCATAGCTAAATGTAGATTGCTCATCTCCTTCTATTTTCGCAAATGAATATATTGCTGAAATTCATACTATTGATATTAGCTAATATAATAATGATTATGACTTCAAAATTTTGAAATTTCATGAAGATACTTGGGTAACTCTTGCCGTTAGGTTATTTGATGTCCATAACAATGCATTCAAAACTCCTTACTATGATTCTGTATTAACTTTTAATTATGATTCATTCTTGAACATTCCTAATTTTGGAATTCCATCAGAATGTTATGTAGTAGAAGGTTTAAGAATGTCAGATAGAAGAATGCTTGGTGAAGAGCCATTGTGTTAAATTTTACCTAATCCTAATAATCCTTCTCCTTTAGCATTTATATTTAAAATCACTAATTGGGATACTATAGTAACTAATGAGTATGTTAGAATCTTATTTAAGCATCATGTCATGCAATATGTGTATAAAGTACACGATATTCCAGATCATTCCCCTTTTATAATGAATATTTATGCAAATAATGAAGCTTATGGGGATGGTAAAAATGGACATATGAACTCAAGAAAATGGGTTAATCCTTATAACTTTTACTTTTGCTGGAATATTAATCATTAATTTGTTGTACTTGACTTCAATCATTATGGTACTGATACAGTTTTAATTACTTAAGCTTAGGCTAATTCAAACGTAAAACATTTAATTATTAAAAATTTGTAGTAATTTACTTTTTTTTAGTAAAAGATTTTTTTTTTAAATATTCAAGAAATTTAAATCTTTTAAAAATTTTTTTAAAAAACCAATTTATACTTTTAAATTCAAAATAGGTTTCATTTAATTTAAACACTAATTATTGCAGCTATAGTTAATGTATCGAATTAGCTTTCTTAGGTTTGTAAGATTATGCTATGGGAAGTACTATTACAATTTAGTGGTATGTTAATGATGTTATAAGTACTTGTGTTGATTGGGCAGATTTCAGAGCTAAAGGTGCACATAGTTGGACTTTATGCTTTGATTAACATAAGTAATGTTTATAAAATGGTAAGTTTTTATTTATTTTTACCTTATTTAATATTTTATTTTAATTGTAAGAATGGAATACTGGGTAGGTTCTTAAATTTAGAGTTATATTTAAAGATGTTTTAATACCATTAGATAGAAATTATTGGTGGGTCCATATGAGATTATATGAAAAAACAACTTTTTAAAGATACTCAGGATGGTGTGCTCATGAAGGTTGGGAGTTTATGTGCTAAAATGATGAATGGATAAATTAGTTTGAAGTAGGAAGCTAGTTATCAGTCAATATTTTGTCTTTGTCTTATGACTCAATCACAGAAATAGATTTTACTATAACATAAATATATGAATCTATAGGTTTAGATGTTAATGTGAATAGAATTTTAATTATGGAATTCAATGGACCAGATTGGCTTGACAATCCTATCTATGGAACATAATATGATTTATAAGAAATTAATTGTTTATGTGGTGTCAATACATAATTTTTAACTCCTTAAATATGTGTAAAAAGAAATAGAAGAATTGTCTCAGGAAGGATTTATGATCCAGTTATTCTTTTTTATTTCTCAGCACCTAAAGGTAATTATTTTTAAACAAATATATTTATATTTATTTACTCAGTCAAAAATAAACTTATGATGAATCCTTTTATTTTATTTTAAATTACATTTATTTTTTATTTACTAAAAGGTTCTACTGTCAGGTGCTCTGTCCCAGAAATTATGATATAACCTCAAAACGGTGCACCAAGTCCTAGAAAACTGAAATTCAAAATTATTCGTCCTTCTATTTATGAATGGTATGGAAAAAATGGGGAATAGTATAATTCAAGGGTAAAATCTGAGTATAATTTTACGCCTATTCCTAATAGCTCTACTTCTGATTTGAATTTAGTTTCTAATCCCTCTGTTTTTTACTAAGATAGAACTACTACAGAATTATTTGTAGGTTACTATGATTTATAGATTTCTAATATTAAAAATCTAAACACTCCATATGTTTACATAAGACATGCTTAGATTGGTCCTTTAATGACTTCTGAATTTTGTGAGGATTAAAGTATTTGGGATCCTTAATACACTAAAGTTTATAATTAACATACAAAATTAATTATATGTAGAAGAATTAGTTCATAAACCACAAATGCAGTAATTGGAGCAGGAAAGTATTATATAAATATTATTTACCTAATTCATTTTAATTAACAACATTTTTATAAATAAATAGAAATCTTTATTTTGAACAATGGAAATCTCAAACAAATTCAGATTATTTCTATAATGTGTATGTTTACTAAAATTAAGATCTAAAATAGTAAAAATAATCTTCTTCTATACCAAACAACTAATTTTAACCAATCAAAGCCTCATCTTTTATCGTTGATCACTTCTTCTACTCATATAATAAATCTTCAGATTAATCAATAATAGCAATATAAATTGGTTTAAGGGGATTTTTATGGAGAGAAATAAGAGATGGAGGAAGAGTTGAAGTATATTTGCTTAGAGTTCAAGTTACTGGAATAACATCAGGTAAATTTTATTTAAGAGTAAAAGAAATTAAAAAATTAAATAATTAAAGCTTGCTCTGCTAGAATTGAAAAAGAATTTTAACATATCTTATGGTGTTATGTAGACAATAGAAATCCTGATTATTGGATAATAGTTGTTAACAATCTATTCACCGAAATACAAACAAATAATTTTTTGAATATTTATTTCTCAATGAAAAACCCCTCAGGATATACAAATAGGTTTGTGTAATATACAGCTAAATTTTATTACAATTATAAATCTGATAGAGACTATAAAGTTTAACTCTAAGATTAATTTACTCAAAATACATTTGATTTCTCAGAAATTGATAAAGGATATTCTAGAATTGCTAATACAATGTCTCGCTTTTATGGCTTCAAACCCAAAATTTTTATAAATAAAAGATATGAATAAAGATTTTATACTAAATATATGACACATAAAGTATGGCTTTCAAGAAAAGAGTAAAATAAAATTATTTGCTAAATTTATTTTAAATTAACAAAATAAGAAATTTCTTCAATAAAATTAGAATATAAAAGCTCATTTTATTTTTTCTAATATTTAAATAATTTTTTTAGGATTATTACAAACGAAGAATGCTTAGAAAGTGGATTTGATTGTAATACCTGTATGGATGTTAGAATTAGAGAGTATGATCCTGTTATCCTGCAAAGATATTAGTAAATAATAAAATTTTTCATTTAAATTTTAATTTAAAAATTAATAATATTAAGTGAAATAGAAATTAGAAGCAGATCTTGGTTAGGTAATGGATTTAGGATTGATTAACCTACTCTAAGGTTCTTTAAAGTAGGCTCAAGATTAGAAATCATTATATCTGCGAGAACAACAAATATACATATTGGTCTATGGAAATAGAATAATCCTTATAAAACAGGACATATGCTTGTTTATGATTTTGCTTAAGATGTGTATTAATTAAAAACAAGTTATTTTCATTTAAAATAAAAATATTATTTTTATATAATTAGAAAAACCATGTAAAACAATGATCATCAGTCTAATACAAAATACAATGATTACTCAACAGATAAATAAACAGATGAACTAAGATTATAATATTTCTATTTCACTAACTAAATACATAATTAAATTACTTCATTTATTATTGGAATGTTTGTTAAAAGCGGTAGCACTGTGGATTATCCAAGAATATATTTTGAGTTAAAATTCCCTATTTTGAAAGTAGCAAATATTCCAGGAGCTATTCATGGCAAAATAATCCCATGTTAAATTTCTTTGGTTTTAGAATCTCAAAACCCTAATAGAATCAATTCAGCTCGATGCAGAGTTTTTGATATTAACAGTATTCCATTAATTTTAACAAAAATAAATTTAAAAATATATTTTTTTTGAAATTAGCTCAATCTTATTAAGGTTTAATGGTTAGAATTGAGGAAGTTAATTAATTTAGTCCTTAGTCTTTATTGACATTTGCCTTTGATGATTGGCTTCTACCTGACTCTACTAATGGTTACACTCCTATAGATATCGAATTCAACCTTTATAGAGCTTACACGCCAACTACTGCCTCTCTTTAATACTCCAGATATTATCTACTTCTAAAAGAAATGATCTTAGTAGATGGAATAAACACCTAAATTTGGAATAATACTGTCATTCGTAAATTAAAATTCAAAAAACTAACATATTAATATTTTCATAAAAAAAATTAGCTCCCGTATAATTAAAATCTCCTAATAGCTATGTTTATGGAACAAAAAATGTTGAATATAGCGATAATATAATTAATTCTTGGCCTTAGCCTACTACAGGTTATTTAGATACTTGGGGGCTGCAAAATACTGCTGGATAAAAGGTTTATTTTTTATATTTTTATTAATTTTATTTACTTTTTAATTGAATTTTAAGTTTTATTTTACCTAAATATTTTAAATAAAAGATGCGATTAATATTCACTGATGGTTTAATTGGTGGAGATAATACGCCTGATTCAATGAGTTATTTCGATGACTATGGTTAGCTTTAGTTACTATGGTTTAATAGAAAAACAAGGTCCGCTTATATATCTGCTCCAAAAAGAGACAATAATACTAATTCAATTAAAATATCTATTAAAAATGCAGTTAACCCTTATCCTTATTAAAGAGACACTTGGAATTTAAATGGAAAAATAGATTATCAATTATTCATGGGTTAATATTGGAATTTTGATGGTGATGGATTTAGATAGACAGATATAGGTATCATAGACTTATCTTCGAATGTTCAATGGTCTTAATTTATTAAAAGCGTTCCTTTATTCAATATAGATCTTACCAAGTCCCATCTTGTAAATATTTAGTTTATTTTATACATTTATTTATTTAAAACATTTTACTAAAATAAAAAAAAATATTAGACTGATGTCCTTCCTACATATAACTATGCAGCTAATTAGAGTATAACTATGAGATTTAGAATAACACATTAAATGAGCAAAGCTGAAAGAGTAAAAAGACAATTAACTAATGTTGTATTTGATTTTACATAAGGAGTTAAGTTTATTCATAAATGCTACATATAAAGTGAGGGTCAGAAATAAAATGTATTTATTTATAGATATGTAGACTGCTAAATAGGTTTCAACAATAATAAATATTATGTCAATTTAATTGGGATAGCAAATTGGGAAGATACAATCCCTTACTAAATGTTTTTATAAATATAAACAGACTAAGATAGCATTGCTTATTAAATATTAACTTATTCGTAAAATGGAGAAGTTGAGTTTTTCAAATAAGTTATTGTCCCATCAACATTATTTAGCAAAATTCATAATACTTTTAATTATTTTACATTTATTGAGGGAAAATATATTTCTGATTATCATGAATTAGCTTAAAGAAAAATATTTGCTAATAGTGCTATTAATACTACATGGAGATTAAGATTTAGATTTATTTTAGATGTTACACTCAATTATAAGTAAACTACAATATTTGTTGATCCTATGACTAATGCAGATTATTTACAAATTAATTTACCTTCATCTCTAACTAATGGTTATATTTAAAGTGATCCAAGTTAATGGTTAATGTGCTATTTTATTCCTGAAATATCTTTATATGATAAATTAGGTAAAATGAAGATTTTTTTATTTATTTTTTAAATTTCTTTCAAACAAATTTAAAATTCATAGTTAGTCTAAAAAATAAATTTTTTAATTAAAAAAAAAGCATTACCTTTATATTCTAAATGTAAAGTTGAAACTAGCGCAAATCCATACTATTATGTTCTCACAGCACCTAGAGATACTTTAGTAAATGGTCAAACTTATGTAGTTCACATATCAGAGAAGAGAATTTAAGGTGCCTCTTTCATTCTTCCTGGAGCTCCATAAAGATCTGAGTTCATTTGGTATTGCTATAGTCCTTTTGCAACAACAACGCCATCTTATGATACTTTTATTACAAGGATAACAAATAGATTCAAAAAAGCTAAAATTAATCATTTAACTACTACTTCAGAAGACTATGATGTTGCTGAAATTACTTTCACCCCTTCAGTCTCTCTTAATCGAATGTCAGAGTCATATTTCTTGATTGAAATAGATAGTATATATTTCTAAAAAATTGGTTTAAATTATGAAGATTTTGATATAATAAATTCATATAAAAGAGATGGATTACCTGAATTTATTAATGGAAATGATCATTCTTATTTAATAGAACCTCCTTTCTCAAGTGGATTTTCTTTAATCAATTTTGGTTAGCATAGTAATTTCTATGCAAATATTATGATCAATCATGTTAATGGATAGGATTTGAATGCTGATTAATAATACATTTTCAAAATTCCTATGATTAGAAACCCTGCAAATTAGCATTCTTCTCTTTCTTATAAAATTTCTACAATTTTCATCAGTAATAAAGATATGAGAAAACAAATTTTAGATGAATTTTGGTTCATTAATCATGCGTATGTTGACACAGTACATACTGATATGACAGATGCTAACTTTAAAATAAATTCCTTCAACGATTATGTACTATAAAATACTATGGATTTAAGTGTTTAGTTTAATTATGATATAGGTCCACCTTAAAGAATTCTTTTAAAATGGGATAATAATAATGATATTGCAATTGATAGGAAGCAACTAATGGCAATTTAAATCTCTGGATGTAAGGTTGAAGTCTTTGATAAAATATATTTGATTATGGTAACCCCTTAATCTTTTTAATAATCAGCATGGTCTATCATGAGTTTAGGAACTAATTTTTAATCCAATACTTACTCAGTTTAATACGGGTTTTGGTTTATATACATAACTAATAAATCATTAACTTAATATTATCATAACCCCCAGCAGAAATAGCTCAAACCATTATTAGATCTTACTCCTAAAACATTTGTCTAAAAAATAGGATTTGAAACAATAAATAGTGTTTGCCTTTACAGATTAATTATTTCTACACCAAGTTAAGTTCCTATTGGAGGATATATTGAAATAAATCTATCTAATGAACTAGATGGATTTGAACCTTACTGTTATACTTACTCAGAATTCAAGTAAGTTGACTCAACAAACCCTAAGTAAGTTAAATATGGGCCTCTTGAATGCCAAATGCTAAATTCTAAATAATATGTAATAAAAGGGTTTAACAGTTTTATTGCATCTACAAATATAAATGTAGACTTATATCTTAAAAATGTGAATAGTGGATCTGTGGTCAACCTTTCAAATGTTAGTATATATGGAACATAAAATTCTTAAAGCATAATAGCAATTTCCAAACCTGTACCTTAGGTAACAATTCTATCTAGTAATCCAGGAATGAGTTAGTTTGAAATATTAGATAGAGTTAGTTATCCTATTTATGCAAAAGAGTGGTAAAAATTAAATTTTGTTTTTACTTTGAGATCAAACAATTTACTGATTAATTAAAACTACAAATTAAAATTTAATCTTCCATCTGGCTGGATAAATGCAATCGGAACAAGAATAGAGTTAAAAGGTAGATATAAAAAAAACGATTCACCTATCATGACAGACGATACTTACCCATCACCTCCTTATAAATACAAAGATTGGACTACTTCCAAGCATAGCTTAGAAGGAGATAAACTAGTATTTGATATTAATGTAGATGATCCTTTATTAAATCACTATTCCATTAATAATTAAACCGAGTATATTTTTTCAATTGAATCTTAAAGAGCAGATATAGCTAATTAGGAAGGTCTTTTAAATGCTGATAGAGGTTTGTATAATTTTTATCTGGATGCATACTAAGACAACAAACTGCTTGAAAGAACTTATAATGAATATTACGTAAAACCCAGAGAAGATGTATCTGATACATTTAGAGTATAAGTTTTAAATACAGGTGCAGGATAAAAGACAGCAATTAGATTTAGTTTTACAATGAATTATGATAAAGCTGTTCAGGGTGACTAAGTTTGGATTGAATTTTAAACATTTGATAGGTTAAATAAAGTATTTAAAAATGATCTTGGGTTAGGTTTTAGCGATATTTCAGATAAAATAGATTGCTAAGAGAGATTTGGATTTCATAAAATATCAAACTAAAGAATTGTGTGTTATATTTTTAAAGGAAACTAAAATTTATTAGCACCAAAAAGAGGAACTCCTGTTCTAATAAAAATTTTAATCTAAAAAGATATTCCAAGCACAGAATTAGTTGATTTTTGGATAGCTTATGCAGAAAATCCAATTACTGTTGGATAAGTTGCAGGTATTAAATTGAGCGTTAGAAGAGATTGTAGAGATGATAGCCCGCATTTTAATTGTATTCTCTATCACGCTGAGCACTAATATTATGTAACACAATCAATACCTCTTAGCTAATATTCTTCAAATGGAGCTTTCTCTGCAAATTCAAATATTGTAACTCTTACTGCTTCTCATACATTCACTATTAAATCATCAGTTGATATACAATCAAATTAATACATACTAATTTAATACCCTTCTAACCATAAAAATCAAAATACCTGCTTATCATTAGTTGGAGAGTGTTTAGAATTTCCTTAGTATAACTGGGTATTTACTAAATTTATAAATTTTAATTTATTTCTAAAATTTGAAAAAAATTTTATTAAAACACCTTATTATTTGAAAGACCAAATGTCATCCATCCCCTTAAAATTTATAACATCAAAATAACTTAATTAATATATTTAATCTTTCTTACTGTTTGTATAAATAATATTTTTATTTTTGAAATAATAGGTTTTATTTAAACCAAGTGCTTTAATCAAAGCAGGGTTAGATACTTCAATAAAGTTGGATAATATGATAAATGGATGGCATAGAAGAAGTCCTTCTCCAGATAATTATTTCCTTCTCTAGGTATTTGATAATAACGGAAATATAGTTTAAACTTTTAAAATTACACATAACTATTATGACTATTTTTTGATAAGTAATTTTTTAATTATATAGAGAATACTTTTAAAGATTAATAAAATTTATATTATTTAGATACTTAAGGTTCAATAATTAACACTCAAACTTATGACTAAAAATACCATATTAACACACTATTCCTCAAAGAAAACTTTATGAACGTAGCTTAGTTAGACGTACTTAATATGTATATAGAATAAGAAATCAACTATTTTAGATTAGATAAGCCAAAGGAAATCTCTAAATTTGATTTAAATTATTGCAATGCTACATTAACTATAATACCTACAACTTTAAGATTACCCTACCCTCTTAGATATGATTGTGAAGTTCATGAATAATATATACTCCTTATTAGGACAACACATTTCCCGCCGTGGGATTTTACTTTCACCAAATATAACTTAAGAATTTATTTTAAATTTATTATTGATGGCAAAATACCTCTTATGGATGGAGTTTTGCCTAGATCAGCTAATCCTTTTATACTCTATGGATGTGTGGTTCGTTGTGACGATCCCTTAGATTCTAAAAACATTTTATCATGGTCTCATGTAACTTAATCAAACATTCCTTGGGATATATCATATTACAATTAGCCTAATTTAAATAACGCAGGATTCTACACATAATCATTTTATTAATGTTAAGCTCACATCAATGATTTAGTTAGCCTTTAGATGATGATTTAGCCAAATACTAACTCTTCAACTTGTGACATCAATTAGCTAGTATTTACAGTATCTGATGAGTTCATATATCCTTCTACTCTAACTTTAGATTAGTGTACAATTTAAGGTAATAAACAAATAATATAAAAAATACAGGAGTAAGTATTAATTTAAATTTCTATTATTTAAAAAAAGGCATTATATAAGCCCCTGTAGATTCATGCTCTGTTTCAAGAAGACAGGGTTAAACATAAGTAAAATTAATTTTAAAAGAAAAATTAGGAGACTTAGCTTAAATAGTTACAATTAGTGACAAAGATGTCAATAAAATATTTGTTGCTCCTTCATATCCTGGTATGTTTTACCCTATAAAGTTAGATATGTATTGTGATTCAAAGCTTATCGAGACTTAATTCACTAACTTCACTAATGTAAGAGGTGAAAATTTAGATGTAAGCTATTTGAAAATAATGAATTCTTTAGATGAAAAAACTCCATAAATTTATGAGTTTTAATTTAGAACTGGAAAGCATGCTATTCCAAATGGTTACTAAAGAATAATTTAGGGATAACTATCTTAAGGAATATATTCTAGTATTTAGTTTATATTTGAGTGGATAGGTGATGGATATAATATTCATCAAGGTTATACATATGATTTAGGTATGAACATTAAAGATGGCTCAGAAGTAGGTTGTGCTATAAAAAGTGGATTAAAATTGATTTAAGGAAATATACTTAAGTGCATTTTAATTTATGGAAAAGGACCTGAGAAAATGCCTTAAATTTCAATATCTAATTATGAATAAATACCTCCTAATACTTAAGTATCGATATTGATTACTAACATTTAATCTATTGGGGCAAACTTTTTAACTACAATCAAAATTGGTATTATTTATTATAATTTATTAAAAATTTTATCAATTTTTAATTTATAAATTAATTTGTAAATTTATAGGTGTGTTGATAACGAATCCTAAATTCAATTCTGAAGCATATTTTTACGACCTAGTTGCATATATCCCTGATAAGACAAGTGCTTTAAATTCACCAATAGCCAATACACACGATGATGTTGTTGTTACAGGAAACAGCTAAATACACTCTTCATCTAACTATCAATTCACATTTACTTTAGGAAGAAGAGCTCTCAAAGTCACAGATTACTTTGGTATATAATTCCCTGATAATTTTATTAACACATTGATGTATGATCCTTCTACAATAAATTGTGTATCTACATGTAGCTCTATTTATGTTTTCCCAGCTTCAAGCATGGTATATCTATAGCCTAAAACAAATTTAGCAGCTAATAGTTAAGTTGTTTTCTAAATTAATGGAATTCCCAACCCAAATTATGCAGTAAGAGGATAAATTACTATTAAATAATTTACATTTATTGACCGAAAAATAGATAGCTAATATAACGCTTAATTTTCTGCTAATTTTACTCCATCATCCCTATTTTAAAATGCTAATGTTGAAGTTTCTTCTTAAACTGGCGGTGAAACTAATGTTCAGTATACCTTCTAATTCTAACTAGGGCACACAGTACCAGCTAATGGAGCTATTTCGATTGATTTCCCATTAGATCTTTATGATAATCCTAAATTATCCTCAGAACCTATCAAATGCAAATTATTTGGTGATGTTTTTGATGAATTCAATAAGTCAGTTTGTAAATTTGCTGGTCCAAACAGACTTAGTATTGCTTTGGTTAATACTTAATTGCTTCCAAATTCTATATACAAAATAATAGTAGATGGCATTACTAATCCTAATAAGAGTTATGATTAAGCTAGCAAGCAATAAAACTTTGTATTTTCATCTCATTTCAATAGCAATGCTATATTAAATCAAATCATTGCTCAAAAAACTACTAGTCCTCCTATATTGTATGTTACAGCTTTGAAGAAATGTATCGTTTAAGTTAGCCCATTCATCAAAAATACAAAATTAAAATCATTTTACTCATTTAAATTTTCTTGTAATGTATAGATTAAGAATAAAAGTATAGTGGAAATAAATTTACCAACAGAATATAGCATGAATAATAAGTAAGATACTTATGATTGCTCAAGTTTTGAATAATCCACTCTTTATACAAAATAATGTACTCTTTAGGAGATTAAAGGATAATTGATTCTGTCTGCTTAACTGAGAGAAATAACAAATTCTTAATAATTTACTATAAATTTAGATTTATATAATCCTAGCATAGAAAATAGTAAATATATTTTCTCAGCTAAATTTAGGTAGTAAAATCAATATTTTGCAGACACATAAAACACAGGAACAAATTTTGCTAGCATTTTTGAAAATCTAAAAATAATATTTACTAAAAACCAAGACAATCATTCTTAAATTAAATTATAGAATGTGCCAATAAATGCAGCTGAGCCTGCTTATTATATTTTTAAAGTAAAAAAATATAAATTTGATTCTAATTAAATATAAAATATTATATTTTAAAATCTAAAATATTAAATATTTTTTCATTATCCTATTAAATTTAAAAGACCCCAAGCTTAAGAAACAAGATATAGATTGAACAGACCTCTATTATATTCCCTAATCATTTTTCAAAAAACCTAGGAGAGAATCTGAAGTGCTTTATACTTAATTCAAATAACGAAGCATATAGATTTTCAATACATGATATTCTAAAATTAAAAGCTAAATAATTAAATGATTATTAAAATTTTATTTAATTGCCATGTTCAACAAATTATGATTATACCATAAGTAATCCAAATATCATAAAATAATTCTAAATAATTATTTTTGTTTTTAAATTAATAAGCATTCTTAAATGTTAGAAGCTTTTATAACGAAAGCTCTTTTGAATGGGACTACTTAATGGTTTAAAATGTATATAATCCTGGAAAATTTTATTTAGACACTTACAAGTAAACTTTATTTTTTTGAATACTTAATAACATAAATTTATAATAGAATTATTCACAGTAGCGATGGGATAGCATCTTGGGTTTTTGAAGATAATTTATACTATGAAATTATTGATACAGCCAAATAGCTTGATATTAAGAAAATAGAAGCAAAAATAACTAGTACAACTGTCTTTTCTCCATATATTTTTGAAATTTACACTCTTTAGTAGCTAAAATAGAGTACTCTAACTGGAATAATGATTGATTTACCAGATTAATATGATATTTCTCTTTAACCTTAAGACATTTCTTGTTATAGCTCAATTAGCTAGAAAATTAAAACTAGCTGTTAATTATACAATAATACAATACTATTATGGTCAGAGATATTCAAAGTTGATAACGTTTTTCACTATATTTATGTAGAATCGATTATTAATCCCTCTATTACAGATCCTTGCAAAGAAAATTAATTTAAAAATTCAAATTTTAAGCTAACTATACTTGATTTGTCGACAAATGAAATTCTAGCAACATCAGTAAAATAAATTTTTTTTATTTATTATCAGATTTATGAATTAAAATAAATTTAGAAACCTAATTAGTAGGCATGCTTATAGTATTCTAAAGACCTCCTATATATAAAAATAGATGGACCTACAATGTTAGTAAAAGGGCTTTCTTATTAGTTTAAGGTAAATAAATTTTTTTTTATTTTTTATTTATTATCCTCTTTTATTTAATAATTTTATGAATTAAATTTATAATTATTTAAAGATGTAAATTGAGAGACCTGCAAATGTGTTAAAACTAATTCCTAAATATAACAATCTATACTTTGATTTAATACCTAATATTTTGGTATTTAAAGATTTTGATCTACCATCAGAAATAAACTTCATAATATTGGTTAAATAAAGTGCTAAAGTAGGCAATTAATCTATTAAATTTGATAAAATAGAAACAAGAGAAGATTCTTATATAAAATCGGGAGATTAATATTAGTTGCCTCCAATACTAAAATTTGTTGTAGTAGAAAATTAGAATACTATAAACCATGTTTTAATAGAAGATTTAAAAGCAAATTCTATTGGGGGAATAGTTACAGCTTTTGTAAATGTCCCAGAGCCTCCATCATAGAATATGTATCTTAATATAGATATTACAAACTCTAAAGTAATTTTTTATTATTTTAAAAAGAATTTTAATTTGAAAAATTCTAATCTTATTTCAAAGTTAAACTACAAATTAAATGATGTAAAACTTTTTTAAAAATCATTATTCAAAAAAATTATTTAATAGATCAATTTTTTACATGAAAATATAAATATTTTTTAACATGATTTTTAATAATTATTAAGTTTTTTTTATTTTCAAACTATAAATTCTCATAAATTATTTCATTTTTCTCAATAATTAAAATTTACTTTAAATGTTAAAATTAATAAATTAACTTATCTCACTGAATAATTATATTAATAAATTTAAATTATAAAAAAAGAATATAGATGTTTAACCTTCTAAAATTTTGATAACACATGAATAAAGAAATTATAATTTTACAATTAAATACTTATCAGATAAAGTTACTTAGCCTATTCCATTCTACTTCTCTCTATAATCAAATTAAAATATTGTTCATTAAATAAGATCTCCTGTTAAACATTTGGTTATTACTCATATAGATTAACACTCAAAAAACAAAATAGCAAAATTAGAATTTATGGATAGTATTCCTCATGAAAGCTACTACAAAAATCATTTGGGAAGAAGTATTGACACTCATTTAATATAAAAAGATGAGCTTAAGCCTTAAATATTGTCCATAAAAACTGTATCTATATAATTAAATAAAGTAGTTTTATATTTAATAACTAGCTAACCTGGATCAGTCAGATACTTCATTACTTATAAAAATTCTAAACCTCCTCTCTCAGCTTTAGAAGTTTTCTCTTTTAGTTATTCAGAAGGAATAATTATCACAAAGGGTGAAGTTCATACTAAGTAATATTTCCCAGAAGCTAAAGATTATACAGCAGAAATAAACATTAAAGAATTAAATTATTCTACATCTTATGAGCTATATGCAGTTTGTAATAATGGAATGGGAATATCGAGAATAAAAAGTGCTAATTTTACTACTTCTTATTTAAAAGCAGGAACTATTTTCCATTTAACTCTATCTTAAAATACAAATTCTCGAGAATTAATTAAGTAGCTCTCATAAGCCCTTAGAATTAAACATAGTGATATGGCCTTATTAACATCAAAACAGGTAATTGATAATTAAGGTGAGAGGATAAAGAATGATTTATTCACTTTTGAGATAGCCATTGCTCCATAGTCTAATGGTTATGACATCAATTAATACATTAAAAATATGATTCATAATAATCAAGAAACTTTCATCAAATTAATGAAAAATTATGTGTAGGGATTTGAAACATATAGAGTTGAACCTTTTTCAAGAAAATATATGAATGGAATGACTAAAATCACTGATCTGAAACCAAAAGTAGAAAATGTCAGTTTTTATTCAGCAAATATTACTGTAAGATCATGGGAAGATTCAATAGTTTATGCAGTTGTTCTAGAAGACAAAAAAAATAAAAATATTACTTTACTTTCTTAATAAATAATTTTAGGATTTGATTAGCATAATAACCCAGTAAAAGAGTTTTAGTCCACAAAGTCATACTCAAACTCTAGCAATTATTACAATGCAAATCTATATTTCGATAATCTAAATGATGGAACCAACTATACAGTTTACATAACTGCAACTAATGTAATGCCTTACTCCGAATAACTAAAATTTTTACCTTTACAAGATAATAATGTGATAATGTTTAAGTTTAGCACTCCTTTCAATTATAGTAATTAAATTACTTTTAATTTAATATTATTTTAAGAATAACTATATTAACTAAACATATTAAAAATAGATTTAGATAGTTGTCTTATGATTGAAGATTTAAAAGACATAAATATATAGCTTTCATAAATAATAGAAAAAAGATATTAAACAGAAAAATAGTTTGGATATTGTAAAAAAGTGAAATAAAAAACTAATTCAACTAAAAAAATATTAGGATAATTTAATTATTGAATAATTAAAATTTTTATGTTCTCAGTTTTGATATTATAAGTATTGTATTTTTATAAAATCAAATAAACAAAAATTAACTACTTTTTAAAGGCACAATAATTATAATTGCACTTTATTATAAAAAAAATTTTGACAATAACTTTTAAATTTAATTTTAAAAAGATTTGAAGCTCTATAAAAATATAATATTTGTCTCATAGATATTAAAATAGTATCCTAAATATAATTTACTGCTAGTAAAAATGCAATAATTTAATTTTCTTTTTATATTATTTATCTTTAAAATTTTGTAATACACAGCTTTTAAGTGCATAATAATAAATTGTTTTTATATTATAAATATTTAGATATATATATACTTAATGGATTATTATGTAGTTTAGTATTTTTTTAACTTTTTTTTAGATTATCCTATACAATTTAAGTTTTATTTAAAATTAAATTATGAATTATTTGTTTTTAAACAAAAACAATAATTTGGAATAAAAAATTATATAATTTAGTATTTAATTTATTTAATTATAATTTTGAATAGATTTGATAAAATTTGATAAGAAAAGTGTGTTATTTTTAATAATTTGGTTTTTCACTTAATATTTTTGAGTAGCCACTTTATGATATTATAAATATGATTAAAAACAATGAAATGAAATAAAGAGACACTTCTGGTTGAATTAAAGAATGTTCAAACCCATATTTTTAATTTGTTTCTAAATTTTTAGGTGATAAATCTTTGTTTAAAATATAATTTAGATGTTATATTAAGTCAAATAAATGTTGTAACTTTTGATATGGCGGGGTACATATCATTTGTAATAACATTCAATTCAATCACAAAAAAAAATGGGTTAAAAGGCAAAAGCCACTTTTTATTAATCATGATTTGAAAGCATTAATAAATAATGATCTTTCAATCAATAAATTACTATTAAAGTAAAGAACATATTTTTTAATAATTTAATAATATTTTATCAAGATAAAATAAAATATTTAATTTTAATTTGATAATTAGTTACTTCTAAACATGAAAAGTGTGTTATTTTTAATAATTTGGTTTTCACTTAATATTTTTGAGTAGCCACTTTATGATATTATAAATAAGATTAAAAACAATTAAATGAAATAAAGAGACACTTCTGGTTGAATTAAAGAATGTTCAAACCCATATTTTTAATTTTTTTCTAAATTTTTAGGTGATAAGTCTTTGTTTAAAAAAAATTTAGAAGTTAAATTAAGTCAAATAAATTTTGCAACTTTTGATATGGCACGGTTTCACTGTTTCATATCATTTGTAATAACATTCAATTCAATCAATAAAAAATAGGTTAAAGGCAAAAGCTACTTTTTATTAATCATGATTTGAAAGCATGAATATTTAATGATCTTTCAATCAATACATTAGTATTAAATTAAAAGCATATTTTTTAATAATTTAATAATATTTTATCATGATATAATAAAAAATTTAATTTGATAGAATCTTTAAAAATCTGCTCGAATAAAAAAATTAAAATTTTTAAACATTTTTAAAAACATTTAATGAATTATTTATTTTCATTAAAATAATAAAACTGAAAAATTATTTTAATTTAAATTCTTATAAATTAATAAAAAAGTTAAATAAATAAATAAAAATATTTTAGGGAGAGGAAGAGGTGTAAATACAATATAATTTTTTTATTTTAATTTGAGAAAAATGAATGCTATTAGATTATTTGAATTTATGAATTTTCTAACAAATAATGAAAATACAATAAATTTAATAGTTTAAATTAATATTAACATTTATTTAAAATTTATTCTTAGTCAGATTGGAAGTGACTAAAATTTTGTAATTAATGTTTATTCCAACAGTAGTAATTTAAAGAAATTAATTAAAAAATGAAACTTTCTCAAATAAATCTAGGCATTACCATTACCTGGAAAAGATAATAACTATAAGGTTAAATTACCTCAAGAAGGTTAAAGGATTTAGCTCAGTATATTAATAAACTTTAAAAACAATTTCTGGAGTTTAGAGAAAAGAACAGAGATTAAACTAGAGGAAGAAAATCAAATTAAAGAATATTTATACAATAAAATTTAAAAGAATAAATCACTAAAAGCTTTTGATTTATCAGAAAGATCATTCTTTCATATTGAATCTAAATGTCTGCATTAGAACTATCCAGAGATATTTAAATTAAATAGGTTTTAGACAAGTCAGCTACTTCAAAACATCTGATAAGTTCAAACAATATCAGCATTCGATATAATTTGGCTCTGATGATGCGAAACAATATCACATAATTAGACTTGGGATAGATCGTATAACATATAAAAAATAATTATTTTCATAATGAAAAAATAAAAAATTATATTAAAAATTTTTATGAGTCCATCCCTAAGAGTGTATAATTATAGAATATAAGGAATTATCAAGATATAAGTTAATAATGATCAATTAACTCTATTTTTTATGTTCTATAAAGAGTATAAATAAACTTTTTTTGAACTTCATTTCTCTCCTCTATAAAATAAAAATTTATTAAGTTAATACTTCTCATATTATAACTATAAAGATAGTCTAAAAAGAATTAAAATATGCATCATAAAAAATTTAATATTTAAAAATTAAAAAAAATTTATATTATAATACAAAAAACAAACAATACTTATATTCGAAACAGATTATATTTATTTTTTTAATCAATCTTAATGACATTTTCCAGTAAAAGCTAAAGCTATGTCAGATGACATACAAGCATAACAAGTATTGATTGCATCATCATATCCACATGGAGGATTTTTACAGTTAGATTAATCTTCAAATACAGCACATGTAGGTATGATTACTTATGGACAATATTTAAATGTATTTTGCTTAGGGTGACAGAAGCTTCCAGTTTTTGGGTAGGAATTGCAGGGCCCCTCAACTACAAACTCAGTTTCTACAGCTTTGCAAGCAGTACACTTGTTAATGAAGTCAGTTCTTACTTAACCATTAGAAGAAATAGAGACACCACAAACAGGTTTTGCTGTTGGTTCGCAGTCTTTAACCAATTAGTCAGACCTGGCACACAAATTTTCTAATTTAGTAGCATTAGCAATAATTAGCAAGGCAAATATAAAAGCACAAGTTTTTCTCATTTCGCTGTAGACTTTCCAAAATTTCTTTTTTATTTTTGATTTTAATTAATTTTAAATTAATTATTATCTTTTAATAAAGTAATAATTCTTATATTTAAACTTAAAATTGATTACTAATTTTTTATTAATAGTTTATTTTTGAAATGAATAAAGCTTTCTTAGGTTACTTTGAATATTTGGTCTCAGCATTCATTTAAGAAATGATAAGAATTCTGATCAAAATTTCTAATTGAATCAAAATTACTAATGGAAAAATTAGTTGAAAGGAATTTTGAAAAGCATTTCTTTTTAATTTTTTAAAGCTATTATAAAAAGCTAATTGATAATAGAATTTTAAGAATATATTATTTAAATTTTATATTTTATGATTAAAATCTGATAAAAATTTTATCAAATAAATAAGAATTTACTTATTATAATTTACTTTTACCCTTTTTGCTGAATGAACATAATTTAAGCAAATTTAGATATTTAATTTCTATATATCACAATATTTATTACAAATATAAAATTATTTTATAATGGAATCAATAAATAGCAGTTTTTATTTTTAATAATGATTTAAAATTTCATTTATATATTATTTAATAACTATAAAGCAATACATATATGCTACTATATTAAATTTATTTTTTTAAACTATTCTTATCTTTTTTATTTAAATGATTAAAGATTAAAAAGCATAAAACCTGATTAGTAATTTAGATATAAGCAATAAATAGCATTTGTAAACCATAAAAAATAAATAAATTGAAAGTAAGTATATAAAAAATGTATTACATGTTAAATAAATAATGATTATAATTCATTTTAAACATTTCATTCTTGTAATAGTTTATAATTTTTATTTTCATAAGTATGTTTTATAAGGTTAATGATTGTAAATATTCATTTTAAATTCTGTATAAATGTTTTAAACCTTTTATTCATATAATTTGTTTAAATGAAATAGAAAGTAATAATTTAGATTAATAGCATTTCTCAATTAATAAGTTTACATCTTTAAATTACATTTTAATAAGATTGAATATTTATTTTTAAAATCGATATTTGATTTAATATAAGAGTAAGCCTAGAAAAGTTTTTTAATTTTTATTCTTGTGAATTGCATTTATTTATTGATTTATTTTTATCAACTTTGCAAAAATATTTGGAAATATTTACAAACAGCTCTTTCTAATACCTAATAATAATGAATTTTAAATTAGATTTTAACTTTTTGCTAGGTTTTTAAAAATTATATCAAATTTTTTACTTATAATTTACTTTTAATGTGAAACTCTACTTACTCAATGCTTATAATTTGAATTTTTTAATGCTGGAATAAATTTTAATTTTATGTTTGCTAAAATTAGTAATGCTTTTCTTAAAAACTTAACTTATTTTCCCAAAAGAATAAATCTACATAAATAAAAAATTGATGAAATCCTTTTCTTAAAAACTTAATTTATTTATTTTCCCAAAAAGAATAAATAAACATAAATACATAAATAAAAAATTGATGAAATCCTCCTCAAAATAATTTAATTAATTTTACGATATTTATTGATTATTTAAGTTTAAGATATTTATATTGCAAAATGAAGATATTATATTTATCTATGAATAAAATCTTTTTAATTTATTACTTATATATTAACTTAATTGAAGACTACATTAATCTATGAATAAAATGATAAGTGAAAAAAATATTTATTATATTTACTATAAATATAAAATAAACATATTATTAAACTAATTTTATTAGGTGTTTGAGTAACTTATCCCTTTTATTGGTAATAGTTCGATAATTAAGGAAAAGAAAAAGCAAATAATTTAGCTAAATGGTAAACAAAATATTTCTTAGAGCTAAAAAAAAGAAATATGTTACAAAATACTAAAATGTAAATGAAACCAATTTTAATATGACCTAAAAATTTATTTGGGTTGTAAATGAATTTATTTTTAAGCTAGTTGAAGAGTAAATTAAATTATAGAAATAGTTTTATATCATTAAAAAATTTTTTAGTCAATAAATATTTAGAATAAAGTTTTATACTATATTTATTAAATACTTTAATCAGAAAAAGATTCCATAATTTATCAGATTTTCATTTTTTATGTTTTTCTTTTAAAAATTTTATAAAAAATTAATAATAAGATATTCAGAATAGCAAATAAAAACAAAGGGGATTAATAAAAGGAAAGTTTACATTAATTTACTTTTATTTTATAAAATTATATATATATATTTTAATATAAGTAAATATATGAATAATTAAGTTATTTTTTTATGTATTTTATAAGTTAGTTTTAATGGCTTTTAGTATTGTTAAATGTATAATAATATATTTATAAATATTAGATCAAAAGCTAGTTATTTAGTAAAATGTAACTAATCTTTTTGACTTTGTAAGTTTCCTGATTAGTTTGTAGATCTAATTTAAATCAATAAAATTGCTCCTAGTTTATTTTTAATATGTGGAAAAAATATATAATTAATATTTGTGTCTAATTAGGCAAGTTACTTAATGTTCAAATCTAAATTGTGTATGTGTCCTATTTTATTGATACTTTAAATAAGATTCTAAGCACCTTCTAATTATATCTTATTTTACCTTTTTGCAATTAGATAAGATAAATTTGATTTTTATGATGATATTTAAATGCATATTACCCAAAGTCAAGATAAAGATTTTTAAGATTTTTTGTATTGGATATTTCTTTACTCAAAGTATTTATTGATTCATTTCCTAGCATGTTATTACTTTATAAAATTTGATAGAGTTTAATTATTTTTATTATAAAAAATCAATTTATTTACTTAAATTTTAATGTTAAAGTTTTTAAGTTCTTGATTTTAGAGATCTATGAAAAGAATGAAGAAGCAGTTTGATCGCTTATATTGTTTTCACTAATGATTTTAAAAATTACATAAATTTATTTTATTATTTAATTGTTTACTTTATTTTTATTGATAAGAAAGTTAAGTTTTATAGCATAGTAATTGATTAAATTAGTTTATGAGCACCGTTTGGTTAAATTGAATTTAAATTAGAATTTATCTAATTGCTAAAATTTAATGATAGATTTTGCAATCTTTTACAGCTTGACAAAGCTGCAAAGTACTAAATGCCTTAATTTCCAATTTTATTAACTCTATATTTAGTAAAATGAAATTAATTTAGATAGAAAATATAAATTAACTAATAGGATACGATAAATCTAAATCCAAAGTATGTAGCAATATACATTATTTTATTCCTTCAGCAAATTTCTAAATTCCATCAGAATATATGTTGTAATTGCTTGTTAATTTTAAACTATTTTTATTAATTATTTATTCAAATATTTTACCAAAGACTCAGTTTTAATTCAGAGACTAGTTTAATTTATCCTATACTCTACATCAATTAACCACTTCCTTCATTTTCTTATTAACTTTAGCTTAAAATTTTAGATATCAATAAATGATTTTTTAATTTTTAAAAAAGGTCTATTTACTTGACGAATAACTAAACTGTAGAAATTCTTTAGCATTTTTAAAGCTTTACAAAAAATTTAGTCATTCCCTCATCTGTTAGTTTATTGTTTCTATGTTATTTTCATTTCATAAAAATTATTTTAATAAAATTTTATTGGGGGTCTCATTTGAAAAAAATATTTTCTCTTTATTATTTTAAAAAATTTTAAGATTAGGGAATAAATTTAATTGGAATCAAAGTGAAATGAGATCATCCCCTCATATTAATTTTTTATTTAGTTTACATTAAGTTGATTTATAAAGTTTTAATTTAAGAGATATTTGATATTCCTTTAGCTATTTGCAAAGCTCCTTTATCTTGTATGTGATTTTCGCTTTATTAATTAAATCAAAATAAATTTATTAAATATCTCACTTAACAATTAGTAAGTACCTTAATTCAATATTTAATAATTAGAGATTTTTCAGCTTAGAAATTCCTTAACCTAATCCTACTGCACCATCAACACGAAGCCTATTTTCGCTATTTTGTGATAAAATAATTAATTAAATATTTATTAATTAAAAACGAATATTTTTTACTTCAAATTTAATCTTAGAGATTACAATTTTTTACTTGTAGTGAGTGCATTTACTAACTTTTAAGGACCTTCATGATGGAATATTGTAGTATTACTTTGAAAAAGTGTAGTAAGATGATGAAATATATAAATTAAAAATACGATAAGTTAATAGAAACATCCTTGAGACAATTTAATTTTTGTAAGGCTTCTCCCAAATAATAGGCTGCTTCTCCTTTTACACTGTTTTGGCTAACAATTATTTGTAAATAGAATATAGAATAATAGTTATCAAAATTTAATTACCTCAAATTTATGGACAATATATTTATTTTTTTGCAACATGAAATGGCAAAGCTAAAATCTGGTATAGATTTAACAGTAAGATTGTTTTATCTATATTTATGAATTAAAATGGACATCATTAAGTCAATATTTAATTGTTAAGTGAAAATAATCACGTTAGATCTATGTATAATTCAGTTAAGTCTCTATAAATTTATAATCCTAGACTTAAGCTATCTAGTCCTAAATCTCCTAGGTTATGCAATCTATTTTTATAGTTTAAGTTGGATTTTTCTCATCTAATTAGTTAAATTTACTTCAAATTTAAAGTTAATATCCTTAGCTAGGAGCATTTACCTAATCCTAAGCTAAGCATTGCGAGCTCGTGTAATCCAAAACTTGATCTAGTTTAATAATTATAAAAAAGATTATCTAGAGGATAAAAATGAGTCATTCAATAGTCAAATAAATAAACAATTTTTACTTAGGATCAACTAATACTTTGTTTATAATAGAGAAGTCATATTAATTTATCTTTTGATATGAAATACTATTAGTTTTTTTTTAATTTTTCATTAGATAATTTACTTCATTTAAGCTTTTAATAGTAGCACTTTTGGAATCTAGAACTTTAGATTTCTTACTATTATGTTTATTTCCCATTCAAAAAAATATCCAACTTTTTGATTAATTTACTTTTAAATATAAAAAAATTGAAATTTTTACAACAATGAGCTAATTTAAATATAACTCGATTCTATCTTTTGTTTTTTATCAACACTATTTGCAAAAACATTGCAGAAATATTTTTTCTTTTTCTTTTTTGTATAAAATCTAATCAATATTTAAAGAAAAAGAAGTAAAAAAGAATATTTATTATTCTTTTTTTATTTATAAATCTCCAGTTTATAATTCTACCTTACTAATCTTTATAGTAAAATAAGTAATTCCAATATACTAAATATTATGTATGATATTTTGATATAGAAGAATCTTAATTTTGATTAAAAATAAAAACTCCATATTTATAGCATGATTTAATAAATGATTAAATTTGTTTGTTTACAACATTTACAAAGCTAAATTTACTTCAAATTTTTTCTAGTTAATTCATTATTATAATTTAATTATACCGAAAAGAATCATATTATCTTGAGCCATTTTTTTTTTTCTCCTTTAAAAATTAAATATAATAAAAGATTTAATAAAAAATAAATAATTTTACAATGTAAATCTTTTTCTAGTGTAACTATTGTATTTTTTATTTAGTATTTATGTAAAACATATTTGTTAAAATAATAATGTAATAAAAATATTTTCTTTAAAAATAAAATACATCATATATTTATTTTTTAATTTACTACAAATAAAAATAATTAAAATTAATAAAATATTTAAACACTCTTTTATGTTTAATTTCAATTTAAATTATTTCTTCCATTTTTGTATAAATTATTCTTTTTAAATTATTTCAGCTTCACTTTTTTAGTCCTAAATATCACTTCTTTTGGTTGCATTGGTGAATTGTTTGGATAAGTAAATTCATATTCGTAGCTGCTAAATATCAAATACTTTTTTATCTAATTTTTATTAAGATAAAAAAGTAGTAGAAGTAATTTTTAAAAATTCAAAACAATAAAATGATCAAATTAATCAATTATTGCAGCATCTATTTTCTGGATTCTGCTATTATCGCTTATTTTGCATATGTTCTTAATACTAATAATATTTTCTTCATTTTATCTTAAGGTTTATATCAGAGAGTTCAAAAAATATCTATAGTTAAATTATTCAAACTTAATCTAGTAGGATATAAATCTGAATTCTCTACTAATTACCATTATTAAATAATGTATTTATAGCCATCCACCTCTTGAAAAGTGAAGAAAACTCCTTTAGGTATCCATAAAATAAAATTTGGACAAATATTTCTTATTTTGTCATGTCTCTTCAATAGAAATAATATCTTTTAGGATTCGAAATAATCGAGAAAAAGAGTAGATGTATTTGATAACCTGATACTTATTATTTGCTGTATCTGTAGTTAAAGTCTTGTAATCAATAAAACAATAGGTAAATCCTTCAAACAAAAAGAATTTACTATAGACGACGCAATAAGCTTCTATCTAACCATTAATAAAAAAATTTTTCTTATTTTACAAATATGTGTATAAGTTAATGAACAATAATATTCATATTTTCAAAATTTTACAAGTAAATTTTATTAATTAATTTTATTTTCAAAAATATTAAAAATTTTTCATAAGATTTTGTAAAATAATTATTTTTGAATAAATAAAATAAAATCTCTTATTTATTTTTAAACTATTTTATTAATATATAAATTACAATATTTTTTCAATCCTTTTAAATTTCATAAATTCATTTAAATTATTCAATATTAATGTAAGTTACTTTTAATTAACCAGAATTTATTCTATAAATCTTCTAAAATATGTAAGGAAATATATACTTTTGGTACTCTTCAAAAAGGAGGTTCAAAAAATAACTTGAATTTCAAATTTTACTCTCCTTAAACTAACTTAAAAATAATTATGGATTAATGAATTTTTGTAAATATATAAGCATTTGCAGTATTTAGATTGTTATATATAATTATTTTTTCTATTAAGTTTAACTAGGTATACTTCTGGGTTGTTGATTCCCTTATCATCAAGTTATTTTATTCTTCTGCAAAATCATTCTAATTACATTTTTAAACAAACAGTAGAGTGGGCAACTTTGGAGGTAATCCCTTTAGCAATTCAACTCCCTAGCAATCTATTTGATAATGTTTAATTTGATACAAGTTTTAAGACATATTTCTTCAAACTTCTTATAGCTATTTTAGATAATTTGTTTAATTACCACTTCAATTTAAGTTTCAGTGTATATATTATACCTTCTTATCTTTATAATTATGCTTTTTGTTAACATTTACTCAAAATATTATCTGTTTTGATTCTATGCTTAATTATACTAGGTAAATTAGTTTTATTTTTTACAATAAATTTTTGTCAAAATAACCATGACACTAGTGTGACAGCTCAGAATAAAGATATGTCAAATATACCCTTTGGATAGATCAATTTCAATTAGCAGTAACAATTTTCTCAAATTTAAAAGATATAAAACAATCTGATTAGAAGTTATTACTACTTTACCATTTTAATATTAGATGTTGGTTGAACAATTTCTTTTGATGTATCTGAGAATTTGCTTTATTCTATAGTTTTTGAAATAAGCGTTTATTTTATTGTAAAGTAAAATAGAACTTTAGTAAGAGGGATATATACTAAAATAGAAAATCAATTCTAATTTTTTTACAAAGAATTAATAGATAATAAATTTCTTATTTTTTATTAAAAAAATATATAATCAAGACAAATTATTTGATTTTATTACAATATCTATAATTTTACTAACTAATAAAAAATTATATATCCAAACATTTAAAAATTATAAACAATCTTTTATTTGTGATAAATCAAATTTCTAAGTATAAGCTTTTATTGGTGTGGAATAAATTTACAATTTATCTACATATAATAATAAAAATGATTCAAAATATATTTTACTTAAAATGAGTAAATAATATGTATTAATTAAATGTAATTTATCAAAACTCATTTAAGTTTCCTAAATAATGAAATATTTATATAAAATTTACTTACTTTGTTCAATGAATATATTTTAGAATATAATCTTTCATATGACAAAATATAATAAATCTAAAGATAAATATAGATATTAAATTTTACAAAAATCTATTTCAATTGTTTTCTTTACAGTTATCCATGATTGAATTTATTTTTTTAAAAAATATTTTAATTAACCTAATATAATTTCTTCCTCAATTTCAAATGAAATATATAGAAAAATAGGTCTTTGATCCCAAGATTTTTGGAAAAAAATTAATCATCACTCAGCCATCTCAACCCCAACCATTCTATTTGAAATTCTCTATTATGCACAATCAACACAAGACCAAAGGCCTGTAATTTATTTAAAAATCAATCCAACCCCATCGTTCATCATCCAATATTTAAACCCCATCAATCACCACCTAGCCATCTCATCATCAATAACCACAATACAAAAATTCAATCCCTAACATCCCATAACCTTAAAAAAAAAATTCTAAAAAATTTGGTGCTAACATATTTATGCGAAATAAATTCATTGAAATAGCCCATATTTTTCTTCACACAAAAACTATTCGCATCCTATCACTCTATAACAACAAACAAAAAATAGATCAATCAGAATCCAACAATCAAAAATAGAACAGTCACAGTCCCAATCCCATCAAAGAAATATGTAAAACAATCAATTCCTAACTTTCTATTAATAGCATTTTATTTTAGAGTTGTTTAGTGCGGAGGTCCGAATGACCTATAGTATATTTGCTCACTGCTTTAGCACAAGGTAATAAGCCTAAAATCTATTAAAAATCAACTATACCAAAGTAATAATATCACAACAATCAAAAATAAAATAATCAAAATAGAACAATCATATAACAACCATCAATTCAAAACAATTATATCCCAACCATTTTAAAACAAACCATTACAAAACCAACAATCTCAACTCTATATGCAATATTTAAAACAAATAAAACACTATTCACTTATTTCCAATATTAAATAGCCTTAAGAAAGTTAAATTAAGATAATTATTCTATTGTTACTCCATTTCTAAAAATAAATAAAAATTAAATATTCAATCTTGATTTTGGTTGGATAATAAATTAATTTACAATAGGATAATTATGGTAAATTTTCTTATTTTATCCGATCATAACTAATTAATATTTGATCGATTTTTGAAAAAAAATCTTCAGTATTTACCAACAAAAATAAATTTTAACCATATGGGAACACCGCTGATTATATGATATATATTTTATTTTTTTATTTAAACTCTATTGTTTTAAAATTTAATTAATCCATTTAATTTTTAAAATATTTATTATTAATTTTTATGATAAATCTATTAAGATTCTTCTCATTAATTTAACATTTTTCATCAAAAATAATAATTTTTATTTTCTATGTGAAATCATCTTTTACAATAATATTCTATATTTAAAATGAAAGATCATTTATATCTTCGATATAAAATATATTTTCTTTTTAAATTATTAATTTTATAAAATATAATTTATTAATATAGTTATAAATATTTTTATATCACTTAATGCATTTAATTTACATGATTTACTTAAGTTAAAATTTATATTTAAAATTTGAAATTTTATTTTTCAAAACTTTAATTCTTAAAATTCTTAAATTTATTCTAATTTAAGCCTGTTATCTAATTAAGCCTGAAAAAATATAGAAAAATGGAATTTTATGCATGCTAAGATTAGAGTATTTGGCTTTATGCTTTAGTAGATGCTTTAAAAGTAAAAGAATTTATTTTCAGAATTCATTATTTTAAATTAAAATTGACAAATAATTACATTATCTACCAAATGAATATTTAAAGTAAATAAATAGTTGAGGAAAATATTATTAATAATACATACTATTTTTGACAGATTATTAAAAGATTAATAGATGAAATAGATTCATAAAAAGATGATATTGCATATTAATTACAATATATTATCTCTACAATTGTTAATTAAGATTATACCTTATAACATCCTTAATTCAAATCTTTAAAAATTGTTAAATCATAAGTAAAAACATGTAACATTTATAATTAGAGCTAATATTATAAATCTTAAAGTATCTCTAAAAGTATGTAACCCTAGTCATTAATTAAATGAAGTATAATAGATTTTTACAAAATCTTTTATATAATAAATAGGCCAAATCAAATTAAATTTTACTCAATATGAAAATTGAGAAACTTTATAATATTTCTAATATATTTATAAAATAAATTGTAATGCAACAAGAAGAAGAGTTAAGGCAAGCTTTTTTAAAAAAAGAGATACTTATTTAAGAATTAAAAGCCGAAAATGGGAAAGATCTTTTTTCGTTTTTAACAGAAGAAGAGCTTACAAAATAAAATGTTATATCTTAAATATGTGAATTGATAATCAATTCTTTACCTAATACGGTCTTATATCTCTCAATATTTTACTACAATTTTGTAAATATGTTTTTTGTTAAGCAGTTCGGAAACTATGAGACAATAGCTTCGTTTGGAATGGGAGTAACTTGGTTTAACTCAACAACTCTTTGTTTTATTGTTTCTTTAGGAAATGGTTTTTTTATCTAGTCAGCCTAAGCTTTTGGAGCAAAGAATTTTTAAGTAAAAATAAATACAAATGCAAATAATTTGATATTTATTTTTTAATAAATAGCTTATGGCAGAGCTTTATTAGAAATGTTAAGCTATTTTATTCTTTTTTGGAATAATTAGCACTTTTTTTTTACTGAATACTCAATCTATTTTGATTTCATTTGGAATTTCAGAAGAAGTTTCTACAATCACTTAATAATTTTCATATTCAGCTATTCCTTCAATCATTAGCAATATTTTGAATGAATCTACCAGGCAGCTACTAATTTCTTAAAAAATTTTCGACATACCTATGAAGGTTTAAATTTTAGTTTACTTTTTCCACCCGATATGGTGTTACTTATTTTCAATAATGCTAGATCTTGGAATATATGGAATTGGTTTTTCAAGGGCAGTATCAGAGATGTTGGGTTTTATTTTGCTTCGTTATTAGATTAAATAAAAGCATCTATGCGATGAAGTTTGGGATATCCCTTATAGAAAATAATTCTTACTTGATAATTGGATACCTTTCTTAAAAATCTCTATACCAGTTGGAGCTCTACTTTTCTTAGAGTGGATCTTTTCCGAAATTTAGATAATATTAGTTGGCATGTTAAAAGATGATAAATAACTAGCAGGTTAGTCTTCATTTTCAAGCATAATTTTGTTTTTTGCGATGTGTCCTCTTGGATTATCATAAACTTCTAATAGCTACTTAGGTAAATACTTTTATTATAATTTAACATGAGTAATTAATTTTTAACTTTAGGTAATGCAATAGGTTAAGGTAAAAAAAAAGTCTGCATTAATTTTAGCAAAATCACAATAGTTGCTTGTTTTGTAGAGGTGGCTTTAATGATACTTATTGGAATATTACTTCAAGACTTTTTTGCAGGTGTTTTTAGCACAGACCCTGAGATGGAATACTATTTTCGAACTGCCTATAATATGTATATTTACATGTTTATTTTAGCAGGATGTTTCTAATTTGTTTTAAGTGGGATTTTGCGTTGTTGTGAGAATTAAAATTATGCTGCTTAAACATTTTTAATTTCTTACTACTTAATTGGGTTACCACTAGCATGCTTTCTTATTTTTAAATTTGAACTTGGTATCAAAGGTGTTTGGATTTCTTAGTCACTTTCAGCTTGGATTGTTTCAATAAGTTGTCTAATTAAATATTTAAACATGGATTGGGATGATTAGATATTAAAAGTTCAAAAGAGAGTATAATTAGAGATAAAAGAACTAGATATTGAGATGCCAAATATCATGAAATCAAATTGAGCTTATATTTTTATTAACTAAATATTATATAAATAAAAATATTAAAAAATTAATCATAATTATTTATTATTAATGACTTAGAGTTTATGTATAAAAAAATTATTTATGAGATATTTTGATATATTAAATAAATAGTTAGTGTAACATCAAAATATTTTTAAATATTTTGCAAAAATTATAAAATTAATTGCTCCGAATTTAATGAAAATGAATTTAAAAAAATTTTTTAAATGTTCTCCTTAAGTTAAGTGAATACATTATATATAATAAGTTAAATAGTTAATATTTATTAAATGGCTTTTTTTCTTGTGTAAACCTTTTAATATAAATTTGTTAATAAATCATACATAATAATGAATCATATGTGATAAGCTTTAAAAATCAATAAACAATTTTTTCGTTGGCTTTAAAATTTATTCATATATTAATTAAAATAATTAAAACTAGATCTAATAAATTATCAAATAAATAGTATAGTGTTTAATAGTAGTAACTAAGTATAATATAAAACTCATAAAAATGCTTTAAAATTAGCACTTAAGTTATGATAATTTGATTTCATGTCAATTGTCAAAGTCCCTTAATGATGAATGTAAAATCTTCGAAAATTCTTTAAGTTAGATTACTAGTACAACAAAGAACCCATTTATCAAAGTAAAGTAAGTTAGTGTTGTAGATATATTAAAAGGAGATGATTTAGATTCAATTTAGTCTTAAAGCAGAATCACATAAAGTAATTTGCATTAAATTAGCTAAAATTGTTTCTAATGTGAGTAAAACCATGATTTGGATTCATCTGCTTCTTAAGATTCTTAGTAATTCAGCAAAACAATTCATGAAGGAAATAGTATTTTTTACTTATTAAAATTAAATGGAAGGAAAATATATCTTTAAATATGAATAGATTATAAAATTGAAAATGATCATGAAATATAAGTAGACTTGAGTTATTCTGATGACAACTAAAAAGAACAACAAACAAAAAACGAGTAAACTTAATTTTTATTGGTATACATATTATAGAATCAGCAGAGAGCTCAAAAAAAAAAAATAAAATCAACTTGATGGTTTAGTAGAAGTTTTAAAGAAATATCTCTGACTAAAAATCTTATTCAAAACTAAAAAATGGTTAGAAAAAAAAGAAATTAAGAATTTTTTATTAAATTTGCAATTAAAACAAATAAGTGATTAGTTAATTCTTTAATCTGAGTTATTTTTATTTTCAAAGTATATTAAATGATAAACAAGTAGATTTTTTATGCCAAATTCTTTTTATACTGTAATAATTAATAAGTATCTATTTAAAATATTTTATATTAAAAATAAGGGGACAAAGATAAAGCTTTGCATAAACTATACAGTAATTAGTTAAAAAGAAAAGAAAAAATAATATTGAATTAGGATACATAAATTCTAAGAATATTTGGAAAAAGAAATGGTTAGGAGTTCTCTTTTATGTCTCAAAGTTTTTATATATAGCTAAGCAATGTCAAAAAGTTTTCAGAGCTTCTTTATTGACTTCATTCTAATTACATTTAATAGGGGATATTTCTAGTGATTTTGAGTAAAATGAATGCTATAGTAAGCCTAATATTCGTTAAATAATATCTTACTCGAAACTGAATTGTATTTCCATTAAAACATATAAAATTCTAAAGAAGAGACTTAAGAAATTTATTTCTTGCTTCTAAAACTTTTAAGTTTGGTTTTCTTTTATATATTATAAAATGATAAAGATATTTTTTAATGCTTTACCCTTAATAAACTCTCAATCTAAATTTTATATAATGTGGGAGACGATTATATTCTTTAGCTCTTTTGTTAATTTCATATATTTACCATTTGAAATCAGCTTTGAAATTTAGAGAAGTCTCAGTTTCTCAGTTTATTTATAATTTTTATGCCCAATTATTTACACTTTGGATATCCTAATTAAAAGTAATACCTTAAATTTCCAAAAAGGAAATCATATTTAGCAACATAAGCAAATTTTAAAAGATTATTTAACTTCTTCTTTTCTATTAGATCTCATTAGTTTAATTAGCCTAAATAGCTATCTCATTTAGTATAAAGGTTCATAACTATTATTTTTTGTCAGGATTTTTAGATCGCTCAGGATAATTGATATTATTAGAGAATATTACTTTTCAAGCACATTTTACTCTGGTAAAATACTTCTTACAAATTTTAATTAAATAAAAATTATAATATATAAATTAATATATATACATACATACTTTATTTAAATTATTGACTAAATAGACAAAAATATTATGAAAAAAAATTAATTTTTAATTACAATATTTTTTGATAATTCTTTTTAAAATATCCTCTGAATTTTACTCTGATGTTAAAAAAATTATTATATTTTTTTCTATTTTGTTATTTTTCTAAACTCTACATCATTTCTTCTAATTTTTTTGCTAAATTAATACAGATAAATTTTCTACTAAAATAATAATTATTTTAAATTACAAGCTATTAATTTTCTCTAAATTTTCTTTATCACATTTTGTTTAAACCACTCTCAATAAGATATTTATTGATTAAATATTTTATTTAACTTATTTATTAATTTAAAAAAAAAAATATTTAGGAATTATATCTCTGTTTTTGCTTTTTGCAGGATCTCTTTTTTATGGACATTTGTTTGCTTGTATTTGGTATTACGTAGGAAATTAAAGTGAATAAGGTTGGATAGCTTTTAATTAATTAGATAGAAGTGATATTTATTCTAATTATGTTTGCAGCTATTATTATGCAGTTGTAACAATGACTACAATAGGATATGGAGACATTACTGCTAAAACAACTGGGGAAAGATCTGTAATGATTTTTTTGGCATTACTGTCTTGTGGAATTTTCGGTTTTACTATTAATTCAATAGGTAAAATTATAACAAAAACATTATCAATAGGCTAAACATTAATAATTATTTTAGGTAATATACTTTCAGATTTCAAATAAAAGAGTGACACTTACCTCACAGAATTAGGAAAGCTCAATAAATATCTAAGTTTCTATCAGGTATCATCAGAAGTTCAAATAAATGCAAGGAAATATTTAAAGTTCATTCATCAAGAAAAACACAATAATTAACTATCAAGTTTTTAGTCTTTAAATAATTTGTCTGGTGATTTGTAGAATTAAATAAAAATGGAGGTTATTTCTAAATAATTAAAATAAATACAGCTTTTTAGAAATATTTTAAAAGAAGAAATTATTCTACAACTTTCTCTTTAAGTTTAAGAGAATATTTATTAACCAGAATAAATCATTTTAGGATAAAATGAAGTAAAAGAACCAACAATATACATTATAAATCATGGTAGAGTGCTTAAATATTCTTAATACGACCTAGCATCCAAAGAAAATTCAATAGTAGTAAATAACTTTAAAAATTTAAATTAAAGTTGCTGTTAATTTATTTAAATTCAATAGGAATTAAAGGAAAAAGATAATTTTGGGTTAATTGAATTTTTTATGAACTAAGAAACATGTAATTTTAATTATAAAAGCAAAGAACTCACCTCAATATTTTCTTTATAGCTCTCTACTTTTTTGAAAATAATAAAGTAAGATAATGAAAGTTATGAGAAATTTTGTTATGTTAAAGATTAAGTAATTTATTAATAATATCTAAGTTAAATTAACTACTCCTGCTTATCTTGCTAATCTAAAAGTCACACTTTGAAAGATTGTCCTTCTATTTTTTATAATAAAAGATATGTTAGCATAATTAAAAAATATTTATAGCCAGAATAATAATAAAAATAATAATAAGATGATAACAAAAAGCGGAAAGCAAAAAAAAAATAAAACTGTTGGAAATTATTTGATTAAAATTATAGTCAAGCAATAGATTTTTAAAACAATAATATTAACTAACTATCGTTCGATGAATGCTCATAAATAACGGAGGAAGATGATTAAGAAGAATCAAATATTAATGATAATAATAAAGACTGTATTTAAGAATTTAATTTGGTAGAAACTGAAACTAGAAAAAGCATTTTTACATAAAATTTGTTAAAATTAAGTGAAGATAGAGATCATTTTAATTCACATAAAACGGGGGATATATTAAATGAGGATGATTGCTCAATTGGAAATATTGGCTCAGAGTTGAAACCTTAAATTATTATTTAATCAAGAAAGCACAACACATATGATTTTCAAAAATCTGAAGAAATGAAAAAGCAGAGTAGTAATTCAATAGAACAATAATAATAATAATAGGAAGATGACTTATTTTGGTGTAAAAAAATATAATTTATTTTGAAATTTTAAATTATTTTTGATTTATAAACATATAAATGGACAAATAGAATCTCATAACTCTCAAAAAAACATTTGCTAACGTAACAGAACTTCTATCAATGTTGTTTAAAATTAGAATTTTAATGCAATTTAGTCATTGATCTAGAATTTAAAAGATGTTCAGATGTTTCTATTATCAAATTAGTAATTTTAAAAATCAATACATATTTATTATTTTTTGATTTTTATTAAAATTAAAAAATTAGAACTTCACCAAAGATGCCATAAAAATAAACCAATTTTTGCAAGGTGAACTCTAAAAGACTTGATTCATCTATCGTGGTTAACTTAAAAAAGGAACGTAATTCTAGTCTAAGTGAATCAAATAAAAATGTTAAATATGCTAAAGAATTTTCATATACACTCTAGGAAATTAAAAATTAAAAGAAAAAGTCATAATCATTTCATGATGAGAATTTCGATAAACTATGCCAATTCAAAATATATTATCCTTTAAAAAATTTTGACATAGTTATTTCTGGTATAAACAAATCTCATTTAGAATTTAAGATTCCTTAAATATTAAAAAAATTAAAACTAAATAAAATAATATGAAAACCTATCACTGATAAGGCTTAATTTCTAAATATTTTTTGTATTTTTTACACATTTTATTTATAAATAAATAGTATTTACTAATAAATACTAAATTAAAATAATTATTTACTGCATTCTTAAAAAATATTTTTAAAAAATAGACTTATTTATTTTTAATTATGCAAAATGAACAATTTATAAGGGAAAGTTTAGTGAGTTTGTGTGTGTGTGTTCGCAAAATCTATTATATATTAACTAAAATAGTTATTAAATACAAAATTTTATATTTATTTTATTATTCTTAACTAAATTTATTCTATTAAGAATTTAAGTTCAATAATTTTTGTTTACTGAAAATATGAATTCCCAACGAATATTAAAAATGTTTTAATAGAAAAGGTATTGTATATTATATTTTAATAAAATAATTTATATTTATAAAAGATTTGTTTCTTGATCTATTTATGTAGTTAGTTGTTCATTAAACATCAAAACCATTTATTTTTTCATTTTATTAAATATATATATCATACATTTCAGTTGTAGTAAATTATTCTGAATAAGTTTTCTATTTGAAATTGAAACACTTAGATTTTTAATTAGTTAAAAAATCATTATTTTACTTAGCTATAAATTTTTATATTGGAATATAATTCATGTTCATTTTTAAAATATTTTATTGAATTTTTAATTTGCTTCATTATAAAAAAAATAAATTTAAATAAAATGAAATAAAAATTGAAAATTATTTTTAATTTTGTGTGATTATTATAATTAAATTAATAAAATACATTCAATAGCTTTTACTTACTTACTTACATTAGTATTAAAATTTTTTATTTGAATCGATCAAGCGAAACGATAGAGGTTTTCATAATATTTATGATATTTAGTTATTTTTTATTATTTGATAAATTATAAAAAAAATATTTAAAATTGTGTATTGTTGAATATAGAAAGAAAATTTTATTAAGACAAGAAAAATATTTGTTTATTGTGTATTAAAATAAGTCCTTCATTCTTAATTGCAATAATTTAATTTATTACAAGTTAGATAGCTTTAAATTTTTTCTTATTTTTTAAAAAGAAAATTTATTTTTTTTACTTGAATAATTATGTTCAATTATTGATTTCCAATATTGTTTTGATTTATATTTTAATTTAAATTGTTTAAAGAATTAGGCACAAAGAAGAATTTATAAATAAATACAATTAATTACATTAATTATATTCAGTAATTAAAATTGATTAAGCAAATTATTGTCTGATTATTATAAAATTGATTTTTTTGAATACAGATTATATTTATTAGAACTAATTATTTAGTAAAGAACACATTTCAAAATCCACTCAAATATTAAGAACATAAATGAATTAAAATTAACATTTTATCTATGAAAACTACATGCATAATTAATATGTAAAGCCTTTTTAGGAAGTAAATAAAAGCGCTGAAAACTCTTTAAGCTCATTCAGTAGTGCAAAGAAGAATCCTTTTATAAAAGTAAGATAAGTTAGTGTAGTAGACATTTTAAAAGGCGATGATCAAGATTCATTCTAATCATAAACAAAACTAACATAAAATAATATACACCAGTTTAGTCAAAATGTGATAAATGCATAATAAAATCATGTTTAGAATACATAAAATTCACAGGAATCTCATTAATGCAGCAAAATAATTGAAGAAGAATACAGTATTTAATTGCTTTTATTTAGAATGTATAAATAAATAAAGATTATTTTTTTATTAGGTAATACACACAAAACTGATAATGGTATGGAGATCTAAGTAGACTATAGCTACAATGAGTCTCACTAGAGAGCTAGAGAGTCAGATAATGAGCAAACGTAATTATAATTAAAAAAAAAAATTTATAGATAAAACATAAATCTAATAAATGATTTTGATTGAAATGATAAAGTAGAAGTTTAGAAAAAAGACTTTACTTATTATTTATAAATGAAATAAAAATAAATTTTAAAACTAAAAAGGCATTTATGATTTATGAGATAGATATAAAATTCACCATTTAACATCTTCAAATTCTTCTTAAAATGCTAAATATTTCATTTTTTTAAATTTATTTTAAATAATTTTATGTATTTTTTTATCATAAAAAAACTAAATTTTAAAGAATTTGATTTATCTGAAGCTATAAATTTTATTATTAGAAAGTCTTTTTAAATATATATAATAAATTTAATGTTTTCAGAAATAATTTTTCGAATATTTAAACTATTCATTTTAAAAATATTTTATTTTAAATTAGAGTGCATAAACAAAGTTTTACTTAAATTATTGGCTAATTAGTAAAGAAGAAAAGAAAAAATAATATTGAATTAGAATACATAACTTCAAAGAATGTTTGGAAGAAGAAGTGGTTAGGAATTCTATTTTATGTATCGAAATTTCTCTATATAGCAAAATAAACCTAGTAGCTTTTTAGAGCAGCTTTGTTAACATCTTTTTAATTGCATTTAATAGGTGATGCTGCTAGTGATTTAGATTAGAATGATAATTTCAGTAAGCTTGATTTACGTAAAATGTTATCCTACTCGAAATTTAATAAGTGCATTTCTTATAAAACGTATAAAAATTTTAAGAAAAAAGTTAGAAAATACATTAAATGCTTTTAAAACATTTTAATTTGGATTTCTTTAAATTATTTTAAGCTACTTAGGAAAATGTTTTCAGTTTTACCATTAATTAATTCTTAATCTACGTTTTACATTATGTGGGAAACAGTTATATTCTTTTGCTCTTTTATCAACTTTATATATCTTCCCTTCGAAGTTAGCTTTGGCATAGAGAGAAACCTACTTTTTAAGTATCATTTATCGTTCTTATGTCCAATTATTTATTCTTTGGATATTCTGATAAAGTGCAATACATAAACTTTCCAGCAAGGAAACCATTTGTAACAGCATTAGCAAATTTTGAAAGACTATTTAACATCATCTTTTATACTGGATATTATTAGTTTAGTCAGCTTAAATTAATATTTATTTAAATTCAAAGGTTCATAGTTGCTTTTTTTTGTTAGGATATTTAAGTCACTAAGGATTATAGATATAATAAGGGAATATTATTTTTCTAATACATTTTATTCAGGTAAATTATATTTAACAATTATTGTCAAGTAAAATGTAATTTAGGATTTTAAAAATGTTTTAATTAATTAGGTATAATATCTTTGTTTTTACTTTTTGCTGGGTCATTGTTTTATGGTCATTTGTTTGCTTGTCTTTGGTACTATGTAGGAACTTAAAATGAAGAAGGTTGGATTAATTTTAATTAATTAGATAGAAGCGATATCTATTCTAATTATATTTGCAGCTATTACTACGCAGTTATAACGATGACTACTATAGGTTATGGTGATATAACTGCTAAAACAACTAATGAAAGATTTGTGATGATTTTTTTGGCATTATTATCTTGTGGTATTTTTGGCTTTACAATCAATTCTATAGGTAAAATTCATTGAAAAAATCATGTTTATAAATAACACTAAATTTTATAATAGGTAACATTCTTTCTGATTTCAAGCAAAAGAGTGATATGTACCTCACAGAACTAGGAAAATTAAACAAATTTTTAAGCTACTATCAAGTTTCGACATAAGTCCAAACTAATGCAAGAAAATATTTGAAATTTGTTCATTAAGAAAAAAACAAAGATTAATTATCAACTCTTTAGTCTTTGACTAATTTATCTGATTATTTACAGAACTAAATAAAAATGGAAGTTATTTCTAAAAAATTGAAATAAATACACTTTTTTAGAAATGTATTAAAAGAAGAAACTATTTTGAAACTTTCTCTGCAAGTTAAAGAGAGTATCTATTAGCCCGAATAGATTATTTTAGGATAAAATGAAGTAAAAGAGCCATCAATTTACATAATCAATCATGGGAGAGTCTTAAAATATTCTTAGTATGATATAACAGCTAAAGAAAATTCTATTGTTGTAAAATAAATTTTAATAGTTTTTTAATTCAAATTTAATCAATAAATGCAAAAGGAATTGAAAGAAAAAGAAAACTTTGGGCTGATTGAGTTTTTTATGAACACAGAAAACTCTTATTTTAATTACAAAAGCAAAGAACTCACTTCGATATTTTCCATACAACTCTCTTCATTTTTAAAAATAATAAAGCAGGATAATGAAAGTTATGAGAAATTCTGCTATATTAGAGACTAAGTAATTTATTAGCAATATTTAAGCTAAGTTAATTATTCTTGTTTATCTTGCTAATCAAAAAATCATACATTGAAAGAATGTCCATGCATTTTTTATAATTCAAGAAAAATAAATGTGATTAAAAAAAATTTGTAGTAAGAAAAAGAAATTTTAGAGATAAAACGCTCAAACAAAAAAAAACAAAATTGCTGGATATTATTTGAATTAAATAATTCAAAAGCCTTAGACTTTTAAAATGATAACATTAATTAACTATCTTATAATGAATGCTCTTAAATAACAGACGAAGAATAAGATGATAATAAGGGATTTTATATTTAAGAACAAGAGATTGCAGATGTTGAACCAAATAAAATTATTTTTACTTAAAATTTATTAAAAATAAATGAAGAACGAGATAACTTTATTTCACATAAGACATCAGAAGTTCTAAATGAAGATGATTGCTCGATTGGAAAAATTGGTTCAGAGCTAAAGCCATAAATTATGATTTAACCAAGAAGAAATTAAATTTACGATTAGCAAAGATCAGATGAAATAAAAAAGCAAAATAGCAATCTAATGGAGCACTAATTAGATGAAGAATTATCTAAATGTAAAAATAAAATTAATTTTTAAAAAAAGCATTATTCTTTTTATTAATTAAGTTAAATATTTCTATCTAAAAATATTTAATAATTAAATAAAAACTAGAGGGGCAAATAGTTTCACTTAACTCTCAAAAAAACATTTCTTAGACAATTCATTCTTCAGCAAATATTGCTTAAAATTAAAGCTAATATTTTTTATAGAACTTAATGTAGAATTTGAAAGACATTCAGATACTTTTATCTTAAAATTTGTAATATAATAAGCTATTAACATAAAACAACATTTATTTATTTATTTATTTTAACATGAAAATAAAAAATTAGATATCCTCAAAAAGTACAGTAAAAATAAGGAAACATTTCTAGACGAAACACTAAAAGAGTAGAATCATCTAACTTATATAATTTTAAAAAAGAGTATAGTTCTAGTTTATTAGGATCAAATAACAATGTTAAGCATGCTAAATCTATTTCGCATTCTTTATTACCAATTTTAACAAAACACTAAAAGTCAATAGTAGAATTTGAATTTTAAGATGAAGAATTTGATAAATTGCACTAATTTAAAATTTATTACCCTCTCAACAATTTTGATACTGTAATAGCTAATGTTAATAAATCTCATCTTTAATTTAAGATCCCTTAAATGCTAAAATATTTGAAGCTCAAGAAAAGGAGTGAACACTATAGCAAAATCATAATTTGATTATTATTTTTAATTGTTTTCTATTACTGTAAACTTACTTTCTCTATTCCCTCTATTTTATTAAAAGAAAAATTAATATTTATTTGCCTCCAAGTGAAAAATATATTTTATGATATTAATTAAATAGAGATGAAATTAATGAGTGTTTATAGAGTATGAAATAATTTTTTATTCTCGATATTTTAAATTCTTATTTGTAGAAATTTTTGTTAAAATTATTTATGAAATATTTATTATTGTATTATAATAGCAATAATTAATTGCTAATATTGTTTATTTTTTTGTTAAATGAGTGAATTATAATCCTAAGACAGACTTTTAAAAATGATTAATTTATTTTAGATATATTAAATATATAAATAATTTGCAAAAAGACATTAAATATGATGGTTGGTTGAACAACATAAAATTTGATTACAAAAAATTTGGTTTATTGTTAATTAATTAATTAATTATTTGATTAAAATAATTCAAGTTAGAGGTATAGTGCTGTTTTAATTATCAAAGAACATAATTATTTTATACTTGATATAAGTAGCTAAAAAATAACATCAGACATATAAATAAATAAAATGCATTAAAATCAGAGCTTAAATTATGAAAAGTATTTGCCAAGTTAGTTCTCAAAGTCTCTATAGGATGAAAGCAAAAACATTGAAAATTCTTAAACCTCGTTTAATAGTGGAAAAAAGACTCCATTTATTAAAATAAAATAAGTTAGTGTGGTAGACATATTAAAAGGAGATGATTAAGATTCAGTATAGTCTTTTGGAAAAATTACATAAAATAACATAAATTAATAATGCCATAACTACGTATATACATTAAATTAGGGTTATGATTCCTCCCATACTTAGGATTCTTAGCAATGCAGCAAAATCATTGAAGAAGAATATAGTATTGTTTTTAATTTTTAACATGAATTTGTCAAAATTTTTTTTAGGCATTATGTAAAAAACATAGAATGACCCTGAAATATAAGTGGATTGTAGCAAAGATGACTCTAACTAAAAAGAAAAAGAAATAGAAAATGAGTAAACTTTATTTCTATCAATAAATATTCTTTAAAAATTTAGATGTAGCCAAATAAATATAAAAATACATCAACTAACTGAAATAGTAGAAGTTTTTAATCAAATAGTTCTTAATATTAAACTACTCATAATCATATGATGATTCAAAAAAGAAAAAAACTAAATAATTAACTCTCTTTCTCTTTATTTTATTTAATTAATTTTATATTTAAATTATTAGTTAGAAAGTACTTTGATATACTAACTTTAAAGTCAATAATTTATAAAAACAAACTATTAACTTGAATTATTTAAATGATCAAAATTAATTTTGTAAAAAAATTTATTTAAAACATATTCTATTATAAATAAGGGTGTAAAAGTAAAGCTTTACATAGATTGTAGGTTAATTAATTAAGAAAAAAAGAAAAAATAATATTGAATTAGAATACATCAATTCTAAGGATGTTTGGAAAAAGAAATGGTTAGGAGTTCTTTTTTATGTATCGAAATTTTTATATATCGCTAAGTAGTGTCAAAAAGTTTTCAGAGCATCTTTACTTACATCGTTTTAGTTGCATTTAATAGGTGATATTTCTAGTGACTTTGAGTAAAATGAAAGCTATAGTAAGCTTGATCTCAGTAAAATGCTAACCTACTCTAAATTTAATAAATGTATTTCTTTTAGAACATTCAAAAATATGAAGAAAAGTGTTAGGAAATATGTTTCTATTTGTTAAAATTTTTTAATTTGGCTATCTTTAACTTATTATAAATTAGTAAAGAAATTCTTTACTGTTTTACCTTTAATTCATTCCCAATCTACATTTTACGTAATATGGGAAACAATTATATTCTTTAGCTCATTTATCAATTTCATATATCTTCCGTTTGAAATATGCTTTGACATTTAGAGGAGTATCGTTTTCACAGTTTATTTATAGTTTTTTTGCCCAATTATTTACACTTTGGATATCTTAATTAAAAGTAATACTTAAAATTTCCAGTAAGGAAACCATATTTAGCAGCATAAGCAGATTATAAAAGAATATATAAGCTCTTCATTTTTTCTAGATCTCATAAGTTTAATAAGTCTAAATTAGTATATCTTTAAGTTCAAAGGTTCATAACTGATATTTTTTGTGAGGATATTTAGGTCTCTAAAAATAATAGATATTATTAGAGAATATTGCTTTTCCAATACATTCTACTCAGGTAAAAATATGATATGCCAAATAAATTTAAACTAAATCAAACTTTTTGGAAAATAATAAATAGATTCATTCAAAAATTATTCCACTTTTTAAATCTTTCTTTAATGATTTTATTTTATTTTTAAGCCTAAAAAGTTAAAAGATTAATATTATTATTATTAATTCCATATATTTTAAATAGCTTGTTTACTAAATCAAATAGGTATTATATCCTTGTTTTTGCTATTTGCAGGATCTTTATTTTATGGACATTTATTTGCTTGCTTCTGGTATTACGTTGGAACTTAAAGTGAATAAGGATGGATACATTTTAATTAGTTAGATATTAATAATATTTATTCTAATTATATTTGCAGTTATTACTATGCAGTTGTAACCATGACTACTATAGGATATGGAGATATTACTGCTAAAACAGATTAGGAAAGATTTGTAATGATTTTTTTGGCATTATTATCTTGTGGAATATTCGGTTTCACTATTAACTCTATAGGTAAAATTGAAAAAAGTTTAATTAAAATTATTGTTATTGATTATTCATTTTTATAGGTAATATACTCTCAGATTTCAAGTAGAAGAGTGATATGTACCTCACAGAATTGGGAAAGTTGAATAAATATTTAAGTTTCTATTAAGTTTCATCTCAAGTCCAGATTAATGCAAGGAAATACTTAAAGTTTATTCATTAAGAAAAAAACAAAGATTAATTATCAACTTTCTAGTCTTTAAATAATTTATCTGATTATTTACAGAACTAAATAAAAATGGAGGTTATCTCAAAAAAATTAAAATAAATAAAATTTTTAACAAATATATTAAAAGAAGAAATAATTTTGTAGCTTTCCCTATAAGTTTAGGAGAGGATTTATTAACCAGAGTAAATTATATTAGACTAAAATGAAAATAAAGAACCAGCTATATACCTAATCAATCATGGGAGAGTCCTAAAATATTCTTAGTATGATATAACAGCAAAAGAAAATTCTATTGTTGTAATTTAATTAATATTTAATAATTTATTTTTATATCATTCAATAAAATGAAAAGGAATTGAAAGAAAAAGAAAACTTTGGGCTAATTGAGTTTTTTATGAACAAAGAAAACTCAAATTTCAATTACAAAAGCAAGGGAATCACTTCCATATTTTCATTAGAATTGTCTTCTTTTTTAAAAATAATAAAATAAGATGATGAAAGCTATGAGAAATTCTGCTATGTTAAAGACTAAATTATTTATCAGTAATATTTAAGCTAAGTTAATTACTTTTGCTTATCATGCTAATCAAAAAACCACACATTGAAAGAATGTCCTTGTATTTTTTATAATGAAAGACACTTAAGCATAGTAAAAAAAACTTTATAATAAAATTAAGAGCTCTATGATAAAAAACGCTAAATTAAAAAGAAATAAAATTGTAGGAAGTTGTTTGACTAAATTTATAGCAAGGCAATCGATTTTTAAAACAACAATATTAACTAACTTTCTTTCAATGAATGCTCTTAATTAACTGAAGAAGAAGATGATGATCATGAATATGAGGAATAAGAAAAATAAAATAATAATAGTAAAAACTTATTTATTGAAGGAATAGAAAAGTTAGAGGCTGAAGCAAGAAAAAGCATTTTTACTTAAAACTTATTAAAGGTTAATGAAGAAAAAGATAGTTTTATTTCGCATAAAACAGGGGAAGTTTTAAATGAAGATGATTGCTCAATAGGAAAAATAGCTTCAGAATTAAAGCCATAAATTATGATTTAACCAAGAAGGAATCATACATATGATTTTTAAAAATCAGAGGAGATGAAAAAACAGAACAGTAATTTAATAGAGCATCAGCAAGATGATGACTTTTTTAGACGTAAATAAAAATTTTAAATCTTATTTGATTAAAATGATAATTAGCATTTTTTAAGATTTTTAATGTAAAATCTCTAATTTAAGAATTTTAGAAGAAAATTTTTAATTTTGAAAAACTAGGATATTAAAATTTTAGATTTGTGGGTGGGTCTTAAATTATGGGGAAACCTTAAATAAGAGAGTTTTCATTATATGAACTAATTTTGAAATTATAAAATATTAGATGGACGAATGATATCTCTTAACTCTTAAAAGAATGTAGGTTAACTTAATCAGCCCTCTGCTAATATAGCATAAAATCAGAATAGCAATATTATATAGAATTTGGTGTAAAATTTGAAAGAGTTTCAAAATTTTCTTTAACAAAACTAGTAATTTAAAAATCATTTATTTATTAAATCTTTTTGAAATAATTAATATTTAGACCTAAATTTAAAAAAATAGAAGCTCACAAAAAGCACCTCTTAAATAAGGCAATTTTAACAAATTAACTACAAAAAGACTCGATTCTTCATCTATTATATTTAATATAAAAAATGAACACAGTAATAGTTTAAATGGATCAAATAACTAAAATAAATAAGCAAAATAGAATTCATTTACATTTTTCGAAGCTAAAAATTCAAACGAAAAGTCATAATAAAAAATTTAAATTTGTGAAGAAGACTTGGACAAACTACAACTATTTAAAATATATTATCCTTTAAGTAATTATGACTTAGTTATTGCTCATGTTAATAAATCTCATTTATAATTCAAAATCCCTTAAATATTAAAAAATTTAAAGCTGAAAAAAAGGGGTGAAAACTAAATAAGGCACAATCCTATTCTTTGAAATAATTTAATTTGTATTTATTTCTTTCTTTTATAAATTAAGCAGTTGTAATTCAATACTTTGGTAATATAATATAATATAAATAATATATATTTGACTTATTTGAATAAAAGTTATTTAGTATGAGAATTCAGAGAGTAAAAAAATAATATTAACATTATTAGATAAATAAATAATTTTTCAAATAAAAATTTAAAACATTTTTTAATGATAAGTAATTTCAATTCAAATAAAAATGCAAGTAATTTTTTTCGAAATTTCTAAAATATTTTTATTTAAAACTTTTTTCTTACAATTAAATTTAATTATTAATTATATTTGAATTTGATTTGAGAAACATATGTTAACATTCTTTATTACAAAATATAAACAATCCAAAAAATAATTTAAAGACAAATTACTTTTTTTCTTTATTTTAATTGTAAGATCAATAAAAAAGGCAATATTTTTTATATAATATATTTATTTTGAGTATAATTTTTTAGTAGAAATATTGCTTATTAGGATTAATTCATTATTAAAATATTGCCTATTTTTTAATAAATAAAGTTCAACATTTTTAGGGTTTATCTTTAATTTTTAAAAAAATTTACTATAATTATAAGCAACCATTTAAGATAAGAATGGATAATTCAATATCAAGTTTTGTTTTATCTAATTCTATTTGCACTTAAGTAGAATAGCCTTTCACAAAAATAAAACAAACGTCTGAATTAGATTAGTTAAAAGGAGATAATGATTCAATAATTGCAGGATCATTTGCAAAAAACTCTTCTTATTTGCACAAAGAGAGCTTAAATAATTGTTTGGTCAATATGTCTACACTTTAATAATAATGTAGTCTTACTAAAATAGTTCAAAGTGAAAGAATTATAGAATAAGGGATTCAAATAAGTATAATAGTAGAATTATCAAAATAGCGTTTATAAAGATAATTTAAATTATAAAAAGGCAGCTTAGCAGATCATATAATTTAGTAAAAAGAGATGAAATAATTTGATAATAACATATTAGAGAATTAATCAGCTGCTGAAGATGATGAGTTTGAAATTCAGGAAGACAAGTACGATTAGACATTTTGATAATTTTCATTTAATTTGTAATAAAATTAATATTGAGATTATTCATAGAACTAAAAAACCCTAACAAAATTAAATCAATAAATGAATAAATATGATTTTTTTATTTTCAATATTATTTATAAAATTATTAAGGAATATAAATTTATTTTAGAATTTTTAACAAATTTATTTTATAATTAACTTAAAATTTAATGAAAGATTTCAAAGAAATTAGTCAAAAGTGTTGACGTTAGTAAGCAAATAGAGAAGGAAACATAATATAGAATTGGAAGGTGAGTAGTCAAAATTAAGTTGGTAGAAAAAATGGTTAATTATTATGTATTACATATCTAAATTCAAGACTGTTGCTTCATTAACTAAAAAACTATTTAGACATGAACTTTTGACAGCTCAATAGCTGAAATTAATAGGAGATTAAACAGTAAATATAGAAAAGTTGAAACAAATAGAGTGTTATAATTTTTAAAGAATGATGTCTTATACAAAATTTAACAAGATTATTTAATACAAAACTTACAAATGGTTAAAGATTAAAATTAAGAAGTATTTTTCTAATTTTCCTTTTTTGCTTTTGAGTATAAGTACAATATATAATAAGTTAGCTGATTATGTATTTAGCTCCTTGCCTCTTTTTAATTATCTCTCTAACTTTTACGTTGTTTGGTAGGCCATAATATTTATCAGCTCTTTTATAAACTTTATTTACTTACCTTTTGAGTTTAGTTTCAATATTTAGAGAGGTTTTTTCTTTTAAAATTACATTTCTTTAATTTGCCCAATCATTTATTCCTGTGATATCTTTATCAAAGCCAACACTGTGTCATTCTAACAAGGTAGCAATCTAAGCATGCATAAAGAAATCTTTAAGTAATATCTAGCAGGATAATTTATTTCAGATCTCATCAGTCTATTAAGTCTCAATATTTCTTTTGCTTAAATTAAAGCATTCTATTTCCTCTTTTTTCTTAGGTTCTCTAACTCTTTTATGATATTAGATATCTTTAGAGAAAAGTTTTTTTCTAGAACTTACATTTCAGGTAAATTTTAAAACTTTTTAAAAAAACAACTAATTTTTTAAGCATTTATTTAATCTAAACTTCAGCTTTTTTCCACTAAGTTATGAAAATAATAAAACTAATTAATCATTTTGAATAAAACTAATTACTTTTTTAATTTTGTAAGTTATTTTATCTTTTTTTATTGAGCTTATGATTTGTTATTTATTTATTTAAATAGTAAAAAAAAATGTTAAATATCAAATATATTATTAACAATTTTTTAAAAATTTAATAATAAAAACAAATTTTATTTAATTTTATCATAGGAATAATTTCATTAGTGCTCCTTTTCATGAGCTCTCTATTCTTTGCTCATTTATTTGCATGCTTGTGGTATTACATTGGGACACAAAGTTCTTAAGGATGGATAGAATTTTATTAACTTGATACAACTGATATTTACTCAAATTATATTTGTAGCTATTACTTTGCTATTGTGACTATGACAACTATTGGTTATGGAGATATAACTGCTAAAACTACTGAAGAAAGATTGGTTATGATTTTTTTTACACTCACTTCTTGTGGTATATTTGGCTATATTATTAATTCAATAGGTAGATTTGTTAATTATCTATTCTATATTTATAATTAATTCTCATTATTAAAAGGAAATATTTTGGCTGATATCAAATAAAAGAGTGATTAGTATTTAACTGAGTTGGCAAAGCTTAATTAATACTTTAAGAAATATTAAGTTTGTTTATAAATATAAGCAAATGTTAGAAGGTATTTATAATTTAAATACAAAGAAGGAATCCAAGATTAAATTTCAGCTGTGCAATCACTAAATAGTTTATCTCAGCACTTGCAAAACTAAATTAAAATGGATGTAGTTTCAAGAGAACTTAAATAAATAGATTTTTTAAAGTAAATTTGTAAAGAGGAAACATTTTACTAACTATCACTAGAAGTACAAGAAAAAATATATCAACCTGAATAAATAATTTTAGATTAAAATGACATAAAAGAACCTTCTATTTACATAATCAACTATGGCAAAGTGTTAAAGAACTCTTAATATGATTTATCTTCAAAAATAAATGAAATTATTGTAAATTTTAAATAAAATAAAAAATAAATTATATTTTGTTATTTTAATTTCATTTAAATTACAGGAGTTAAAAGAAAAGGAGCGCTTTGGAGTGATAGAATTTTTTATGAATTTGGAAACTTCTAAATTTAATTACAAAAGCATGGAACTGACATCTATTTACTCATTAAATCTTTCATCATTTTTAAAAGTAATATAAAAAGACAATGAAATTTATGAAAAATTCTGCTTTTTAAGAGACTAGATTGTTTTTTAAAAGTCACTTTATCTTGTAAAGCATTCGTGTGAATCCTGTAAATCTTTAAGTCATAATCTTAAAGAATGTCCTTGTATATTTTATAAATCAAGAAAATTAGCAATAATCAAAAGATATAAAGATAATAAATTTAAAAATTAGTAAGAAATAAATCGAAAGCAGATAAGAACACAAAATTGTTTGTTTTTCAAAAAATATTATGAATCTGAAGTAATTAACTTTTAATCAAATAATATTAATTAGTTATCGCTTTATGATTAGTCATAATCATCTAATGAAGATTAGAATTTTTTTAGTTCCTAAAAAATTCTTTTCAGTAGTGTAAATAATAATACTCCTAATAATGATAATTAAAGTTTCAAACCAAGTTAATTTTTTGAAAACTAGCAAACAGAGTAGAACGAGATAGATAAAATTATATTCGATATTAAATCTCCTTTAATTATTTAAAAAAAAAAACTAGAAAACGAAAAATAGATGAATGATGATCTAAAAAATATAAAAAGTTTTTAAAAATTAGAAATAATTGAAGAAGAGGAAAGCAAAAATTCAATATGTAAGAATTGATTTGATTCAAAAAAATTAATTGAAAATTTGATCAGCTAGCTAAAAATTTTTTTAAATTTAAAAAAAATTGTAGAGATATTAGGATTATAATAGCAGAATTTTGTAAAAAATAATCATATGTCAATAACTTCTATACTAGAAAATAATAGCAAAAATGATTAAATATGCGTTTTACAGGCAATTTACAAAAATATTAAAGAAATATTTAAAATACTTTAAGATGAAAAGTAACTTTTTAAATTATTTTAAATTTTTATTTTAAAAATTTTCTTTAATTTTAGTGGATTTTCATAATTTTAAAAGAAAGTAGTAAGCTAGTAGCAAACTAATAGTAGTCATTACATAAAACTTGAGAACTAATTACCATCTTAAAAACAATTAAAAATGCCTTAATTACATGATGCAAGCTTAGTTAATGCTGCTAGAATAAATTTTTAAAATTAATTATAAAATAAATAGCATAAAATCATTTCAGAACATTGTTGTGAGGAGTTAGAAAAAATGCAAAAATTTAAGATATTTTATCCAAAATTTAATTATGACATAGTCATTGAAAAATTTAACTCAATAACTCAATTATAAAATATTCCTTTGAATTTAAGAAGACTTAAATAATAAAAAAAGTAAATTAATGAAAATAAGAGAATGAGAACATTAAAATGAATCTCACTTTTATAATTTATATTTCTTCATAATTAAACTTTATAAAGTATTTTAATATATTTATATGTATCCTAATTTTCTAAACCTCTTCCTCAAAATAAATACAGCCAATACTATAATTAAGGTCTATTCCCCTCCTTCTCAAGATTTTATGCTTCGTTAAATATTAAACAAATTTAAATCTGAGGGAGGGATAAGAAAGACACAATGTTATGGTTTGAAATAATTTAATTTGTATTCGTTTTGTACATAATTTATTTAGAAAGAAGTTTTAATTCAATACTTTGATAATTTTATTTCTCTAATAATTTGATATAAATAGAAGATTTTTGACATATTTAAATCAAAGTTTTCTAAGTATAAGAATTGAGATAGTAACAAATATTAGAATTATTTGATACATTTTTCAAATAAAAATTTAAAATCTCTTGTTAACCTAAAATAATTTCACTTCAAACAAAAATGCAAGCTATTTTTATAGAAATTTGAAAAAATTTTTAATTTTATTTCTTACAAAACTAGATAAATTTAATTAGAAAGATGTATGTGTTAACCTTCTTTATTACAAAATATAAACAATCCTAAAATAATTTACAAAAAAATTACATATTTTCTTTTTTTAATTCTTGCTTCAATCAAAAAGACAGACAATATTTTTATATAACACAAAACATGATGATTAATAAATAAGAAAGCTTTACATTAAAATTAATACTGTAACTTTGAGTATAATTTTTAGTAGAAATATTGTTAGCTAAGATTAATTCAAATTAAAATATTGCATATTTTTAAATAAAAAAGTTCAATTTTTTTTAGGTTCTCTCTAAAATTATTTTTAAAAACTTACTAAAATTATTAGCAAATATTTAAAATAAGAATGAGTACTTCAAGATCAAGTTTTGTTTTATCAAATTCTATTTGTAGTTAAGTAGAATAACCTTTCATAAGAATAAAATAAACCTCTGAATTAGGTTAGTTAAGAGGTGATAATGATTCATTTGTAAGATCTTTTACAAATAATTCTTGTCATATGCACAAAGATAGTATATAGAACCATTTAGCCAACGTTCCTACGCTTTAATAATAATAATCTAGTCTAATTTAAATGGCTCATAGTGAAAGAATTTTAGAATAAGGGCTTTAAATAAGTAAAATAGTAGAATTATCAAAGTAGTGTTTGTTATGATAATTTAAATTATTAAAAGGCAGCTTAGCAGATCATATAATTTAGAAAAAAGAGAAGGAATAATTTGATAATTACATATTAGACGATTAACCATATGCTAAAAAAGATGAGTTTGAAATTTAAGAAGATAAGTAAGATTATATATTTTGATAATTTTCATTTATATTTATAAACAAAAGAACAATTTTTTTATAATAAAATTAATATTGAAATTATTCATAGAACAAAAAAACCCTAAATAAATGAATAAATAAATATGCTTCTAGATAGATTATATAAATTAATTATAAATAAATTCAAATTTATTTTAAAATTACTAACAAATTTATTCTATAATTACCTTAAAATTAAATGAAAGATTTGAAGGAAATTTGTCAAAGGTTTTGACATTAGTTAGCAGACAGACTAGAAAGCATAATATAGAATTGGAAGGTGAGTAGTCAAAGTTAAGCTGGTAGAATAAATGGTTAATTATAGTGTATTACATATCCAAAATAAAGACTGCTGCTTCACTAACCAAAAAACTATTTAGACATGAACTTTTGACAGCTCAATAGCTGAAATTAATAGGAGATTAAACAGTAAACATAGAAAAATTGAAATAAATTGAGAAGTATAACTTTTAAAGAATGATGTCTTATACAAAATTTAACAAGATTATTTAATACAAAACTTACAAATGGTTAAAGATTAAAATTAAGAAGTATTTTTCTAATTTTCCTTTTTTGCTTTTGAGTATAAGTACAATATATAATAAGTTAGCTGATTATGTTTTTAGCTCCTTGCCTCTTTTTAATTATCTCTCAAACTTTTACGTATTATGGTAGGCCATAATATTTATCAGCTCTTTTATTAACTTTATTTACTTACCTTTTGAGTTTAGTTTCAATATTTAGAGAGGTTTTTTCTTTTAAAATTACATTTCTTTAATTTGCCCTATCATTTATTCCTGTGATATCTTTATCAAAGCCAACACTGTGTCATTCTAACAAGGTAGCAATCTAAGCATGCATAGAGAAATCTTGAATTAATATCTAACAGGATAATTTATTTCTGATCTTATCAGTCTATTGAGTCTCAATATTTCTTTTTTTGAATTTAAAGCACTCTATTTCCTCTTTTTTCTTAGGTTCTCTCACTCTTTTATAATTTTAGATATTTTTAGAGAAAAGATTTTTTCTAGAACTTACATTTCAGGTATATTTTATCTGTTTTTTTATTGGAAATTTATATTTTTTAATAAAACAACTTTTTTTTTCATTATTTTATAAAAATAGTAAATCTCAATATTAATTTTTTAGTTTTATAAGTTATTTTTTCTTTTTTTATAGAGTAAATGCCTTTGCTTTTATCTAAACATTAAAAAATAATTTTAATATCACATTAATTATTCACAATTTTATTTAATTTGATAATTAAAAAAACTTTTATTTCTTTTTATCATAGTTATAATTTCGTTAGTGTTTCTTTTTATGAGTTCGCTTTTCTTTGCTCATTTATTTGCGTGCTTGTGGTATTACATTGGGGCACAAAGCTCTTAAGGATGGATAGAATTTTATTAACTTGATACAACAGATATTTACTCAAATTATATTTATAGCTATTACTTTGCTATTGTGACTATGACAACTATTGGTTATGGAGATATAACTGCTAAAACTACTGAAGAAAGATTGATTATGATTTTTTTTACACTCACTTCTTGTGGTATATTTGGCTATATTATTAATTCAATAGGTAAATTTGTTAAATATCTATTCTATATTTATAATTATTCCTATTATCAAAAGGAAGTATTTTGGCTGATATCAAGCAAAAAAGTGATTAGTATTTAACAGAGTTAGCCAAGCTTAACTAATACTTTAAGAAATATTAAGTTTCTTTGTAATTATAAGCAAATGTTAGAAGGTATTTATAATTTAAATACAAAGAAGGAATCCAAGACTAAATTTCAGCTGTGCAATCACTAAATAGTTTATCTCAGCACTTGTAAAACTAAATTAAAATGGAAGTAGTTTCAAGAGAACTTAAATAAATTGATTTTTTAAAGTAAATTTGTAAAGAGGAAACATTTTATTAACTATCACTAGAAGTATAAGAAAAAATATATCAACCTGAATAAATAATTTTAGATTAAAATGACATAAAAGAACCTTCTATTTACATAATAAACTACGGCAAAGTGCTAAAGAACTCTTAATATGATTTATCTTCAAAAATAAATGAAATTATTGTAAATTTTACATTAAATAAAATTTTATTATTTTAATTTCATTTAAATTCAGGAGTTAAAAGAAAAGGAGCGCTTTGGAGTGATAGAATTTTTTATGAATTTGGAAACTTCTAAATTTAATTACAAAAGCATGGAACTGACATCTATTTACTCATTAAATCTTTCATCATTTTTAAAAGTAATATAAAAAGACAATGAAATATATGAGAAATTCTGTTATTTAAGAGACTAGATTGTTTTTTAAAAGTCATTTTATTTAGTAAAGCATTCGTGTGAATCCTGTAAATCTTTAAGTCACAATCTTAAAGATTGTCCTTTTATATTTTATAAATCAAGAAAATAAGCAATAATCAAAAGATATAAATAGAATAAGTTTAATAATTAGCAGGTAATAAATAGAAAGCAGAAAAGAACACAAAATTGTTTGTTTTTCAAAAAATATTATGAATCTGAAGTAATTAACTTTTAATTAAATAATCTTAATTAGCTATCGTTTTATGATTATTCATAATCTTCTATTGAAGATTAGAACTTTTTTAGTTCCTAAAAAATCCTATTCAGTAATGTAAATAATAACACTCCTAAAAATAACGATAATTAAGGTTTCAAACCAAGTTAATTTTTTGAAAACTTGCATGCAGAGTAGAACGAAATTGATAAAATTATATTTGATTTAAAATCTCCTTAGATTTAAAAAAAAAAAAAACAAGAAAATGAAAAAGAAAAATGGATGAATGACGATCTTTAAAATATATCAAGTTTTTAAAAATTAGAAATAATTGAAGAAGAGGAAAGCAGCAATTCAAGATGTAAGAAATGATTTAATTAAAAATAAAATTAATATTTTATTTGTCAATTTATTTTTTTATTTGTTTTTTAAAAACAAACTTTCAATTTAAAATTTCATCAGCTAATTTTTTTTCAAAAATTTTTTTTATTATTTGATTAAAATTATAGAGATATTAGGACTACAATAACATAATGTGGTTAAAAATAATCATATATCTTTAACTTCTATACTAGAGAATAATATCAAAAATGATTAAATAAATGCTTTATAAGCAATTCACAAAAGCATTAACGAAATATTTAAAATTCTTTAAGATGAAAAGTAAATTTTAAAATTATTTTAAATTTTTATTTATAAATTTTTTTATAATATTAGTGGAATTCTATAATTCTAAAAGAAATTAGTAAGCTAGTAGCAAACTAATAGTGGTATTAACATAAAAGTTGAGAACCAATTATCTTCTTAAAAATAAGTAAAAATGCCTTAATAATTTGATGCAAGTCTAGTTAATGTTGCTAAAATAAATTTTTAAAATTAATTATAAAATAAATAACATAAAATTATTTCAGAAAATTGCTGTGAGGAGTTAGACAAAATGCAAAAATTTAAAATATTTTATCCAAATTTTAATTATGACATTGTTATTGAAAAATTTAACTCAACAACTCGTTAATAAAATATCCCTTTGAATTCAAGAAAACCTAAATCATAAAAAAGGTAAATTAGTGTACATAAGAGATAGAGAAAGTTGAAATGAATCTCAATCTTATATTATATTATTATGTATTTAGAAACTTTTCTAAATAATAAATAATTTTTTTTTCTCAATGTTATAAAATATTAAATTTTTAATGTATATTTTATAATGCGTATCCTAGTTATTCTAGACCACCTTTAAAAAAAATACTGTCTATACTAATTAATTTAGATAATTTTTCATTCTAAAATGAATTTTGCCCAACATAGCATTTTCAAAAAACTCAATATATTTTTTAATTTTTGTTATTTTTATTTCTCAAAGTAAAACCTTTTTCAAACAAATTAATTTCAGAAATTTAGTGTCAATATTTAGAATATAAATAAACTATAAGATTTGTAGAGCTTTAAATTAGGTATAGAAAAATAAATATGTTTGATTCAACTTATTAGAAACATTAGAAATATGATTATTTCTGATTAATTTATTTGAATTTTTCTATATGGTTTATTACTAAATAATATCTAATAATTAATTTCTAAACAAAAATAATTATTTAATAACATTCACATAAATTACAAATTAAATGTATAAAGTAATGAGTAGAAAAGGAATTTAAGTTATTAAGTAAATAGATATTTTCATTTTAAAAATTGTAAACTAGTTTATTTTAAATAGGAATAAACCTACTAGTTAAGTCTGCGCTCAATTATATATTGACGAAATAGGAGTGTAAGCATTTTATTTTATTTTTTAAGTCATTTTATTTATAATTTTACATCATTAATTAGATTAGATGGTGAAAAAGATTACAATTTATTGGTTTCAGAATTAGAGGATTCCAAGCACATAGAACTAGAAATTAATCAATCAAACAATGAAAACGATAGCTTTTAATAGTAAATATTACCTAATTAAATTTTAAACATATAAAATTATTTTATAAAAGAGTTCAACCAATAATAAATCTTTTTATTGAAAGTACTCAAGCACTATCTCTTTCAATTTCATATAATTAGTAAGTTTTTTTTAGATTAATTTTCTACTTATTTAATAAATATTCTTAAAATCTAATAGATAAATTTCAAAAGAAATTTTCGATTAATGGATTAAATTGTATGAAAATAATAATTCTCTATAAAACTTCACAGTAAACATTTCAAATTCTGACTTTCCTCTCAGCTTAAGTTGCTCAAAGTCTTTAAAAGTTTAACTAAATAGCTTGAGTGTTCTACTTTCTCCAAAAGAAATAAAAATACAAATAAATAAAGATCATAAGATTTAGCTTTTATTAGATGAGAAAGATTTACAGAATCTCAAAATAGATATCAATTTCCAGAGAGTTGTTTCTGTTGATATTTTATCTTTAATACTAGAATAATTTAATTGCTGCTAAAATTTGTAAGTTCAGTAAATTGGTTCTTTTGTCTTTAGCTAAAATGCTTTAGAATTGTCTAACTTTGATGGTCACTTAATAAAAATTTTGCAAAAATACGTAAAGATCGAAGAATTAACTATCAAAAAGTAATTCAATTTTTAAAATATTGATTTAGCTTTTTAAATAAATATTTAATGTTTATCTGTAAAATATCAGCTTAAATAAAACGGATTAAGAAATGCAAAATAATCTTATTGGATTAATCTAACAATAGATTGGTATTAAATCTGTAAAGATAGTCAGTAACAAGTAATAAATATTATTCAATTTATTATTGATTTTAATTAAAAACTTAATTTTAAAATAGGTTATAGCTATCAAATTTTATAGCCTTTCTTTCTCACTTGGAGTAATAAAAAATATCATTTAGCTTTGAATTTTATGAAGGATCTGGCAGGGTTAGCTTTGAAACTTAACATTTCTATATAAAAATAAATGAAAATAAGCAAGTTTCAAAGGAAATTTGGGAAAATTTCTTATCACCATTAGCATCTAAAATAGAAAAATAAATAGAAATTATTGCAAACTAGCTTAAACTTGATTAATTGATTAGCTTTTTATAGTATTAAAACTATACTAAAAATATTTATTTTAAATGTTAGAATAATGAATTGAAAATTGAAAACTCTGAAATAATTTACAACCTTTCAAGCGTAAGCGAAGAGCAAGTTACATTGCTACTAAAAAAAATAACTAATTAACAAACTATTTCTATATCCATAAATAATGTTAATAATGTTATTTAGCTATTCAACGAGCTATAAAAGATAAATTATTAAAGCACTAAAATTTTTAATTTAAAGCTTTTGACTAAAGGGCATCGCTTAGAAGGTCTATCTCTTTTTAAAGTGATAAATTAATCAAAAAATATTGAATAAATTCAAATAAATATAGAAAGTAACATTTTCTCAATAAAATGTGAAGAACCTCTAATTTCAAATAAATAAATAACTAAATAGATTTAAACAAAAAGAATGTATTTATATATACCTTCTATTCCTCTCTAACAAGAAGAAGTTAATGTCATATGTGACGTTATTAAGATGTAAGAGTATTCGGTTGTTGAAATCGAATCAATTTCAAATCATTTAAACCAAGCAGACAAATCAATGAGCTAAAAATATTACATTTAAATATCAGATATCCTTAAAAATAAGCAATGTCTAAGTTAAATAACAATTAACAATTATTCTTTCAATAGAGAAAATGGAATAATTTAAATTAACAACTTGGATAAGTTAGATCTACTTATAAATTTAAACTTTGTAGACACATAAAAAATAGAAATATCAAATATCAACATTAAAGATTCTTTGTCTGTATGGACAAAGACATACAAAGATTTAATAAAATAGGCAGAAAACACTCTTTAAAGTCTAACTTTGACTTTTGGAATGAATATGAAAAAATATTAGATTGATTTTTCACAGGTTTTACAACTTCCATAAATCTAATTTATTACAATAGCTTACTAAGGAGATCAAGGATTGGTATTAGATATTCCAAAGAAAAACCTAGAATTAAATAATTGTGGAATCAATAATTTTAAGCTTGCCATAACTAAATGTAGGGTTGAATAACTCTCTTATCTAATATCTCACAAGTAATTTAATTTCAATTTATGTTCATAAAAATTAAAAATTGGTTTTAATTACAAAATTTGTTATAATCCCCATCCTAATTTTATTAATTTAAGTTCAAATTATTTACTTTTTATAATTAACAATGTATTAATTTTGCTTATATTTATTTATTTATAACATATAAAATTTAATAATTTTAGAGAGGTTTTAAGTTTAGAAGAAGTCAACATCATAAAATCTTTAGATTTGTAATCTTTAGTTATAGAGAGATTAAGTGCCCCTTTTCATGAGAAATTCAGTTATTAATTCTATTAAAATATAGAAATGTATTTTTTAGAGCTGATTATACATTGCTTTGAAAAAGTACAGTCTTGTAATATAAAATATGCAAATAACCTAATAATATTTGATAAAAATATTAAATTGTCTAGAATTGAAATTGACTCTGAAGCTATTCTAAATATTCTACCCACTATTTAAATTACTTAAAATTTTAAATTTAAGATTAAAAATTTTCTAAGTGAAGAGCTTTTTGAGAAGCTTTTAATTTTTTTAAAATCTTAGACACTCAACATATGCTAAAAAATATATCTAACGTTAAAGTAAATAGCACTTTTTAATGATATTATTAAAATTTTATATTTTATTTAAAATTAGAACCAGTGTCAGTTAGCTAATTAAATTTGTTGAATTTTTGGATACACTTCACTTCTAAACAGATCTTACTGTTTCATAGATTTCATAGTAACTCATATAATAAATTTATTTGTCTTTTTAATTTATAATATTCTATTTTTAATTTATTGTTTCAAATTTATTATCAATATAATTTAGAAACATCAGTAAAGAAGAAGCTTCTGATTTAGGAAAATTGCTACATTAAAGCAATAATATAGTAAAATTCTAGATAAATGCTCCTAACATTAATGCTGCTCAAATAATGGAAATAGTAGGAGATAAATAAAAAATATATTTAAACATAAACACACCTGCATACTTTAAAAATTAAATTGACAGCAATCACTTCATATTTGATTTTTTGTCTTAATTTAAATTTTGCAATACTCTTAAGATCCCCTTTTTTAAATAACCATAATAAAATGATAAATAAAGCAGTTTATTAACACTACACAATGTTTGCTTATTACTCCCTTAATGTTTACAATTACTTAAGAATGTTTAATTGTTCCCTGATCATACATACTAGAGCAAGCTATAAAATCAGATAATGAGTATGAATTTATATAAGCACCTATTATTTAGAAGACAGGTGAGTTATCTTATTAAAAAATTATAATAGGTAAACTTTTTAGGTTTAAATCGTCCAGAGAAGATATATGATTTAGCTGAGTTCTTTTCTACTTAGCCTTAATAAACAAATTTTAGATTAAGTTGAATACATACTTTTTAAAATTATAAATTTAATTTATAACTTTACATCATTAGAATAAATTATTCTTAATATAACATATTACAAAATATAATTAATTATGTCTATTTAGTAATTAATAATAATCAACTATTTGATTAATCATATTGATATATGTTTTTTATTATTCGCTTCAATGAAAATATGTTTAAATAATTTTTCTCCTAAAATATTAACAATAGTTAATTTAAAATATTTATTGATAAGTCTAAATTATAAAATATATCCATAAATTTTTATTTTTTAGCATTTTAAAAATAAATTTAGTTCAAAATATAAATCTTATATATTACCATTAAGGTTTTTGGGTGTTATAGGGATGTGGTTGGTGAGAATTAACGTGGATTTAAGGTGTTTTAATAAAAAGTGAAATATTTTAAGTTTGATCAATAGTAAGAAGAATAAAACTTTTTATATTATTTATAGCTATACTTAACTTTAAAAGATAAATAATAGATGTGGGGAATATGATACCTTACAATATAGTAAATAGATATTATATTTTCGTTGTAATATTTTTTTAGATTTCATTTTGCTTAAGAATTTTTTGTAGCATTCCTTTTATTAATAATAATAAATTATAGATTGAAAATAAATTTAATAGGTTAAATTCTTATTAATAATAAATAGATAATTATTTTTATTATTAAATTATGTAAAAATAAATATTAATGAATTTTATTCATGATAAATATAAACAAATGAACAACAATTTATTAAAGAGTTTACTTGATTTTTTTATAGTAATATATTAATTTTTTTTTTTGGCTACAAGTAGTAATAAATTCAAATTGAAATTAAGTTATTAATTATTAGTAAAATAAATAGGTAAAAAATAAAATTGAATCAGAAAGAATACTATTTTAATTTTTTTAATTTTTGGCGTTACTTTTCTTAAAAATCACACAAAATACAATTTTTTAAAAATAAATGAATGATTCAAATAATAGTTTTATTTAAAGAAGTTGTTTTAATGAAGAAAAAGATGATCCTTTTGTTAAAATTGTGTTTGTAAAAGGGATTGATTAATTATAAGGAGAAAATAGCAGTACATTGAGATCAATAACTTTGAACTCTTCTCATAATTCAAGTTAAAGCTGCTAAAATAATTTAGATAAGATCTCTGCATCAGTTAACTCAAGCCGATTTATATAAACTACCTAAAACGAATAGAATGCTGAATAAACTTAGCTAACTAGTAAAATAGTAGAATTATTATCAAATATACAATTGCATTATTTACAAATAATTATAGAGATCTATGTGAATAAAGAAGCAAAATTAGATGAAGATTAGCAAATAGAATTAAGTTAATGTGACAAATAATCTCTTGAAGAAGCTGATGATACTGAATAAGAATAGTAAGATGAAAATTTAAAATAGAAATTTTTCTAGTTTTTCTTTTACTAAATCATTTCTTTAATTTAACTTTTGTTAATATTTTCTACTAAATTTTGATAAGCCTTATAATTTTCTTTTGATATTAATTAAGCAATGACAGTATATTATAGCTATAAATATTTTTAAATAAAAAAATTTTTAACAAAAGGCAACAGAAGAGATAATCATAGGCTCTTAGTCAAGTAAGTAAGCACAGGAGGAAGCATAATATTTAATTATTAGGAGAGGAGTCCAAAAAGAATTGGAAGAAAAACTGGCTTAATATTCTGTATTATGTATCTAAAATGAAAAGTATTGCCAAATTAACAAAAAGACTATTTAGGCATGAGCTTCTAACTGCCAAATAATTAAAATTGATTGGAGATTAAACAGTGAATATAGAAAAATTAAAAAAAATGGAAAAATATAACTTCTAAAAAATGATGTCTTTCTCTAATTTCAATAAGATTTTAAAATATAAAACTTATAAAAAAATTAAAATCAATGTGAAACTCTACTTTTCTAACATTCCATCTCTACTTTTAAGCATATCTAATGTCTATAATAAGTTTATAAGCTATATACTTAGTCTTATTCCTATATTCAATTACCTTTCTAATTTTTACATATTTTGGTAGGCGATAATCTTTGTTTGCTCTTTCATCAATTTTATCTATTTGCCTTTTGAATTTAGCTTTCAAAATTAAAGAACCATTTATCTGTAATACTATATATCCATAATATGCCCAATAATTTTTTCCTTAGACATCTTTATCAAAGCAAATACTCAAACGTTTTAATAAGGTAACTAGCTTCGAATACATAAATAAATCTTAAAAGAGTATCTTACAGGAACTTTTTTTTCAGATTTAGTAAGTATTATAAGTCTTAATTAAAGCTTATTTGAACTTAGAGGTTTTTATTTTCTATTTTTTCTTAGATTTTCTCGCTCCTTACTTATTCTAGACATATTTAGAGAAAAGTTTTTTTCTAAAACTTATATTTCAGGTGTTTATTCTTTTTATTTAATTTTAAAATAAATTATTTTACTTTGATAACTTATTAAATCTTTAAAATAATAATTGTTTGCTTAAAATTACATACCCTCCTATAAATTATTTTTTATATAAATAGGAATAATCTCTTTAATACTTCTTTTTGCAAGTTCTCTTTTTTTTGCTCATTTATTTGCATGCTTTTGGTATTATGTTGGTACTCTTAGTACTTAAGGATGGATAAATTTCTATCAACTTGATAAAGCAGATATCTATTCGAATTACATTTACAGCTATTATTTTATAATTGTAACAATGACAACAATTGGCTATGGAGACATTACTGCTAAAACTACAGAAGAAAGATTAGTTATGATTTTTTTTACTCTTATATCTTGTGGAATTTTTGGATATATAATTAATTCAATAGGTATATAAATTTTAAAGTTTTTAAATATTTATTTTTAACTTATCTTTATTTATTTATTTAGGTAATATTTTAGGTGATATAAAGTAGAAAAGTGATAAGTATTTAACTGAATTGGCTAAACTTAACTAATACTTTAAGAAATACTAAGTATCTTTACAGTTGCAAGCGAATGTTAGGAGATACTTATAATTTACTTACAAAGAAGGTATTTAAGACAAGCTCTCTGCACTTGAATCGCTTAATAATTTATCTCAACATTTGTAAAATTAAATAAAAATGGATGTAGTTTCAAGAGAGCTTAAATAGATTGGTTTCTTAAAGTAAATTTGTAAGGAGGAGACTTTTTGTTAGCTATCCTTGTAGGTTCAAGAAAAAATATATCAACCAGAATAAGTCATTTTAGATTAAAATGAAATCAAAGAACCAGCAATTTACATTATTAATTATGGAAGAGTCTTAAAAAACTCACAGTATGATTTATCATCTAAGGTGAATGATATTTATGTAAGTTATTTGAACTCAAAAATTAATTATGTTAATTATTTCTTAATTTACAGGAACTAAAAGAAAAGTAATCTTTTGGAGTAATAGAATTTTTTATGAACTTAGAAGCTTCTAAATTTAATTATAAAAGCAAAGAACTAACATCTATATATTCTTTAAATCTTTCTGCTTTTTTAAAAGTAATTAAGTAAGATAGTGAAATATATGAAAAATTTTGCTTCTTAAGGGATTAAATAGTATATTAAAAGTCTCTGCATCTAGTAAAACATTTTTGTGAATCTTGTAGATCTCTAAATCATAATCTTAAAGAATGTCCTTGCATCTTTTATAAATCAAGAAAACTAACAATAATTAAAAGATACTAATAAAACATAAAAGAAACTTTAAGATTAACAACTCGTAAAAAAAAACTAAAGGAAAATTCGTTAATGCTAAACAAATAATTTGTATCTTAAATAATTCTTTTTTAGTAAGATAATATTAACCAGCTATCGCTTTATGATAATTCTTTATCTTCTATTGAAGATTAACATCTTTTTAGCTCCTAAAAATTACATTTTAGTAATACTATAAATAGTAACTAAAAAAATAATAGAGAAGATATTGAATTTAAAACTAGTTAATTGGTTGATTAGTTGTAGTTAGATTAATAAGAGCATGAAAAGATTATAATAGATATTAAATCTCCTTTGATAGTTTAAAGAAAGAAACAAGAACATGAAAAACTAATAGGAGATGAGTAAATAAATACAAGAAGCTTTTAAAAATTAGAGGCTATAGAAGAATAAAACGAAAAACAGAAATGTAAATTATTTAAATGGATTTATAATTTTTAATATTTTATTATTTAATTTAAAAAACATTTACAGTAAATTAACAGCCTAGTATCTTAAGAAATAATTATCTTTCGATTACTTCAATTTAAGATAATTAGTGTAAAAACGATTAAATTAGCGTTTTGTAAGGGATTTAAACTAGTATAAAAGATATCTTTCGATTTTTAATAGGTGAAAAGTAAGTATTTTTAAAATAATCTAATTGGAAGATTTTATAAATTTATTATTTACTTAAAAGTGAAACAATCAAGTGGTATAAGAAACATTAAGTATATTAAAATATGAATAGTAGTGCTTTTAAAAAGATGGAAGCCTAATTAGTATCTAACAAAAATATTAAAAGTAATTTTTAGATATAGGATACTAACTAAAATAACAGATCAAGTTATGTTGATTAACTCATGACCCATTAAAATAAATAAGATATTTAGAATTTTTGTTAGGATTTAGATAGAATGCAAAAATATAAGACATATTATCCAAAGTTTAATTATGACATAGTAATCGAAAAATCCAATTCGAGGTCATATATATAAAATATTCCATTAATTTTAAGATTGATCAAGTTAAAAAGAAAAACGGTTAATTTAAAAAAAAGAAGTAAAGTAATAAAGTAATAATGATCTTCCATTCATAAAGATAACAGATAAATAATTTTAATTTTAACTTATTTAAAATTTAACATAATATATATTTTTTATCAAGTAAATATAAAAGTTTTTTAATTATATCATAAATAAATCATTAATTTTGCTAATCAAGATTTTTTATTTTAGCTAAAATAATATTTTGATCAAAACAAATATTAAATAAATTTTTAAATTTTGTTATAAATATAGTAGAATTACACTTTCACTAATATATTTTTAGATTACATATTCCTTAAGGATTTTGATATTAAAAAAATATTTAATACTTTATGTTAATAATAATAAATTAATTATATATTTAAAAAAAGCTCGATAGAGGTTAGATTTTTTATTAATAATAAATAGAAATATATAATTATTTTCTATTATTAAATTATGTAAAACTAAAAATGAAAAGTGAAAAACAATTAGTTATAGAGTTTTCTTGATTTTTCTACTATAATATATAGAAATTTTTTTTTGTTACAAGTAGGAATAAATTTAAATTGAAATTAAGTAATTAATACTGGTAAAATAATTAGATAAAAATTAAGTAGAATAAGAAAACATACAATTTTTTTTTTTTCTTTGGTATTTATTTTCTTAAAAATAACAAAATATTCAATTTTTAAAAAATAAATGAATGATTCAAATAATATCTTTCTTTAAAGAAGTTATTTTAATGAAGAATAAGATTAATCGTTTGTTAAAGTTGCGTTTTTAAAAGGAATTGATTAAATATAAGGAGAAAATAGCAGTACTTTGAGATCAATAACTTTGAACTCTTCTCATAATTCAAGATATAGCGACTAAAATAATTTAAACAAGATATTAGCTTCAGCTAACTCAAGCAGATGTATGTAAACTACCCAAAACAAATAGAATGCTGAATAAACTTAGTAAACTTGTAAAATATTAGAGTTATTATCAAATATACAATTGCATTATTTACAAATAATTATAAATTTCTTTGTCAATAATAAAACAAAATTAGAAGAAGAGCAACAGATAGATTTAAGTTAATGTGGCAAATAATCTTACGAAGAAGCTGGTGAAATTGAATAAGAATAGTAATATTAAAATTTAAAATAAAATGTTTTCTAGTTGTTTGTTTACTACTAATTCATTTATTTACTATAAAATTTGTTAATTTAACAACTAACTTTAGATAAGTCTTACTAGTATTTTTCTATTAATACTAATTAAACAATAATAAACAATATATTATGGCTACAAAAACTTTTATAGAGCATATTTTTATAAAAAATAAAAGTCAACAGAGAAGATAATCATAGGCGCTTAGTCAAGTAAGCAATTACAGGAAGTAACATGATATTTAAATATTAAGAGAGAAATCCAAAAAGATTTGGTTAAAAAACTGGCCTAGTATTTTATATTATATATCTAAAATAAAAAATATTGCTAAATTAACAAAGAGACTGTTTAGACACGAGCTTTTAACTGCCTAATAATTAAAATTGATTGGAGATTAAACAGTGAATATAGAAAAATTAAAAAAAATGGAAAAATATAACTTCTAAAAAATGATGTCTTACTCTAAATTCAATAAAATTTTAAAATATTAAACATATAAAAAAATTAAAATCAATTTAAAACTTTACTTTTCTTATGTTCCATCCCTCCTTTTAGGTATATCGAATTTCTATAATAAGTTTATAAGCTATATACTTAGTCTTATTCCAATATTCAATTACCTTTCTAATTTTTACATAGTATGGTAGGCTATAATCTTTGTCTGCTCTTTCATCAATTTTATCTATTTACCTTTTGAATTTAGCTTTCAAAATTAAAGAAGTATTTACCTAGAATACTATTTATCCATAATATGCCCTATAATTTATTCCTTAGATATCTTTATCAAAGCAAATACTCAAACATTTTAATAAGGCAATTAGCTTCGAATACATAAATAAATCTTAAAAGAGTATCTTACTGGATCTTTTATTTCAGATTTAATAAGTCTGATAAGTCTAAATTAAAGATTATTTGAATTTAGAGGTTTTTATTTTCTATTTTTTCTTAGGTTTTCTTGCTCCTTCACTATTCTAGACATATTTAGAGAAAAGTTTTTTTCTAAGACTTATATTTCAGGTATTTATTCATTTTATTTAATTTTATTAAAATATTTAATTTTCATAAATTTAAACAATTTCAAACAAAGATGATATTTAATTTTTTTTAATTTAAGCTCAAACTTTTAAAATAAATAGAAAATCTTATTACATTTTTAAAAGAAATATATTCGCTGATAATTATATACCCACCTCAAAATTATATTTAATCTATATGCATTATAAATTATTTTTTTATATAAATAGGAATAATTTCTTTAGTACTTCTTTTTGCAAGTTCTCTTTTTATTGCTCATTTATTTGCATGCTTTTGGTATTATGTTGGTACTCTTAGTAATTAAGGGTGGATTAATTTCTATTAACTTGATAAAGCAGATATCTATTCAAATTACATATCCAGTTACTATTTTACAATTGTAACAATGACAACTATTGGTTACGGAGACATTACTGCTAAAACTACAGAAGAAAGATTAGTTATGATTTTTTTTACTCTTGTTTCTTGTGGAATTTTCGGATATATAATTAATTCAATAGGTTAGATAAATTATAAAGTTTTTATTGTTTATTTTTAACTTATCTTTATTTAATTAGGTAATATTTTAGGTGATATAAAATAAAAAAGTGATTAATATTTAACTGAATTGGCTAAACTTAACTAATACTTTAAAAAATATTAAGTATCTTTACAGTTGTAAGCTAATGTTAGGAGATACTTATAATTTAAATACAAAGAAGGTATTTAAGACAAGCTTTCTGAACTTGAATCGCTTAACAATTTATCTCAACATTTGTAAAATTAAATAAAAATGGATGTAGTTTCAAGATAGCTTAAACAGATTGGTTTCTTAAAGTAAATTTGTAAGGAGGAGACTTTTTGTTAGCTATCATTGTAGGTTCAAGAAAAAATATATCAACCAGAATAAGTCATTTTAGATTAAAATGAAATCAAAGAGCCAGCAATTTAGATAATTAATTATGGAAGAGTCTTAAAAAACTCATAGTATGATTTATCATCTTAGGTGAACGATATTTATGTAAATTATTTCAATCCAAAAATTAATTTTGTTTACTATTTTAAAATTTGCAGGAGCTTAAAGAAAAGTAAAGTTTTGGAGTTACAGAATTCTTTATGAACTTAGAATCATCTAAATTTAATTATAAAAGCAAAGAACTAACATCTATATATTCTTTAAATCTTTCTGCTTTTTTAAAAGTAATTAAGGAAGATAGTGAAATATATGAAAAATTTTGTTTCTTAAGGGATTAAATAATTTATTAAAAGTCTCTGCATCTAGTAAAGAATTTTTGTGAATCTTGTAGATCTTTAAATCATAATCTTAAAGAATGTCCTATAATTTTTTATAAATCAAGAAAATTAACAATAGTAAAAAGATACTAATAGTGCATAAAAGATACATTAAAATTAATAACTCGTAAAAAAAAATAAAAGTAAAATTCATTAATGCTAAACTATCTATTTGTATCATAAGTAATTGACTTTTAGTAAGATAATATTAATCAGCTATCGCTTTATGATAATACTTTATCTTCTATTGATGATTAAAATCTTTTTAGCTCCTAAAAATTAAACTTTAGAGGTTCTATAAATAGCTAATAAAATAGAGACCATATTGAAAAAAAATCTATTTAATTCATTGATTAATTAAAAATAGATATTAAACCTCCTTTGATAATTTAAAGAAAGAAACATGAACATGAAAAACAAATAGGAGATCAGTAAATAAAAGCAAAAAGCTTATAAAAATTAGAGGCTATAGAAGAATAAAACGAAAATCAGAAATGTAAATTATTTAAATGAATAAATATAATTTTTAATATTTACCCAACTTAATTAAAAAAATATTTACAGTAAATTAGCAGCAGAATACCTTAAGAAATAATTAAATTTCAATTACTTCAATTTAGGATATATAGTATAAAAATGATTAAATTAGCGTTTTGTAAGAGATTTAGAATAGCATAAAAGATATCTTTCAATTTTTGATAAGCTAAAAGTAAGTATTATTAAAATGATTAAATTAGAAGATTATATAATTTTTTTAATTCAAAAGAGAAATAATCAAGTAATATTAGAAATATCAAGGATATTAAAATGTGAATAGTAGTACTTTTAAAAAGATTGAAGACTAATTAGTATCTAACTTAAATATTAAAAGTGGTTTTTAGACATAGGATACTAACTATAATAACAGGTCAAGTTATATCGATTTACTCATGCCCTAATAACATAAATAAGATATTTAGAATTTTTGTTATGATCTGGATAGAATTCAAAAATATAAGACATATTACCCAAAGTTTAATTATGATTTAGTAATAGAAGAATGCAATTCGAGGTCTTATAAATAAAATATTCCATTAATTTTAAGATTGATCAAGATAAGAAGAAAAACAGTTAATTTAAAAAAAAAAAGTAAAATAATAAAGTAATTATGATTGATTCATAAACGTAACAAATATTTAATTTTAATTTTAACTTATTTAAATTTTAACATAATATATATTTTTATCAATTTAAAATTTAAGATAATAATATATCATAAATCTTTTAATTTGTTTATTAAGACTTTTTGTTTTATCTAAAATTATATTTTTAATCAATTTCTCAATGATGAACAGATAATTTAAATATGAAGGGCATAAAAAAGTGAGAATGTATATTTTATATTATTTAAAAATATTCCCTTAAATTTAAAAAACTTTTTTAGTATTAAATTTATTTATAAAAAATAAATTAGCATATGAAAATACATAAAATAAATAAAATTAGTTAGCTAGAGACAAAAGTTAAAAAATAGTCATTTTTTTTTAATTATTTTTTATTTAGATTATATTTTTTTGAATTCCTAATTTAATAATAAAAAATAGTTAATTTAATTTTTTGGCTTTACAAATCTTTCAATTTACATTTTTTGCATTTTCTTAAAAGTCTTTTAACTCCATGAAATTTTTCTCTTTTATAATCTCATTAACTATTTGATACTCTTTGTTCCTTTTTTCTTCCTTAATTTTGTCATAATTATTTTTAAATTCATCGCCCAACGGTATTACTATTTTTTAAATAAGAACTTTTTAAAATGTGAAGGATGTTTAATTTATTACAAACTGTATCTAAATCATCAAATTTGATATTTTTTTAAATGAAATGTGAGCTGGATATATTGCTTTCTTCTGCTGCTATTTTAGATTTTGTTTCAACCTAAGAGGACTAAAAATATTAAAATAGAAATCAATCAATACAATTTTATTAAATTTTACTTTCTATTTATAAATTTCATTATAAAGTTATAACAAATCATTTGTTCTTCTTTCTATAGCCGCTAAGTACAGAAGCATATTACTGTCATCTATTTCCTACAATGTTCCATCCTAAAACAAATAAAAATTTATTAAATTAAACTTTTAACTCTTAATTATATTATTATATCATCTAATATATTATCAATTAAAAACTCATTCACTTAATAACGTTCATTTTCTTTCTAAAAGACACACAATTATTTCTAAAATAAAAAACATTTTATGGTTCAAAAATACTCTAAAAAAATGTTTAATTGATAAATTATTTGCTAATGCGTATTAATCCATTAAAACTTATAATATATTATTTTTATTTTTTAAAAAAGAAATAAAATCATTTACGTTATTTTTAGGTATTTCTTTTAAATACTCTTTATCTAAACAACCTATGTTTTCAAACATAACAGGAATATTTTTTTTCAAAGTATCCAATTAAGATTAAACAGTTTCATGCTTTTTTTTGTATTTTTCTTTTTATTACTCTATTGTTTCTAGCTCTTTCTAATTTTAGGTTAATATAATTAAATTTTTACATCCTTGCTAATTTATATTTTACTTTTAATTCCATAAACTTAATTGTCTTTGGCTCTTATCTGTATTGTTATGGTTTATTTTTATACATATCTATTTGTTATTAAAGCTGCTTTTTCTATTGCATAAGCGTTTCAGTATCATCTCTAAGAGTGTTTATATATTTAAATAAAGAATAGTTTTCATTTTCATAATCGACAAATGTTTTCACTATTTTAGACATATCTTAAGTTCCTGTTTCTTCCATCAACCTTTTAAATATATCTTCATATTGAGCTACTTCTTATTTTAAATTCTCTAAATGCATGTTTTCCTTTTCTTAGTTTCTCTTATTTTTGTCTTTCTTTTTGGTTGTGCTCATTCCTGTTGCTCCTGCAGATATCATTTTATAATTATCAAAATCGTACGCACTTCTGTCGAACTATTAAAAAAATTTCAAAATCAATTTATATTAATAGTTATTTGAATGAATTAAATATTTTTAAACAAAATTAATTTAAAATGTTTTTTACAGGAGATGGGCTTCTGGAGTTATCTTAGTATTGGGATTATTACTGCTTATTAGATCCTAGTATGAACTTTTCTTTTAACCTTTCGTCTCTGTTCTCAGTGTCAGATGCTGTTTAATAAACGCTTTCAAACTCTTTTTCAAATTTCTTTTTTTCAATATCAGCTTCTATTTTATATTTTTCAAGTCTTTGTTTACCCTTTTCAATTTCTTCTTTTGCATTTTGAGATTCCTAAAGTACTTTTTTAAGTTATTCTTTTTTTTCATGCAATTCTTGCTTTAGTTCTATGTAAATATTATCAAAAATATTCTTTTCCCTTCTAAGATGATTTATTTCATCTTTTAATGAATCATTATTGGCCAATGATTCGTTGTATTTCTTTTTTAAATAATCTAATTTCATATGCATAGATTTTATCTTTTTTTATAAGACATAAGGATCGCTGTCGCTAGTCGATTTCTTCTTATTCATAATATCTTTTCTCTTATCTTGCAAGATTTTTTCTGTTTTCTCAATTTCTTTTTCTATGTGTTCCTATATTTATAACATTTTAATTCAATACTAAAGTTATTGGTCTTTTTTAACAAATTATATAATAATTTTATTATTACGAGCCTCACTGTTTCCTACTCGATTTTTTTTGCATAAAAATTTCCAGTATCTTATAACTTTGCTATTTTACTTCCAATCATTTGACTACCATACATGCTCCTTTGCATATGCTAATAAATAATTTATATATTTGTAAATCATTTAATGACTCTAATTAAGTTGCTAATATTATATAATAAAATCTATTCGAAACTGTTTCTATTTCTCTCCTAATTATAATTTTTGAAATATATATGTAATCTATCTAAATTTATTACTCCATCTCTAGATTTTTAAGATTTGTGCTCTTGAGCGCTTTTATAAAATAGAAGAAGAGTTAAATTTAATTCTTTTCTTTTTATTTACCTTTTAGCAGTCTGTGGGACTATTGGATTTAACATAAAGTTCTGAGAAGTGGAATTTACATTAATTGGTTTCATGAATATATATAAAAAATATATGTAAGAAAAATAGTAAAAAGAAACTTATTTTATCAAATAATTTAAAAAAGATAGATATTGTTAATTAATTTAATGTTTGATCAATTAAATGATAAATGACTTATAGCGAATAGTTTTACTGAATATCGCATTATTCACTAACAACTAATAGTATATTTTTTAATATTTTAGATATTAATGAATGGTATATTAGTAAAAAAAATTTAAGCTATTCTATCTCCTAAATTATCTTCCTTTTTTTATGTTTAAATTTTATTCTAATTTTGATATTTAATGTCTAATATATTTATTCAATTAATATTTAAATTGCTTTGTTATATGTTTTATTAAAAATATTTAAGTTAATTAAGAAGTGAAATATTTATTCAAAAATAAATTAAAAAAAAATAAATTTAAATTAATAACAAATAAAGACAAATTAATAAAATTTTAAAATAGAAGTTAATTTTTAAATAAAAAAAGTGTAGATTATTTCCTATTTCTAATTCAGTTGTAGATAAAATGTAATTTTAAAAATTATTTAATCAAGTTAGCAAAAACAAAAGAATTTAGGAGATTCAAAATAATTTTTCAATAAGGTTTTACAAAAATAAGAATTTTTATATTAAAAAATAATTTTGATATGTTATTTTCAAATAGTTACAGATATTTTATAAGCAAATAAATTAGTTTATTTTGTTAAAATTTAAAAATAAATAGTTTTTATCTAAAACAAATAAAGCATTAAGACTTAATAACTCATAAAGCATGATAAATCCTAGTAATTACTGTAAAATAAATAAAAAAATATATATATAAATAAATAAATAAATAAATAAAGGAAAGAGAGAGAGATTATTCAAGGAGAACATTTCTAAGTAAATTTTAATAAAAAAAAACAAGCAAAAAATTAAATAAAGGGAAATATTAATTAAAGAAAAAGAAACTTTAATTATTTCAATTTAATAAAGAGCGTTTTAATATTAATTATATAGAGACTGTATTATTAAATAACAAAGTTTTGACAGGATTCTATTTAATAAACCAAACAACATATAAACAAATAAATTGAGTCTTCGCACATATCATGAGTAAAAGACCTTCAAAGAAATCTCTTGGTAAGACTCATTTATATTAATAAAATAGATAAAAATAGCATCAATATAATAGGATTTAAAAGATTTTATTAAAGCTTAGGATGTTGACGAGATTCTTCTAAGCAACATTTTATAAATTGAAAGACCATTTCAACAATATTTACTTTATTTTTTAAATGTAGGACCTTTATACAAGATCAATTTTCCAAGATTTTAGTTCGAAGAAGCTGATTAAGAAGAAAAATTTGTAGATTAAGCAATAATAGCATATTAATAAGGAAAGCCTGTATAGAGACAAACTCCGTAAATAAACCATTTTATCAAAATTAGCACAATAAATATTTATTTTTTTTTACAATGTGCTACCTGCTTTTCATTTATTTTTGATTTCAAGTAGTCATTCAATTTACAAGAAATACCTAATTATATAACTTAAATAATGAGGAATATTTTTAGTCCAACTTATTTAATCATTTTAAAGCATACTTTGCCAGTATAAAATGAGGATTACTCGTAAAAAGAATTAAATATTCTACCAAAGTGTATTTCAATTATTTAAAGTCTATTTTGATGATTAAATTTTACAAATTTAAGAAAATATTTGAGCTATTTTTTATATTTTTATCAATATTATTAACAAATAGAACTAGGCCATAGAAAAATTAAAAACTACCTCCTTTAGAATAAAATGATATCTTTAGTCCTAAATTTAGTGTTGAGTAATCTAATAGCATTATGAGTAATGGTAATAAAGGTTAATTGAGATATAATTAATCAGAGCATAATCTTTATTAGAGTCTCTAAATACCACTTTAGCAGTAATAATTATAATCATAGTAAGACCCATTTCCAATAGTAAGAACCTCAGGAGCAGGTGGTTCATTAAGCATGACAATAGATCAAACATAAATGCAAAAGAATCTTTTAAATAAACCAGGACGTAATTTAAAGGTCAACTAATCTTAAAAGATTTCTACACCAACTCAGTAGATTTAAAATCAATAAGTTAGCTCTAAACTACTCGGATTATAGTAAAGCTAAGCAACTCCTCTAAGAGGGGCTGACGGTTACAAATAAACAGATAACAGCTTCTCTCATAATTACTCATCTCTCGCAGGTGGAAATTAGCCTTACTCTCCATAAATATCAAAGAAGGCTCTCCATACGCATGGTGAAGAATAGAATTTAGAGGATACAGGAAAAGATTTTGCAGATAAAGGACTAAATACTAATAAAAACCTTCGTAATTATGACTGTTGGGATGAAGAAACTACTCCCTTACAATGGCTTGAAAAATTCAAAAAGAATCCCTAAGGCCCACATGGCAAATGCCCTATCTATTTAAATAAATAGTAATTAAAATACTTCTAATAATATTTTAAATTCTTTCTAATTCTATAAATAAATAAAAAAATATTCATTAGTATTCTTTATTTAAATTGTTTTATATCTAATATTAATTTTAAATATAGGTATGTGTGGACTGATGTATAAGTTTTAGATTATGATGAAAATACCGATAAATATTTGGTAAGAATTATTGCTACAGATCAATTAAAGCATGTTGTAAGGTTATCTTTGATGTTCAATGAAGAAGATTAAACTAAATTTAAGGAAAGAGTTGACCTCTCCAAGTCAAGATAAGTCAATGCAGAAGATGCCTTAAGGTATTTTTTAATTTAATAATTTTAATTAAATGAATGTTTAATAATAGATTTGACAAATATGTAAATAAAGTGTCTGATGATCTCATTTAGCCTATGTCTGCTGAATGGAGAAAGCAAATTTTTAATTTTGTTACAAAAAAACCAAAGCATAGTTAAGAGGAAAAAGTAGAAGAAATTTACAAAAGCAAGTATGTTCAAGAGTTATTTGAAGTAAGATAATAAAACGATTGTTTGATTATATATAAAAAAATTTTATTAAAATAGGATGCTGAGAGACAATATATTTTTTTCATCAAAAAATGCTATGTTTTGAAGGAAATGGCTGACCCTAAGAACGAACAAAAATGGCAAAAATATAGAATTAGAAATAGATACGAAGAAAAAATTCTTCCATTCTATGGCACATATGTTTAGCTTTAATATAATTATAATGAAAATTAGGACAGCTTATCAAAATTACATGTCTCAAATAAATAACTAGTTGTTAAGACTTTGAATATGGTCACTCATAGAACATTTTTATATGAAAACCACAAGGTAACTAACAAACAAATAAATATACTATATTTTTTACAAAAGTATTTAATTTATTTTTAATATAAAAAGCTTATAAATACTACTTGGAACGAATAATAATTACCAATACTCTTATCTAATTTTGATTAGCAACAAAGAGCTTATCATATAAGCTCAAGGTCTACTTTACAAATGTAGTGGAGAGAATACATAATTTCAGAAATCTAAGATACTCTTAGAGATATTTACAGATTCTATCAAACTGAATCTAAGCTCTACTTTGGTTCAGATCTGTAGAGACTTCTCAAACGTATTGATTTAATGTTCAACACATTCATGAGAGAAAATGTTGTTAAGGGAAATATAAATGATTATTGCAAGTAATTTTAAATACCTTTAATATTATTTCACAATAGTAATTCTTCATTTTTTAAAGATTTATTTAGAAATTCACAATTCCTGAATAAAACGATGAAAATATATGGCACATTAATAATTTCCCTCTGTTGATTTTGAATTTGTAGCTTAATTAGAAGCCAAAGAAAAAAGGTAAAAAGCCTAATAAAGACAGAAAAGAAGAAACTCCAGCTTCATAGTAAAAAGAAGAATATGAAGAAGAAGATATTATTTATTATGAACCTACTTACTAATAAATATGCTAGACTTTAATGAAGCCTTTTGATTGGATAGTTGAATCTGTTAATATGTTCTTTATGTTAGAAAAAGATCTAGTTCCTCTAATTGATTTACCCAAACTTCCCTCATTCTAAATCGATAATTAATTGTAATGGATAAAGGAAGGATAGGAAAAGGTCCTTGAATACATCAAAGTTGGATATGAAGAGCCTAATGAAATTTTAGAGAGATTCAAAAAGTAATATTAATTAATTACTCAAATTTTACTAAATAAAATTATATAGATATTAGTTCTTGATGGAAAAAAGTATAAGCAATGTCACAAAATAATTATTCGGAGAGGCCAAAGAAAAACCTCTTATTTAAGACATAAATCCTCAAGATGTTGATCTAAAAATATAAGAGTATTTTATTGCTAAAAAAGAGATAGAAAAATAATGTATTGATCAAAAAAATTGTCATTTCTTCCAAGTCAGGACAAAATAAGCTAAGAATGATTTAGTCCATAAAGCTGATGAATTTGTTTAAAGTATCTTATAAAAAGTTGATCTTCTCTGCTTTGATAATATCGAAGTAAGCTTTTGTTGTTAAATTTTACTATTAAAATATTTTTGATTATTATTATAAAACTTAAAAATTTTATTTTTGTTTTTAAAATCAATAGCGCATCTAAAAAACATATGAGGACATTTGTGATAAATTGAAAAAGACTCCTCAGAATGAAGAGGAATTAGTTGCTTTAAAGGCCTAGATTAAAGAAAATGAAGTTAACTTAGCAAAAATTGCAAACGAAGTAAATTGTGTAGGAGAATTTTTAAAGATTTTAGAAAAATATTGCTACAGCTAAAAAGAAGTCAGCACCGAATAATTCTTCCTTTTAAAAGTTTAACCTGCTACTGTATTAGAAGCTGCTATGGAGGGAAATAGAACTTATGAAATATATGAATCTAAATTTAGAAATAATTTAGAAATAGAAAAAGATGGTTTCTAAAATACTATAGTTGATATTCAAAAGAGATTTTAGCACATTAAGCAATATAGATCTTATAATGCTTCACTTGATGTTAAAGAAAATTATACTGAA